TTATTCACTACGACGGGGCGGGGATGCAGCGGGAGCTTGTGTGAGGAAGTGTGTATGGGGGAGGGGGGTGGGGGGAAACAGAGTCAGAGAGGTGGGTGGTTCGTTTGTAGTGTGGATGATCAATTGGCGGCGGGGAGGAAAATAAATACATATATATGTGTTGAGCAGGAACTAATATGTATACGAGTTTGCGTGCCGCCCTTGCTGGAGAATGAGCGAAAACGCGGGTCTGATATAACCAAGGAATGGGTGGCGGGGAGGCGGAGGTGTGGGAATGGGTATCGGGAACGGGATAGGGGGGACGACACAAAAAAAGCTGCGAGAGAAAATAACAGTGCTATGGGTGAAAAAGAGACAGGGAGATGGGAGGGGGAAGCAGCAGGGATGAGAGGTATCTCAAGAATAAATCAATCAGGGCGTGCGCATTAAGTTTTCTCTGTTCGGGACTATCGTGGACTTTTTATTTTGCTACGAGTCAGTGTTTGATGTACCGCGGCAGCCTGGACCTACCAAGAAATGACAATTCTCACCAACCAACCATCAACTAAAATAAAAAATAAAAAAAACCTTCGTAACTCAAACCCTCTGGAAAATATCAGAAGAGTGTTCTACGGGGTGCTTCCATCATCGTCTCCTCTTTTTCGAAAGATACTATTCCTAAACCCCTTAATAAGACTTTCCAACTCAAACATATCAGTGTCGACATAATTGACTGCCCCCTTCAACCTTTCCTACACGTAAGTAATATCATCCTGAGACAAAACATCAAACATCCATCCGTTCAAGCTGTTTTCGGCTGTTTATTTTTTGTGATTTTCTACTCTTCATCAGTGGCAATGAAATTTTCTTAAAACACACCAGCCTCGCCCTTGGCGAATCTCGGTGCCGTAACACCGTAATTATTCGTGGAAAGCTTGTGCTGGTGTCGGCGCGTACCTACACCGAACGAAATATTATTATATCGTTCTTGATCCATGGGTGTTCGAGTTTGAGTCAGTTCGTGCCTTTTCTCTGAGGTATTGACAACGCATTCAGAAAAGTTTAAAAGATTTTGAATTTTTGCCTTACCACGATGAGACAGACCACTGAAGAGTACGCGGAAATAATGGCGCAGTTGATTTGCCCTAGGGGAAATGTTTGTATAGAGAAATGAGGTTGCAGCGCAGAAAATGCATATGAATGGATGTTCATGCAAAATCGAGTTCCTATCGTGTCCCTTCAGAAGGTCTCGACATAAACGTTCTGTGTAAAGATAATCTTCGCCTCCATGAGTAATGGGTTCTTTCTCTCGTATACACACCACTTTATGATACATGAAATGCCTTACAAGGTACTCGGGACAATAGAATATCAACCTGTCAAGTCGGAGAGCTGATGTAATCCAACTAGCTAACCTGTCTTCCCATCAGCCACATAACCCACGCCAAGCGCATCTCATGCTTTCATCTTAAAACCAAGCTACAAACTCACCCAGCTGCGCAAACTTGGTAGCCCATGCAATAATGACATCAGCGTATGGAGAAATTAATATAAATCTCCAATTCTTGTCTATTTTCGAGCTATCATATGCTGCAAATCATTTACTCGCAGCAAAGGATTTTCTCGGGAGAGCCTCGCGAGAGATGAATGGAGGTTGTGGATGTTGTTATTTCCGGTGATTTCTCTTCCCCCCTTCCTTATTGCTTCCCGTCCTCCGGCCGGTTTCATGTCAGTAATTTCGGCTACAGAAACCAAAATTCTTCTCTGTTTGGTTCGAGAAACCAGGGTCGAAGAAATGAAAAATAATTTCAGGTACCAACAACTGTGGTCTTCCGAGTTGAAATAAACATGAGATTTGTGTGAATGGTTCGACATAATTGTTCAATAACCAATAAGGACATAATAATTTCTATGTAAAATATTATTCCCAGGAGAGCTGTTAAGCTAATTGCCAAACTCCACCTTGGTACACAGTCCGGAACAGAGTATCCATACCTCATAACTCAAACAGCGAAAAAGTTTCAGCCCCTGAATAAAAATCAGGAAACTTCAGGAAGAGCAAAAGCATATCACTCAGAATCGCAAAAATCGGCTGGCAAAACAGCTCAGCAAGAAAAGAAAAAAAAGAAAGGATAAAATATTACATCTGGACACCTGATCACAAATTTAAGATTATCTGCGAACTTCTGATCTGATAGTTCCAGAGCCGATTCCGAGTCGGACACAACGTGCCTAGTCAGGTCTTGAGCAACTCACCAACTAACCAACTAAAGCTTAGTGAGTTAGGGAGCGGCGGCTAGGAAGTGCATATGATTTGGATTTTTGCATCTGTTCTGGTGTTGGCAGTATTGTAGTGGTTAATTATGTTGACTCTTGGGAAAGTTTGTTACAGTTATTTATTTATTTATTTATTTATTTATTTATTTATTTATTTATTTATTTATTTATTTATTTATCTATCTATTTATCGATTTATTTAATCTGTTATATATTGCGTGTTTGGTTGGGAAAAATTACAATCTCAGGTAGAGATTAAATGCGAACCATGAGATAGCAATTTTGAAGTTTGCCTGTATATATAGATATGGAAATAAGATGCCTAGGTTCCCCGTCCAGTCCCCTCCCCCCTCTTCTCCAGGCCCCAGAATAAACAGGAGCCATATAAGCAAGGCCCGCTGACACTTAGGAATGACATTGCGGAGGAAGATGTCCCCCTGAAGAAGATATGGGGTCTGTGGTTATTATTACTGACAAGGGAGCCACATGCGGACCCCAAGTGGACATACGCTGGCATGGTAGTTTGCTTAAACGACTGGGCCCCAACTGCTACTGTGGGGGCGAGAAGGTACTCTCTTTGACTTCCGCGAAGGTCGTAATTATTGTAGAGTTCTTTGGAGATAACTAGGAGTTGGGTGGTTCTGCTTTGCCTGTCTTTTTTATTTTTATTTTTTTTTATTTTTGGTACGTCCATATTCTCCGCTCACTTGATATTTCACCCCAAAACAATAAAGCAACCTTGAAAGGTTCTGACTGTATTCTTTAATTTCGCGGGATATATCAAACCTCGAATTGCAAAAAACTCTAGACCAGGAGGGAGGATATCATCAATTGCCCCGCGTCTCGTGAGGAACGTACGTTCGTGCGCAGCTCGCCCCACCATGTATGTCTTCTACTCGGCTGAAACGAGGAAGATCCTAACAGCAAGCTACTCCGGCCAGTCAACATCTAAGCCCCCACTCACATGAAGCACCTGAAAAGCGCTGAGATGCTAAAAGAGAGAACAAAGCAACATGCAAAAAGCGAAATAAAAAAAAAAATAAAAAAATAATGAAAGAACATATGACTCCTTGCTCTACTCGCTGCTTAGACAATTATATGCGCAACGAATCCCGTGCTCTATTCAAGCTAATGAATTCCCTATTGCCGAGCTCACTCTGAAACCATAGCTTCCCAGTCTTCCACAAACCGAAACGAATTTATTAACAATAATCTACCATTCTTGATGTATCAATCCGAGACTATGACGGCAGTTGGGGCATTTTTCTCTCGTGACCTTTGGACCCTTCAGGGTCCACATATGCAAAATTATTCGACCTATCGAGTATTTCGCCACCGGCTGCGATACGATATTGGATGAAAATGGCTGTATCCACCTCCTCAGGGTTGTTAGTTGCTACCGATTTGCCAAATTAGGGGTTCCAAGGTATGATCGACACCGTGGAGCTTAATAAATTGGATCTGAGGATAAAACAACGAGTTTTGGACGGTTTTACTTATTATCGTAGGGCCAAAAATGCATGGACTGTCAGATGCTAGCAAGATGATAAAATGGGCGGTGAGTGCAAATATTACTGTTGATCTTTGGGTTTGAAAAATAAATAAATAAATAAATAAAAAATAAAAAATAAAAAATAAAAAATTGAACTTCATAAGTTGGGCCCACTATTTTAAAACCATGATCAACCGCATTAGATTAGGATTAGGGTTAGTTAAGGGTAACGACCTGAGAAACATGATAATATCACCAGTTACCATCAAAGTGCATGTAGAGATGTTGTGTGGGATTTGCGTGAGATAACTAGTGTATGTAGTTTTATTGGGGGGGATGTCATGATCTGAATGTTTAAACCTTGCCAAAGTTATATATCCAGCTGAGATTTTAAACCATGTTCAACTTTTCTGAAAACCATATTCTAGCTGTACTACACCGTAAAGTAGTTATTTGACTGTGATGGATGGCGAACTGACCAACGGCTAAATTTTGAGTTTGCCGGCGTCATGCAACGATATAATAAGAATACATAATAATAATGCGACATAATCCTTAGCAGCTCATGCCTCGGGACAAGCCAACTCCTCCCCGGTCTCTGGCAACTCTAACGCCCTGCTCCACTTGGGATAGACCACAATATCTATATGTTGCTAGAGAAAATTGCAACCAGCACAATCGCTTATAGATATACAATTTAAGCGCTAAGCAATTGCAACGCTTGGCAGATCTTTTTTACTCCATATCAACCATTTTGGCTCGGCGACACTACTACACAACATAGCCTTTTTCGTTTAATTTGACCTCTTTAAGGGTGCTGAAGCCGGAGGGTGGAGAAAAGCGGAAGGACCATCGTTTGTCTGCAGGCGACCAGAAACTTGGAAATCAAGGAAAATACTAAAAAGGCCTTGGCTGTGGAGACTGGCCTTTGGAGGATGGCAGTCTTGACGGGTCTCGTTCGGTATTTTCAGCCAATAAGGGGCTCATATCAGGGGGGGGCATTTTCCGAGTCTTGAGCGAACGTCAAATGAGCGGTAGATCCAACCCCGGGTGTCCATCCGGCTGTGGATGAAGGATTTCAACTGGCGTGCAGGGTTGCCCTTGTCAAAATTCCTGGGCTGGACAAGAACGCGGAACGGCATGGTTAATCTAGATTTACTTATTAGTTTGTTGGGGAGGGAAATGGTTCTGTGAGCAGCGCGTTGAGGAGGCCCAAGATATTTTTTCTGTACTGTTGCGGTGTTCGGGATCGTAACAAGAGGGTTCTGAGAACCCCGTGCAGAGTGCTCCGAATCGGATTTTGCTTCATTGAAGAGACATCATACCAAAAACCATCATATCGGGGCAGGAAAATGATTTTGGCTGCACGGTGAATCTCTCTTAGCTCTTTGATGTTGAACTGACGATGATTGATCCTGCTGGTTGAGAAAACTAAACATGTTCCCCATGCTTGCTGGCGTGAACACATTTACAAGTTTCTAGGCGAGCTTAGCGCTCCACTCACAATGGTCTCAGTGCTTGAAACAGCCAGCAATGTTGGGCACCTCGCATGTCCCAAGTGCCCATAACCAGTAGTCTTCGGTGGAGTTCCGTCTGGCTGACGGACCATAAGCTGCAGTGTTGTGCCCTGTGCGTCCTGTCCATCCTGTTGACGACAACCTGTGGCGTTTCGTGCAGACATCGCACTGGCCAATACTCTTGCTATGTCGAAATTCATGGGTAGTTAGAGCTCAGGGACGAATAATTCCTTCGCACAGAACACATAGAACTCTGGCTAACTTACTTACCTCTTTGAAATGATCCCTCGGGCTTGCGATCATCCTTAGTGCCACGGAGTACGACTCAATACACACGGCCCTTTGTACCGTCATATGGGTATTGGATCCGACCTCATCCTTCACATGGAGAACATTCATTTGATCTCGAAACCTGGCCTGGACGAAGGAAGAACACCATTCTTCGCTCCCTTGTTGGTTGTAGGAGGTTGAGGTGGTATGCAAGGAATGACACGTCCTTTTTGTTGTCGCAACCATTCTGCCATCCGATAATTGCTCAAATCTGCGAAGAGAACCATGGATGCTTCATCCACGGCTGAGTGTAATTCTTTTGTATCAGGAGCTGGCATATCGTTCTTGCATAAGGATGAACAAGAACGGGCATCACATGGAAAAGCAACATGGCAACACAGCATGTGCAGCTGCAAGCAAGACCAAAAGAAATTTTTCTGGGGTTCGGGAAGCGGTCCAAGGTTCCGGAACCAACATCGTTTTCATAAAACCACATGGAAAGATGGATTTGACAAAAACTGATTGCAGGAACACGCAATGTTGGAAAAGGTGGGCGAGGCTGGTGGATGTCCCATTTTTGAGCAATCATCGTAGTCAAGAATTATCAGACAACCAACATGACAACCACTTCTACCCACCAACATATCCTCCGCCATCCATCATTTGGAAACCAATTTATCTCATCTCATACCCTTTGTTCGCCAAGCTAAAGCCTATCACCATAGCCCGCTCCGTAGAAAAGATAATCGTACGAGGTGTCAACGACTTCGGCGCTTTCCAGTCCGTTCGCTAGCAACCTCCTCGCCTGGGAGTTTGTCAGGATCATGAACCTGGAGGCCGAGCGACGCCGCGGCATCGATCACTTGATACTAACCTACATGTCTTCTTTACCATCTGTGCAAGTATGGTCCACGGACCACTACGAGGGATGTAACTAATACAGAGAGCACTTCTGAGGCAGGTTTATGCATGCGTATAATTTTATCCATCCCATATAACTGTTGCCATTGCCTAACTTATTTTCCTATTCTGAGGGTTCCAATAAACCATCATCGTTGTCCCCTGAACATCAATGTCATGGAGAGATTTAACTTCATAATTGTGGGCAACAGTAATCAATTTTTACCTCCAATATCTGGCTTACATCTAGGAGACCCAAGTTGGATAGACGGATGGAGCACGGCAGGTCTCTATTATTTAACTGCTAAGTTCTACCATTAACTACTCCCTACCCATGCGGATACATAGAGCCTACCTAGGTACACACCCACTCAGCCCTAAGGCTTCTGTTTTACTCCTCCCCGAACCGCAGGACCCCAGGATGGAGTAGTTACTGAGCTTCAGGAAACTAACGCCATCCTCCCCGGGCCTCGAGGCTCTTCAACGGGGTTGTGGAACACGGCAACTGAACAGAAAAAATTCCTTTTGATGCAACTCGTTGCACAACCATCCAAGATCTATAGACCAATCAGATGTCCCAGCACTGTTTCCCTCATTCGGCAAGGTCAGAGAATAGCGATGGAAAGAAAACAAGCCTTTGAAAGTGGGTGGGTTCCAATTATGTTGAACATATCTCACTGAAAGTGTTGCGACTGACAGATGAATCCGAACCAGAAATGTCTCACGTCTCAAGAAGAGCTGCATACACAAAATTCAGCATAATAATCAGGATTGATACAACAGGGTAACTTTTTGTACAGACCATGACAGATCTGAAGAAATGTTAAAGCACGGGTTGACCATTTTTTCTTTTTCAATGAGACTGTCAGGGATCCCGTGTTGGGTTCCTGGGTTAGTTAGTTAAAATGAATTTAGAAGTATTCTAGAAGATATGGAGCATTGTGTCCAGCTCATGTCCGCTCCATGCTTTATTTTCTCTGAGCAGGATTGCCCAAATTTTGAGCCCTCGAAATAAATGCATGTATATACCAGGCACCGCAACCAGTGGAGGCTTGAACTTTAAAATAACACTCACTTCACGTTCAGAGTCCGTCGAATTTTCCTGAGAGCTTTTGCTATATGAATTCCCCCAATGTCTCGTAAAAAGCCTCAAAACGCACGCCAGAGAAACAAGTGTTTTGCTTGTTCTCCTTCCAGCAATACTAGCTGGCTATGCCAACATTGCTGCTGTCTCCGGCGATTTCATCTCGCTTAGGGATCAATATGCATCCAAGTCGTTAGGGTCAGGTCGCCTACACAACAGAAAGAGCCCATTTTTACCATTCTGTTCATGCATTATGCAAGGATGAGTGTGAGTTCTCTCTCGGGCCAAGATCCGTTTTCACGGAATCATGACGACTTGTTGCATCGAGTAAAGTTTTGGACTGGTCAGATGCTCAACTACGAGCAAGCAAATTGAGGAACACTCTGAATATTTAGATACGGTGTAACTAACTAACTAGTAGTGGCCTGTGTGTTTTCTCGAGCTCCTATTCTTAATACTCGATGTTTCCTAAAATGACTGCTATGGCGTTGAGCTATAGGCAATTGGCTAGAACTATCCATAGATACTTGTCAAGAAATGGAAAATCGAAGAAGGACCAAATTCACGAGAGAGGGATGGAGAGAGGCTTCGTGGAGAGGGCGATTAATTTTCAAACCCTCTTATCTTATCCCGGTGGCGGATTATCGTGTTCAATGTCTTGACAACTAAAGCAGGATGGAAGGAGAATATTATCCAGTGGGAAACTGGTACTTTTTAATTAATGGAAACAGATTTGCAGGAACGATATGTTGTGTTCTCTGTCAAGAAATTTTCATGAATTTCAAGTAAAAGAGGATATAAAACAGGATAATCTGACAGATTGATGTCAACAGGTAGTTAAATTCCAAGATACGTATGCTACCTACATATCATCATTCGACTCTTCTGAATTATCCAGGCTATTTCGACCCGATTCCGACCTATCATAAGCAATACTATTGTCAGCCTTAGTTTGTCCTGACCTGACTTTAGAGATCCCGATATATGCGATGCGACCAGGTTTCGGTTCAAAGGCATTGGTCTATTTTACATACATGTAGTGCTGGAAGACACTCTCTTCAACAGCCCGAAATAGAAAATGGCGGTAACCCAAATGGCAGCATCCCCTGGAGGCGCTGTTAAGTCTGTTCTAGGGTCAACTGGGTTAATAAAAAATAACCCTATATATTAACTAGAGGGTTGGGTTCCTGATTACCACGTATTTTTAAATTATATCCCTATATCCAAGAACAAGCCACCGAGAAGAGGGAGGGGTTCTAGATTAGTCACATGGAAATCGGATGCTTACAGTGCCTAAGACCACTGAATCAGACCCCTTGTTGGGACACTCTGACGCTTATTTGTGCGTTGGTCCAGACAATTGAGAAGTTTTTGAACGGCTTATCTGGGAATAGAGAAGTGACCAACTCGGTGGGCTCTGTGTTTGGTTGTTCCACAGACATATGAGCCCCATAAATTTTCACTGATTCGAAAGACCCCAACTATGGAGAAATAGTGTTTGATGGTAGGTTTTCGGCGGTTAACTCGAATCCAAAACCATTGCGAGCAGCTATAGTGTAGCCGCCACGCTTCGGCAGTTCGCATAGTCTGGTGGAGCACGGGAAGAAAAGGGGAGCCACTCACTGTGGAAAAGTGGAGGACCATTTTTAAGCATAAAATATCCTGGAGGAATATTTTCCCGGAGCGACAACATATTAAGAATGAAAGCGATGAAAGAGATTGAGGTGATTTTGATATTACATTCCTTGTTTATGAAATGAGCAATCTCCGGAGTTAATCCTCCGGAATATACCCACGGAGAACACTCCGGGTTACTCTGGTCTCAAAATAATGCCAAAGGACAAGATTAATTCTTGAACGTAATGCGCATTGCATTCTATTGGATATCATCATGTCTCATGGCAGCATCTTACTTCTCAGATTGGACCTCAAACTAGTGGTCTCCTGTTGTCCTCGGATATTTAAGGTCCAACCGCTACGGCATATGTCATCTCGTGACCGTATTAGTTGAAGGATATCAAGAGGAAAGGCAATTTGAAACAAATCTCAGCGATCAGTCTCGGACCTGGCGCAGACAACAAGGGAGAATAGAGGCAATCCCAACGACCAATTCGCATCATCCCCTGACGCATGACCATCGGAAAACATACCCGCTAATTATTCAGAACAGCCAGGCAAAAAGCTAGGGGAATTAATCTCTCCAGGCGACGGAGTAGCACAACGGAGTAGCACTACATAAAACGGGATCGACCCTGACACGTTTGCGCGTTTCCATTTTTTTTTTTTTTTTAAAAAAAAAAAGTCATCAATAATTTATATCTCAGGCCGATTTTTTGACAAAGTGGCTGACAGGTTGGGATCAATACATATGATGATGCATTCGAACTCCGTTACCCTAAGGTTGCATTTTTGGCGGATGTGTACACGATGACAGCGCATGTCATGTCGCATCGTAAATGCATTTCTCGTGATCACTGAGGACGGATACATATCTGTTCCTGCGATTTTAAACTTTTCTCACCTTCATTCTGGAAATAGTGACATCAATGAAGCCTTCAGATGAATCCCGTCCCTGCTGACAGGTGGCGCTACAGGGATTAACTGATTTTTGTCGCAACTATCTGACTGTCCGCATGCGGTCAGAAAACGCGGCGATCGCTTTTGTTTTGGATTGTGGAAGAGAAATAATAACCTACCGATACACAAAATACTAACCTAAGTCTATCCTGCCAATGAGTTCGGATAAGAAGGGCTAGAGGTGGTCCATCAAATGTCAGAGGTCACTCTGCCCGTGTGTATGGGAAAAAAACATTTGGATGAGGTGTTTTCTTACCGCTTTTAACCTGGTTTATAGTAAGACAAGTTCACTCCAAAAAGAACAGAAGACTCCCAGATATTGCCTCAGCTTGAGACATCTTTGACTACTATCTAGCAAGCTTTGCCGGTTGATCGCAGGTTGCTTTGAAACTGGCGAGCAGCAGGTGGTCAGTTGCTGAAATCTAGAAGTCCTAGCCTCTAAGCATTCACTGTAGGCACTCCCTCACATCGTGTAGAGCAAAGGGGTAAACGTATACTGCTTTGATATAGGACAACATGCACTTACCTCCACGAGAATGGTTGGGGGAAAGAGATACTGCAATGATGTCGTCCTTAAAAAAGTGATTATTTGTTCCCATGCTGGGAGGAATGAAAGTCGTATGTTTCCGCTGTCGAAGTTGACTTCACAATTTTTTACTTCTAAGGATATGATGAACATTTGGATGCATATATTAGTCCATAGCATTCGAATAGAATAATGAATGTGTTCTGGCATCCGAAAAGCGACTGGCCATTGAGAGAGCACCTTTAGGCTCGGTACCATAGATAGGCCACAATATATCCCGAAAGGATTGAAGTATGCTTCGGAACGTGTGGTGTATCTAGGTGGCACAGCGACAAGTATCTCGGAGGACCCGGTTGCGATGTATAAAAACCAAAACTGTCAATGTCAATGTGCTAGCCTTCTTTTATATGCTTGACAGAAAACAGTTGGAGATTGACTGTTGTCTAAATCGATATGGATTTAACCCGAGAGAACCAGCGTCGGCTCCAATGAATGAAGTGAAAGGGAATACACTGCTGTTGGCTTGAAATTTCATAAATACCACTAAGTATGAGTTATCCACTGTGTGCTAAGTGTAAGCTCACGAAGAGATCCTCACGGGCAGTAAGTTTGACTTGTTTGAAGGAATCCACCATTTTACTATATGAAGTAGCTTATCGGCACCTAGGGCGATATTCATTGCCATCAATGAATTTGAAGGAGACTGACAAGATCTCCAAAGTACATGACAGAGAACGTCAGTTGGAAAACCACCCGGCTTCAGTTTTCCGGATTATGCAACTAGCATAACAGGAGGCAACCATACAGACTCATTCCCTGCACATTATCCACATCCCAATGCTAAGTCTGCTGCCACTAAGGCTTTGGCAAGAGAGATGATAGATCATGATTCCGCTCGGTATAAAGCCGATGGGGAATCTGTGCAAGGCGAAAAAAGTATAGATCATGTTCGACCCAATCTACCGGAATGTCATGGGAGGTATTCTGAGGATCTCCTGAACTCGAGAAGACAAATAGCCGACAATAGACATGTGGCAAAGCACCAGGCGTTGATGTAAAAGAGAGGTTCCACAGCCACATCTCAGTGAACCATGCGGTGATAAATCAGAGAACCAGCCGCAGAGGAAGTTCTCTAAGAGGTCCTATATCCCACGATTTGGAAAACAAATATATTTAGATGGTATATCACTTCGTCGGAACACATCCACCGGCTCTCTTTTGATATGGAAACCATCTCAAGGAAAAGTAACGGCCTTTCCGATGCTTTCGATATCCCGGACGCACATGGTAGAGAACCTATGGTAGCTCACACAACCCCGTTAACCCCATCATCCATATTAGACGCTTGGGTTAGGTCATGCCTCATCAATTGGTAGTGAGTTCCATATTTTGATTCGCGGCTCACGAGAAAAACAAGAAAAGAAAACCTGTGCAAATTTGGCTTCGTTTCCCTTGAGTAAAAGACCCATTAGACGGGGTTTCCATGACATAAACAATTCAGACGTTCTCTCTCTAGTTAACCATTATTCACACCTCCCGTTGGAATACCTTGAGACGTCCAGACTAGCTCTGTGGTGAGGTCGTCCCCCGCGCTCGTCCAATTCCAGCAGGCTATTGCCCTTTCAAACGTCGAGGTGATGTTGAGGACGGTAAACTGATGCAGAACGAAGCCTCTGTATAAAACGGGGATATCAGACATGCAACAGAGGGTGACCCGGGTACCAGGATTCAAATTGGCATTATCCGAACGAGGGATTCAAGCGAAAGACAATACGTGAAATTTGTTCAGCTGGCAGTTGACGATCAGTCGGCAATAAGTATTCCCGGGACCGGCATCGCTGACCTCATCTGTACAGATCATCTTCGAACCTCAATTTGACGGAGATATTTTGCGATATCCACCCATTGCGCCCCAAATCGTGCCCAGAACACTAGTTGGAAATAAATTTATGTAAGTATGACTTTATCTCATATTATATTTTGGGTTTATTGACCATGGCACTCCCTCCTTGTCCCCCAATTCGATGTTGTGTGCATCTCTTACATATGCTGTTCATATCGTTTATGGATCCAGCTTTGGAATCATGATTAGTATGCTTTTATAGCTGTCGAGTCTTTGCAAAAGAAATTGATTGCTTTTATGTTATTCTATTTCTTAAATATCCTCTAATCATGATTTATTGTACTCTGATGGGTTGTTGTTCTTTCCTGGCTCAATAGTTGGAGTAGATATTAACCATTAAATAGATCGCTGGAACACATTAAAATACTCCATATTATTGATGGGAAACTAGTAGACCCTTTGTCTTACTTTTTGCAATGGCCCTCAGTAACAATGGTCGGATTCCGGGTTTAACATTCCTAAACTTGCGGGCCATGTCCCGCAATTCCCCCTCGCACCGGCCATGTTGTCTTTGTCGACAACTTGTTGTTCAAAGGTCTTCGTTCTTGTCTAAGTCAAATTTGCGATTTAACTCCAGCAGCACTTCGTCGGTTAGTGCTTCGATAGCTGAAGCTGTCAAAGTTGCCTCAGAAAAGGCGAACCCCCCGACTAGAAAATTGAAGAGATATTTTCTAGGAACCTCGCTAATTCTCCTGATTTGGGGAGGCTATCTCTATGCGACTGATACTCGAGCCAGTGCCCACCGGTGGTTTGTCCCGCGGTTGATCAGGTGGTATTATCCTGATGCGGAAGATGCTCATCATGCCGGAGTTCACTGGTTGAAAGTTCTCTACGACCTTGGACTCCACCCTCGAGAAAGGGGAAACCCAGATGGTGATGGTAAACTTGTGACTAAGGTGGAGTATATTATTTTCCAAGTGATTTGCTTTCTATTTTGTAGTAGTTCCGTTTGCTAACCATCATAATCAGGTATTTGGGTATACTCTTTGCAACCCAATTGGGATATCCGGTGGCCTTGACAAGGACGCAGAGATCCCTTCTGCCCTGTTTGAATTGGGACCTGCCATTGTTGAGGTTGGAGGAACTACTCCGCTCCCTCAGGAAGGAAACCCCAGGAGTAGAGTGTTCCGGATCGTCTCCCAGGATGCTCTGATTAATCGTTACGGACTTAACTCAAAAGGAGCAGACCATATGGCAGCCGTTCTCAAACAGCGAGTTCGCGACTTTGCTTATGCCCATGGCTTTGGATCCGGCGAGTCTGCAGAGGAGCGAGTGCTCAATGGAGAGGCAGGCGTTCCGGCGGGCAGTCTTACCGATGGTAAACTCCTCGCTGTCCAAGTTGCGAAAAACAAAGTTACTCCGGAGACAGATATTGAAGTTGTCAAGAAAGATTACATCTACTGCGTGAACCGACTAGGAAAGTATGCAGATATCATCGTTGTGAACGTGTCGAGCCCTAATACTCCTGGTCTGAGAACTCTACAGGAATCTGGCCCCCTGACTTCGTTATTAAAGGGCGTAGTCGAAGCTGCGAAACAAACAGATCGGAACACCAAGCCTTACGTGATGGTCAAAGTAAGCCCTGATGAAGATACAGACGAGCAGATTAGTGGCATTTGCGATGCCGTCTGGGCATCTGGAGTGGACGGTGTCATTGTCGGAAACACAACCAAAACGAGGCCTGAATCACTTCCCAAGGGCTACAAGCTGTCCACCCGCGAACAGGAAACGTTGGGGGAGACGGGCGGGTTTTCTGGACCACATCTGTTTGACAAAACTGTCTCACTTGTCTCGAGATATCGAAAGTTGCTTGAAAAGAAGATGCTTTCCGAAGACACTACTGAAAGTGCACCATCATCGGAAACTGGGACGGTGACGGTGACGGCACCGGTGAAATCCCACTTGGCTCCAAAGGTGATTTTTGCATCTGGAGGGATCACGAATGGGGAACAGGCTGCGAAGGCTCTAGGGGCTGGGGCCAATGTTGCGATGCTGTATACTGGGTTGGTTTATGGGGGAAGCGGAACAATTACAAGGATGAAAGAGGAGATGCGGGAACTCAAGGACAAGGCAGAGAAGTAATATGGTTGGTTTGACGTGTGAATTATTATTTTGTTGCGTATGGTGGCTGTTTGACCTGTTCGTATGGCGTTGTCCATGGGTAGAAAAATGGGGTGATAGAAAAGGCATGTATGCGTCTGTGAAGTCAACAATACATCTAGAAAAACAACAGTATCAAAAACATCCTTTTTTTGCTAATTCCTTCTTCCTAGATTGCTTGAAGCAAAACTTGGTTATCTGTATATTTAGTTTTCTTTTTCCTACCAGGAAGAGAAAAGGCAGCAGCCGAAAAGCCGTCGATAAACCCCAGAATACATAAACAGAATCTTACATATGGGAAATCCCAGCCCACACACCTCTTCTCCGGTCTTCTCTTCTTCCACAACTCAAATCAAATTAGTATAAAAAGAAAGAAAAGGAGAAAAATTAATCATATCCGCTCGAATGCTCAAATCAGCCAGAAAGGAACAACAATAGCACCCTTTTCAAAATTTAAAATCTTCCAAGGACAATCTTAGCAAGCAAGTTTAGCCTCGTACTCGCCAATGATCTTCACCTTAGCCGCAGAGGCACTGCTGCTATCAAAGCGATAGTTCAGCCAGTCAGCAGCCAACTTCTTCGCCAGTTCAATGCCGATAACTCTCTGGCCAAAGCAGAGGACCTGTGCATCATTGCTGAGTACAGCCCTCTCGACAGAGAACGGGTCGTGGGCGGTAACGGCACGGATGCCGGGAACCTTATTGGCGGCAATCGCCACACCTAAACCAGTTCCACAGATCAGAAGGGCGCGGTCCGCTCTCCTCTCCTTGACTAGTTGTGCAGCCTGCACGGCAACGTGTGGGTAGGCGGTCTTGTCAGAAGCGGAGGGGACGCCGACGTCGGTGACAGAGGCAACTAGAGGGTTAGAGGACAGGTGGGCTTTAAGGATTTCTTTGTAGCTGTGGCCAGCTTCGTCGCAAGCGATAACGATGCGGAGGGGCGCAAGAGACATTTGTGTGAGGTGGGAGTCGTCGACTTTGCTAGTATTTGAGGCTTTTGTTTTGCTTGATGAAAGCCTTTTGTCTTTCAATGAGAGGATGATACCGCGTAGCAGTTATTATAGGGGCGAATCCGGGACGTGATTTGGGGAAAGGAGGAATTCTAAAGGGAGCGGGCGGACTAAGACTGCGGTACATAGTCCATAGTTAACTGCATGTTGACTCGTTAGCCCCACACATGTTCCACCCCGTGTCCTCTTATGATTAACTGGGCTTTTGTTCAGGGTTGTCATTGTTTGATTTTCTACTTCCGAAACTTCAATTTCTCCCATTTTTTCCCCCAGCTTCGAAGTTCGATACCCAGGTGAATGCGGCGAATAACTTTGGGCGATCACCAGTTACACTTGGAATCCATGCATGTCAACCCCATGTTGCCCATTGTCTAGAGAAAGGTAAGATGGGCTTATCCAATGGGTCTCGCCTGAAACAAATAAGAGGGCGGTCATAAATTCGCTTCTTCGCCGTTCCGACTGAGAGGGTGCTTTAATATGGCCAAAAGCCTGGCAAAGATACCATAAAAACCGAAATCGTTTTAAAATGATGTTTACAAACCCTCCATTTCTATCTAACCGATGATGTCACCGTGATGTAATTAGATATCCCAGTCTAGGTGGAGAGCAAAGTGACAAACTGGCCGTAATTAAACCGGGTAACTCCGCAACAGAACCGAATCGGGGAGTTATTTGCTTCTCAGGTGGAATTGGGGATTACGTTTGCAGAGGCCGTTGAAGAGATTGAGGATGGACTTGGACGATGTTCGCGGCAAACATGATTGAACCGGAGTTCTACAGTGTGCTTTGGCCACCTGCCCGGGAACTTTAAGCACGATAACATAAAAGTCTAGTAGAAAAGAGTAGTATTGTAAAAATCTAAATAGTATTTTTATTAATAATCATACTTAAAGTTGATCTTGATCACTTCACTGATTCTCTTGACTGAACTTTTTTCATCGCATAAACTCAACGGACTAAATAATTTTAGAGTGTTTTCGTTGTACGAATTGACCAAAACGCAATTATCAATAGTAACTGGGTGAGGGTGGAGACATGATGGGAAGAGGCGAGGATATATCAGGGAAGATAGTTGTGATATCTGGAGGAGTAAATCAAGAAGATCAGTAAACTACCCATAAACTAACATTGGTATATCAACTTCACAATACCCTAACCGGGAAGAAAGAAAGGCGAACTACGTTCCCAAACCCTCGGGGGGGGAAGAAGAAAAGAACAGAACAGAAACCCCCATACAAAAAGGCAAAAAGGGTGTAGAGATCTTGCAAAGAAAAAATCCTTCGCCCCCACCCATATCCATTCATTGTCGAATAATTCATCATGGCTCCTCCTGAATACCCCCTCCTCCCCAAAACCCTACTAATAATCTCTCTAAAAATGTACTTCACCCCATCCCGCACAATTACCTACCTCCGCAGCCTCATAGATCCACAAAACGAAATTCTCCTCCCTGAAAACCGCTCAAAGCTCCTCCTCGCTCTAATCCCAGACTTCCTAACAATCTACCCCTGCTCTGAAATCCTCCAATCACACTTCCCAGAACTCCAAACAACCGAGCAGCAATGTCAACAGCAACAAAACAATCAACGGCAGCCGCCTCCTTTCCTCCTCGGGGCCCAAGATTGCTTCTGGAAACCGCTGGGCCCCTATACTGGTGAAATCTCCCCCTCATGCCTCAAAGACCTAAATGTCTCCCTGGTCGAACTCGGCCACGCCGAACGGCGCGACATCTTCCACGAAACCGATGAGCAAGTTGGTCGCAAGGCAGACGCCGTGAGCGTTCAGGGCATGATCCCTCTCGTCTGCGTGGGCGAAGTCTCGTCGCCCGGATCAATTATGGCTGACGCAGTGCGAACGGCAGTTGCTGAGTGTGCGGTGCAGATTAGAGCAGTGCTTGAGTCTGTGCCTAGCTATGCCCCTGTGATTTTTGCTTACGAGCCTGTCTGGGCGATTGGAAAGCCAGTGCCGGCTGGTGTGGAGCATGTGGCTGGTGTGGTGGAGGGGATTAGACGGGTGGTTAGGGGCAGTGGGAGAGAAGGGGACGTTAGGGTTTTGTATGGAGGGAGTGCAGGGCCGGGTCTGTGGGGGGAAGGGGGCCTGGGGAAAGCTGTTGATGGGATGTTTTTGGGGAGATTTGCGCATGAAATTGAGGGGGTGAGGAAGGTGGTTAGGGAAGTGGAGGAGACGTTTTAGAGGTTTGGTTTGGGGGAGGGAGGCTACGTTGCTTGGTAGTATGTACAATGCCCAGAAATGGCCGTATGATTTAGCCATTGATTCAAATTTATATACTAATCAAGGTGTAATATGCATGGTGACTCCTCTCTTTTGTGAAACGGGACGGACTCTTACCATCTGGAAATCCGATGAATAATTAATAATCCTTGACTATCTATATATAGGCTAATCATTCAAAGAGCTTGGCCTTCAATACGTATTGAACACCCTTACTACTCTTTCACTTCTGCGAGCAAAAGATAAACCCGCCGGGCAAAAGTGAATGGCTCCAACGCGATCAGACCTTGGTGGTTGGGGCCTCAGGAAAGCCAAACAAAGGTCGAGATAAGGTTTTGGGCTAAAAGTCTAAATCAATTAAGATTTTGGTTCCAGAGGAAAGTTTAACCTCGAGGGTTTTACGGAGGCATCTCTTTCGGCCTAGCTTGTCGCTGCTTCAAGTATAAATGCTGACACACCTTGTTATAGGTCGTGTCGTAAAGCAGCTTTCTAATATATCCAATTAGGGACTAGCTGCCAAAAGGGTCCTCTTTCGAAGGACTTCCAAGCGTTCTGTCACATCATATAGTTACTCGATCAAACTGAACGACCATTAATGCGTCTTACCACCGCAGCTTTCCAGCCATTATTTCAGCTGTGTCATTTGCGGGCAAAATCTTCTATAATAGAGCTATCCTTCTTCTCACATCACTAACCAAAATGAGTTATTCTATGGAGTAACGAATACATTCATTCTATACAAATCATCCTACATGGTCTTTCTCGCACTAACCAACAATCGAATATAATATTTTCTCACGAGTGCCCCAAAAACCAAATGGCATATGAGCTCAAAGCCAAAGGCAACGTACGCTTTAAGGAAGGCGACTACGTAGGCGCTGAAGACCTCTACTCACAAGCGTAAGCTCCCTCTCACCTACCTCTTTGTTTCTCCCCACATCATGGAGTGGAGTATTTAGATGCGTGTGCCCCATGCTTTAAACAATTCAGAGAGAGATATTTTTCTAACTCAATTGGCGCAAACCATTCAGAATTCAGAAGAACTCCCACGAACCATCCTTTTTTAACAACCGCGCTCTTGCTCGACTCAAGCTCCAACACTGGGAGGGCGCCGAGCACGATGCCCGCATTGCCGTAGATCTTTTTGGCCCAAAGAACCCTGCCTCTATTAAATCAAGCTACTACCTGTCTCAGGCACTTCTTGAGCTGCAGCGCCCAGCTGAAGCTCATGACATCGCCTCCGCAGCCTACAAGGCCAGTTTAGAAACAAGGAACCCAAATGCGGAGCCTCTGTCAAGAGTTATACTACGCGCTAAGCAGTCGATATGGGCGGCGAAGGAGACGGCGCGGTTGCGGAACCAGAATGAGACGCTAAAGAGACTGGAGGATTTGTTACAGGCGGATCTGGATAAGGAACTAAGCGAGTTACGCGCGAGGTTGGCGGCGGGGGAGATTGGGCAGATTGGATTTAAAGAGGATGAGAAAGAACTGTTGGATGACGGTCAAAGGAGGCTGGATGTTGTGAGGGATGTGTTTGCTTCTTCGATGGGTGAAGAAAGCATGAAGGAACGGGTATGCATATTTTCTCCTTTTGACTCGCCATTCCCCTTCATCGTCTCCCTTTTTATTCCATCTCTTCCCCTCATAATTGCCGTGATGCTTAATCCTCGTCTCTTACAGGTTGTTCCGGACTATTTAATAGACAGCATCACATTTGAAATAATGCACGACCCAGTTGTCACTCCCTCTGGCCACTCCTTCGAACGCACCAGCATTCTCAAACATATGCAACATTCTCCCATTGACCCAATCACCCGCACTCCCATGACCATCAGCGATCTTCGACCAAACTTTGCGTTGAAGGCAGCATGCAATGATTTCCTGGCCCAAAACGGCTGGGCAGTTGATTGGTGAGCTTGAACGTGATCGATGTCCCTCGTTGAAAGAGGGTGGCCATTGGACACTGCTTCTGTTGTTGAAGTTCTCATACATCCTCTTCGCTGTGTGTATGGGATTACATGTGGGCTTCTTTTCTCGCCCATTTCACCCCCGTTTTGGCGTTTTGACCGTCTTTTAAGCTTCCCTTCTTTCGTCTCTTCATGACGTACCAGGATTCATGTTATTCTTTTCTATATTTTCTGATTTTTAAGAAAATAGTCCTTGCTTAACACGACTCGTGAAGTCTTTTCTTTTCGATCCCCTGTTTGCATCGTTTGGCGCAGTTAGAGCGGGCTGTCTGTGTTTTCTCATCCTTGAAATCCACATTCCTCTGATCCCACTATGATTTATTACCTACCTCCTTCTTGTTCTTTTTCTATATATGATGATCCACGGTTTGTAGAAGCATTCTTTGATATCTTCACCGCATTTTCTTCCACATATACCTTTCCCCTTTTATTTGTCGTGTAGAAATCCCGACCGAAGCGAAATACCTGTCCATCTTATTTTTTCTTGCATCTCCTATATGAAACGAGCGAAATCTCTTCACATAAATAAATTGGAATAACACTTTTCTTTTCCCGTCTATCGGTCCCATCGATGTCCAGATAGATGTCCAGGGGCGCTACAAACCTCTGAATGACCATGCCTGCTCCGTGGCGTTCGGCTTAACTACCTCATTCCCTGCCCTGTTAACGTACGCGATGACCTACCGGAACAGATCACCTACCGGAGCACTGTTCCATTCCAACCACCTAAATCCACCAAATCAAAAGATCAAGCTTCCAATCGGGAATGGAGGCTTCTTTTAGCCATTAGAGCTTATGAAACTAAGCAATTTTCAACCATGTGAGCAGCTGCCAAGGTGTATGATGTTGCTCTCTGAAGCCTATCCTACCAACTACGCGGTTGAATCACATAGATTCTCAAGAAGACAATTAAAAGCTGACCTCAATTGAAGAAGAATCTCTAGTTTAATGGATAATATCCATGGATGATAGAAGTCTATTTCACTGAATCACGAGCATACAAGATATGATCATTTAACTACTGAAAATATGTATAAAATCTAGTTCGTTACTTACAATTGAAAAATACTGAGAGTGAAGATTCATTCAACATTATAATGAATTAAAAATCAAACTCATACATAGATATGATCATTAGTAAGTCTTATGTAAAAACTCAAAGATTATGCTTGAATAATTTAAACTAACAAAAAATATCAGAATATTAATCCTTTCAATTACAGTCATTTATTCTCTATTTTCAATAATTATTTTCAAGACTAAAGTATATTAAACTTTTTGATATGAGAATCTATCAGTAGGTTAAATGATTAAGATTAAAAATAACTATATTACAAATTAGTTATATTTAATGTAATTAAAGAGATATTCAGAAGGCTTTTATAATAATTTATAAAATGATCTCTTAGAAAGCAAATATTGATAATATTTGAATATTTTAAGGTAGTCAAATAATATTAAAAAATCTTCAAAAACTTGAAATTTAAAGTAGTCAGATAAATCTTGAATTAATTCAAAGAACAGTAGAAAGATTTATGATTAAAAATAAAAATATTCAAATTTACTTATCTTGGGTACCTGCGCATATAGGTATTTTAAGAAATGAAAAAGCAGATTTAGCAGCAAAGATTGAAACTAAAACTCAAGAAGTAACTCAAAGAATTATATTCTAATTATTTATTAAGAAAAAGATTAAAGAATCATGTCTTGATAAATGGACAAAGATCTGGGAAAAGAAGAAGAAAAGCACTCAGTATATAAGGTATAAAATGAAATCAAAGTAGAAATCTACATCAATAAAATGCAGAAAGGAAACATTTTCCTCTATAATACAATTGAAACTTTAACATGACTACTTTAAATCATATATGAAAAGATTTAAAAATTCTTTAAATTTTTATAAATGTGATATCTGTGATATAGTTGAAAGTTCAGATCATGTACTGATGAATTGCTCATTAAACAATAAGATAAGAAAGAAATTAAAAGAAAAACACTTAATTAATCAACTAAGTATGATCTTTCTGTTTAATACTGAATTATAAAGAAAGTTTTTAATTGAGTTTATAGAGAAAACAAAAATTGCCTCTAGATAATAAAATTCAATATTAAATGAATTTGATATTTAATCTATAAAAAAGCTGAGAATATTTTTAAAAATACTTTTATTAAAATTTCTTTTGTATTAAGTTTATTGTTTTGTTTTGTTTTGTTTTGTTTTATTCTATTTTGTTACTTGTTTAAGTTGAAAAAGAAACTGGATTAAAATTGAAACTATTAATGTATTATTTGTTAAAAGATTATTAAATGCTGTATTATTCTGAGATAAAACTCTATAAATGCGTAGATTGATTGCTATTTATTAATTAGATTAGTAAAATAGTTAAAACCTAGTTTTAACTAGATAGATATTATAGTTACTGATTGAATATATTTTAAATAAAGAATAATAATAATAATAATAATAATAATAATAATAATAGATATTTAATAATTATATATAAACTTATACAGTTAATAAATATTAACTTTTTATTTTAAATAATTATGAAAATTATATTATAACTATACTTAATCAATTCTATATAGAGAATATTATTATATCTTTTTATATATTATTATATTTATATTATCTTTTATAGTTATTAAATATACATTATTTTACTTTTTTTAAAAAAATATATATAACTAATAGATTAAAATAACTAATAAATTGAAATAAATATAAGATTTAATATTATAAATATAAATATTAAAAATAAATTTAAAATTATAAATTTATTATTTTATAATTTTGAAAATATTTATATATATTTATATATATTTTTAACTATATATACTCAGTTTTTCTGATATATTTTAATAATTTTAATCTTTTTAAATTTCGAAAGCTCTTTATAATATAATTTAATTAAAATATTAATTTAATAATATTAAATAGTATATTAAGTATTATATATAAAAATTTTCTAGTTTAAATTTTATCAATTATATAAGTAAATATATAAAATTAAAAATTTTATAAAGTAAATAAAAACTTGAAAATTTTACTTTGAGTTTTATAAAAGAATTATATCAAAGTCTATAAATATATGATAATTAATAAAACTATTATACAAGAAATAATATAGAATATACTCAATATGAATAAGAAAAAAAGATAAAAATATTATAGATTTAAACATTAAATTTAATATAAAGAAAAAATAACTAAAGATAAAATTATTAAAATTATTATTTTATCTATTAAGTCTATTAAGTAGATAGTTATTCAATTCTCTATCTTTGAAATCTCAGAGTTTATATCATATTCATAAGTATTATTAAGATGTAGTAATTATAGTTTTTATCATAATTCAACTAGAGGTATGATGATAACAAGATAAAAGTTCAATTCATCTATCTAACTAGATAGCTGCGATAAAAATACTAAACTGAGGATTAAAATGTAGAATGAATAAGCAACTGAATATATATAGATGATTAGAGATCAGAGCAAATCAATCTTGAGTATTGAATATGATTGAGATTGAAACAAATTAATCTTATCTCATATTACTAGTAACTGCGCCGTAATAGTTTTTTTAATTATAAAAAAATAAAACATCTTAATTTTAATATTGTTTAATTTAATTTAATAATTGATTATTAAGTATAAAATAATTCAATTTAAAATTTATAAAATAAGCTTATTTAGTTTCTAATAACTAATTCAACTATAGATTATATTAACTACTAACTAATTAACTAACTAGTATAATTCTCAACTTAGTTAAATTTTCAACTTATTAAAGATTAAATTCAATATATATAGTATTTTAATTTTAATTAATAATAATAATAATAATAATAATAATTAATTAAAAATTAAATTATATTAAGATTTAAATATTTTTATATAATAGTTTTATAATTTTTATATTTTTATAAAGTATATAATTATAATTATAAAATAGAAGATTCAGTTTTATATAATATTCAGATAAATAAAGTAGAGAATATAGTAATTTTTTAAGCTTTTTCTCTTATAATAACTTTTTTATATTAAATTAAATTTCTAGATATTATATAATTTTATTTTATTTTTTATATAAAGTAAATATATTTTAATATTATTTCTTTATAATTAAAGTAATAATTATCTTATATTTATAAGTCTTAATAATTTGATTAAATACTTTCTTAAATACCTCAGAAGTATTTATATATTATTTATTTAAAAAATATTGATTTTACTTTTTTATCTTTATAGTTAAGAAATATTCTTAAATATTACTAAATCAGCTTTATAAAAAAGTAGATGTATAGAGCTATATGTCAAACTTTCAAATAATCTGATTAAAATTAAATAAATTAATATCAATTGCTTTAAAGTTATTTTGAATATCTTGATATAAAGACCTTCTTTTGTGTAGTAGAATATATATTCAAAAAATCTGATTTCTAAATGATATTGAATTCAAAGATAAAATGATATTAATAATCATTTAAAATAAGACATGGATACTCATTTTGCATACACTTATAGTTAAGATGAATAATTTTGTAAGTTATTTAAGCTCAATCATGTTTGTTATATAATCATTAAAGCTAACATCAAGATTTCAGTTATCTGGCAATTTATCAAACCAATTTTCTTGAACATTATGACTTTTGAAAATAATGTACAAAGATAGATTTCAGTCAGATGTATTTACTAACTTAATAACTTGTCATTCATTCATGATTTTTAGACTCAAGAAGCTTCATACAGTTATGTTGTTCAGAACTGATAACAACTTTAATAGTCATATAGAGTCTCATTGCAAATTCAGTCTTATCAAAGTTATAGATATTCTCAAACTGAATCTCATACTGAGTAAAGGTATCATTCAGAGTGACAAATTACTTTTAAGTGATCTTAATATCCTCACATTTTATTCAATCATGATTATAGTTTTTTGAATATCAACTTTGAAGCTCTTTACAGTGATTTATTAGGTTCAAAATCCAGTTCTTGTCAATGTGAGGGGAGAGGATATAGCAAGAAGATGATATGCCATATTTTCCACAAAAACAGATCTAGGGGATAATCCTCATTTGACCAGGCTTAGTTCTTATTGAACAAGTATTTCCTCTTCAGTTTCAGTCAATCAGCGTGAATTTGCGTGTAAGATTGTGTGTGAAGAGCAGCCTTTCAACTGATCCGCAAGAGTAGAGCGCGGGGATATCATACAGCCTTGCTGCTTCATGAATAGAGGTAATTTCTTGTATTTTTCAAGGTGAATATCGCGAGTTCAATTCTTCCCTCTATTTCTATAGAGCTTCCTTTGTTTTTATTGCGAATTGGTGGCATCTTGACGCGTCAAAGAAGGTAGGTTGATAAATTAGATAGTTACCAGTTTCAATTTGGTGTACAACTCGGTTGGCGTCCGACTCGGCTGGGAATTATTAGTTACGTTAGATAACTTTACACTCTTACTTTTTAAAGTCTGCTGAAAGCCCTCAACTTCTCAATCCGCAGAGCAGAAGCTATCTTATTTCCTACCAGAAGTGCCAGGTTTTGCTTGTAACTTTGGATTACATTTTTGAGAGTAGTTTTTCTACTTGGGTGAGTTTATCATTTATCCTTGATTTTGTTCTCCTATGTTTGCATTTTCACTTTCTGTATTGTCCCTCATTTCTGCATCATCGCTATTCGGCAAAAGTCTCCGAATTTCGAAACTTTCCGAAAAAATCGACACTGAAACAAGGCGATATTAATCTATCTACTTCTGCTAATGAAGCTGTGTTGTCTTGTAGCAAAGTCAAGTACAGGGCGTGTCCATTTTGTTTTGCAGACTGCATTTCAGAAGATATCATCCACTTAGACCGAAAGCGATTCGATACAACCCTTTTCGTGTCCCACCACCGCTTCAACTAAGATTCCCCTCCCCACACCCAAGAATATCACACGCAACAATGGCTGCGCAAAAGTCCTCCAATTTTGAAGCCGCCATCGAAGCTAGCCGGAAGCTGTCTAGCAAGCCTACCGATGATGATCTGTTAGAAGTTCGTTTTCTGATATGATTTGGGTTTAGATGTTTTATCTTTTGATTTGTTTGAGAAGCTTTTGCACAAAAAAAAAGTGATAATGGAGGCTACGCAGGGGAGGTGAAAGAGATAAGAACGCAGAAGGAAAAAAGGCCATCTGTTGTGGGGACAACTAGCTAACTGTTGCTGCAACTTTCACGTAGCTCTACGCACTTTTCAAGCAAGGAACGCAAGACCCTCCTTTCGAGGATGCTCCCAAGCCTGGAACGTTTGACTTCAAGGTATGCACTACGAACCAAGAGGGAATGCCCACGCCTAGTTTCTCTTGATATATCTTTTCCACCCCGAAGAGAACTTATCCCAAGCTAACAGCATTTTGCTCTACTTTCCTGCTTCGTAGGGCAAATACAAATACAACGCCTGGAAAAAGATCGCCGAAGAAGGCCTCTCTGCTGAAGAAGCACAAGAGAAATACGTCTCTCTTGTCGAGAAATTCAAGGAGAAGTACGGATATGATGCGTTGAAGGCGCCAGAACAGGTTGGCGGAAGTTAGACGGAATATGTATTAGAAAGAGATGACATGGCGGTGGGGTAGGGAGATTGGGTTAGCTTCTAGATAGGTATTTGTGGCTATTGTGTATATGACATGATATACCATGATATCATCGGTGCGATGTAGTGAAACGGCGGAAAGGGAGCAGTTGTGAATGAAATCGGAGAACATATTTTGATACATGTGTCGGATGTTTATGGGACCTGGTATTTCGAGATAAGAGTTTTGCGCTATGCTAACTTTTTCTTGTGCCTGGTTGTTTGATATATCGGTGACATTCTCTCTACCATTGAACAACCCGTACCTAATTAAATGCTAGTGGATTCCTAATTACTCCTGGATGCCTTGCATTGATTGCTAAATTTAGCTCGCAGCGAGTAAGAATAGTAAGAAATATAGTTCACGCAGGGGTCCAGCCACCATCATAAACGAAAAGATAAAAATAAATCGTGGAGGCCGCAGTAGGAGAAGTAGTCGTTATTTATTGACGTCTATAACAAAGAACGGCTATAGAAATGCACTTGTGCTCCTTCAGGTATAATCTCTGCTCCAAGGGGATTCAATAAGGTGTGCCTATTATCATGCTAATAGATTTCTCATACGAACTTCTAAGTCTTCAAAGGTAGCAAAAGTAGACACTAAAACTCATTGATTTCAGTGCGATCCTTCAACCTTTGAAGTTTTCCCTTAGAATATCGGCACACGCGCGAAAGGAGGACGTAGGGCTGTGGTGTGAAATTTCAAGGTGTTTAATTGGTGCAAGTTGGCACAGCAGAATGTGACAACAAATATCAATACAAGGACCCATGTTCGCAATACCCTGGTCCCAGGGCCTTGAAAGCTGGGATTTGATTTTAGCATTGCTAATATGGGCCATGAGGGTGGAATATCCCAGCTCTGAAACTGCAGGATAATCATCAAGGGGTGGTTTTGTTAGAGAAAAAGCAGTAAAATCATAAAGGGACTCAATCGGTGATAGGCTCATCAATGAAGATATGGAAAGAAAAAAAATTTAAGTAAAAATGATCAACAAATACTCTTCAAATATGTTTTAGATAGTCGATCTTTTTCAATTAGTTGCCAGCTGAAATTTTAGAGCTGCGGCGGAGCCTGAGGAAGATAAAAGCAACATGTCACATAACTATCCTGCAACACCCTAGAAGTACAAAGGGAGAAGAGAAAGGAGAGCAACCACCATTCAGACCACCATTTAGCATACTATTTAGCAGAGGAGATAATGACAGGCCCTTTACTTTGCCGCACTCTGCAAAAGTAACAGCAACAGTTTAAGAGGAAACCATTTGAGGGTTTGATGCTCCTTGTCTGCCTTAACCGCTACATCAATAGATACCCCATCAACTGCTTGGTCACGTGCCCCAGATTCACACGTCAGCCCAACAGGCTTCAGTGAAACCTTGGGACTTGGGACCTTTGAAGCGAGGTTTTGTTGGAATATATGGAATGGATCGCCGCTCAACCACTAATTTGCCTTGCACCGATGCATGGTTCCGTAGAACACCGGTAAACACACCTAGCATGGCAAGGAGGGCTTATCTCGAGCTTAGCAAGCCCTCACGGGTCCAACATCTTGATGAATGTTCCGTCAGGATCTTTATGATACTCATCACGGTTCAACCAGTGATATAGGTACGGTCTGTTGCCCGGAGACTGAAGGATTTAATATTTATTATGCGGAATATTACCACTTCTCACAAGTCATGGGTGCTGCTGACATTCTGCTACGTAATATTTCCGGCAATCAAGATCAAGGACGCTCATATCTGTCCGCAGACATCTTATATCATTAGAGGCACATATCATGCTCTTCTCCCGCTCCTTGAAAACAAATACACAAACACGATATACGATTTGAACCAATTTACTTTGCATGACTCGATCTCAGACTTTTTCATGACCATGCCAGCAGAATGCAAAAAGCAAGAAAAGCAAGACCCCGGCAAGGCACCGGTTACTTCCGTGCTCTCTGACGGTGATATCTCTATCATCGACTGTGAAATGGACTCTGATGAGCGTGTATTCGTTTCACTGGGCTATAAACAGGAATTCAAACGCGAGTTTTCTCTCTGGACAACGTTTTGCGTTAGCTTTTCTGTTCTTGGGCTTCTACCTTCTTTTGCAAGTACGCTATGGTGGGGTATGTAGTTCCCCCCTTTCAGTGTATTTCTATGCCCGTGGACGAGGGTTGAAGGCGAACAAATTTAAGCCCGTTCCTGGTAATCTGAACTAAAATGAACTGCAGGTATGGGGTATGCGGGCACCGCAGGAATGGTTTGGGGATGGCCTATCGCTATGGCTTTTATTCAATGTGTCGCCATGAGCATGGCTGAGCTCTGCTCCTCAATGCCTACAAGGTAAGGTGGAAGCCTGATCTTTGATATCCATCTCAGGGGCTGGGTTACTTCTTAGTTAACCCCAAACCATATTCTAGCGGCGGCCTTTACTACGCAGCAGCAGTTCTAGCACCGCCCAAGTACGGCCCTTTTGCTGCTTGGTTCACAGGCTGGTCGAATTGGGTAGGCCAGGTAATGGGGGCTCCATCAGTGAACTATGCAACAGCCGCCATGATTCTTGCCACAGCCTCAATAAACAACCCAAATTACATACCCACAGCCTATCAAACGTTCCTTCTCACAGCCCTAATAATGATCATCCATGGGATCCTTAGCAGCATGCCAACAAAATGGATTGCCAACTTTAATTCCTACGGGTCAAGCTTCAACATAATTGCGCTCATTTTTGTCCTAATTGCCATTCCAGTGGGCACAAGCAACTCTCCGAAATTTTCTCCCTCCTCTGAGGTATGGGGAACTATATACGATGGCACCTCGTTTCCGAAAGGAGTCTCCGTTCTGATGTCTTTCGTCAGCGTCATCTGGGCAATGTCCGGCTACGATTCTTCATTCCACCTGAGCGAGGAATGTTCAAATTCCAACATCGCATCTCCACGCGCCATAGTTATCACCTCGGGTGCTGGAGGCATTTTGGGATGGCTTCTCCAGCTCGTCGCAGCATACACGGTCAAAGACATTACAGAGGTTCTGGAATCAGACCTTGGCCAGCCCTGGGCCTCTTATCTGTTCCAAGTAATGCCACACAGACTAGCCGTGACCATCCTCACCCTGACAATAATATGCGGTTTCTCAATGGGACAGGGGTGCATGATTGCTGCCTCCCGGGTTACTTACGCATATGCCCGCGATGACTGCTTCCCCTTATCTCGTATCTGGAAGAAAGTCAACCCATACACGCAAACGCCCGTCAATGCCGTCTGGTTCAACTGTGTCATTGGTATATTATCCTGCCTGCTCATTTTTGCAGGGGAAATTGCCGTTGGCGCTTTATTTTCAATCGGTGCCATTGCTGCATTCACTGCCTTCGCGATTCCCATTGCCATCCGCATTCTCGTCGTAAAGCGCCGGTTCCGACCCGGGCCGTGGAATCTGGGTAAATATAGCACGCCCATCGGCGCTGCGGGAGTCATGTTTGTCATGTTGATGATTCCGATTTTGTGTCTTCCGGCAAAGACTGGTTCGGAGCTGACGTGAGTCTGAAATCGGGTTTACTTCTGTTTATCTACCTTTTCACTTCAAATCATCTGACCCTGGGCACACTAATTGCCTTCCATTTCCCCACTAGCCTCGAAGAAATGAACTGGACTTGCGTCGTCTATGGCGGCCTCATGCTCCTAATAACCATATGGTGGTTTGTTGATGCGCATAAGTGGTTCAGAGGTCCCAAAATCAACCTTGAACATCGTATCTAGAAGTTTTTCGACAGCATGGAAGTTGACAAGGGGAGAATTGAGGTATGTCATCCTTCACTTCTGCAGGGAAACCTGTTGTTGATATTGAGGTGAAGTAAAATATCTTTTTAATTCATTTGGTTATTCTCATCTACATGGAATTCTTTGGGTAGTTTTTGGATGGTTCCGGCTTTCCTATTGTTATTATTGGCGTATAGATCGCTGCTCGCACCTAGATAGTTAGGGCCCCGTACTTGTGGTAAGTATGGGCGGGGAGAGACTCTCCTATTTTCAAGGATCATATTAAACTTGTCTCCTGTGCGCTCATCAAAACGAAAACATCATTGTTTCTAGGCTAGGTTGAAGAAAGGGCATGTGATTCTAGAACCTGAGATCGGACGTCAAATCTACTTTCTCGAGTAGAAAACAACTTCAACAACTGCAATACATCTATCTAATAATCCCACTTATTTCCCCGCTTTTCATAATCCAGTTGCAAAGTACATAACATACCTATATTAATAGCTATGAATAAATAACCTACCTACAATCTATGCATATCAGAAAATCGAAAATATGGTGACAATAAACGCTGCAATTGAAAAAACAAAAATTCCAATGAAAATGCTGTCTGTCTATTAGCTATATATACGATGATCATACTTTCTCATATTTCTCCCACATTCCTTTCTCTTTTCTCTCTTTCTAGCTCACAATTTTCTTGCTCAGTTAGCTGCTATTTATTAATCCTCTCATCTCCCTCTCCTCTTTAATATACCCGGGCTCATTTACCCACAAGACATGGCCTGGCTATAATTGAGACAGATCTCTTTCATCCCCTCATCCCAGACAACAAAAGCAGATGTTTATTCACCACTTAAGACTCCACTGGAGTTACATAAAAAAAACAATGCAATGAGTAAGTAGGTGAAGATAAACAGAACACAAAAGTGGAAGACATAAAAAGAAGTAAAGCCAGCTAACCGGGGGAAAGCACATGGAAGAAAAAAGTACTATAGGATGAAATGGGAAGATCAACAGAGAAAAGAGGAAAAGGAACTACAAAAACAAGAAAAGGGAAATTAGCAAATGGAGAAGGAAGAAGGGGGGAAACGAAAGGCAAAAAAAGAGAAGAAAGAAAACAAGTCCCAACTAGTCAACTTTCCCTGAACCGCTTCCAACACCAAGCAGGCCCTCTTTTCCATCGAGGTGGAAGAATCCACCACCTGAGGTACCAGTGACGGCACCAAGGAGCCCCCCAGCGCCTCTGAGTCTTCTTAATCTACCCTTCACGCAAAGGGATGAGAATACCACAACAAGGAAGATGAGAGCAATGAATATGAAAGGGTGAGCTTGAATAAAGGAGCGTGTTTTGAAGAATAGGCCTTCAAAGAAACCAACTGTGGATTTCGGTTTGAGCTTCGAGGATGGGGAGATGACTTGGGTGATGGTGTCGAGAATGGAGGTACGGCTGGGCATGATGTAGGCACCGCTTGTGGTGGTGTCCCAGTATCGGCGATTCTGTTTCATGGGGCGATGAGTCAGTTTTGGTAGCAAGAGGCCAGGAGGAAAGGTAGACGTGGGATATGATGTCACTGGGGCAAGTATGAAACAAAATATTACTTACGTCCTCGTCATTGATGATGACACGTTCTCCGTTTTTAACATCAATACCATAAGTTGTCCGAAGCCATCGATCCCAGAATATACCGTCGACCCATGCGAAAACGACCTGTTTTTTATCGCTCTCCCGAATGGTGATTTGTCTATTTTTCGCTGCACGCAGCGCTCGCTGGTCATTTCGGTCCTCTGCCTCTTCGATACGCAATTCTTTCGCGTCTCGAAGTTCCTGACGCTCAAGTTGAAATAATTTCGTCTGCTTATCCATCCACTCAAGCGCAGCATTTTTCAGCTCCTTTTTATCCTGGATGAATTCATCTGAGCGCAGTCGACTGAGGATACCGAGGACGACAAATTTTCCAGGGAGGATCTCGCGAGCGTTCGTCGCTGTAAGCTCTGGGACAATTGGAAGCCACACGCTTTCCATCCAGCTAAGAACCTGTCGGAAATCTCGCATATCTTTAGGCGCAAGGGCGTTGTAGTAACTGGGTTTCCCATCTCTCGAGACGAGAAGACGAGGCCAGGTAGAAATTCTGAATCTCGTAGCGAGAATCTCGCTATCGGTCTTGACCAGCCTTGCACGTCCCACTAAGCTCAAAGTTAAGCGGTCCAGGGCGGCAAAGTCCTCTGAAGTGGTAGCCTTGTCGAAGAAATACAAGAAAATTACCTCTTCTGTTTGCTCCATTTCCTTAAAGGCAGCAGCATCAACATATTGAACGCCGTTGCCCACAACTTCGGCTGCCTTTCTAGCGTAGCTGACCAGGTCTCCCAGGCCTCTGAGCCCGTGATACTCGACACGCTCTCCACCCCTGAAAAAGTAAATAGTTGGATAGGAGCTAACTCGGGCATCTTTGCACAATCGCCGCTCAGTCTCACAGTTAACTTCGCCAACATTTAAAATACCTTTCATATCCTTGGACATCTGTTCCCATGAGGGAGCCATGGCCTGGCAATGGCTGCACCATTGTGTATAGAACTTGATAAACCATGGAACATGAGTGGTCGTGACTAGTTTCTGGAAACTTTCAGCCGTGAGGGGGATCGATGTGCCTTGAGGGTTGGGCACGGGCCGCGCAGGCTGGGGCTTTCCACTTGTTGTCGACACAGAAGTTGAAGTTTCTGATTTTCCTTCTGGTTTTGATTCGAGTTTGGATCCCGATGTATCACTAAGCGGAGTTGAATCAACCTTGGTATCGCCGGGTTTCGGTAGCTTTAAACCCTTCAGGGGTCTTGAACCGGGCTTAATGTGTTCCAATTTCTCCTCGATAAACTCGCTCATGGCTTTGATTGACTTTTTACCAATAAAGGATTCCAACTTTTCACCCTTGTAGTAGAGTATGAACATGGGGAATGCAGCCACTTTAAGTGCCTGGCATTTATCTGCATTTGCGATGCAGTCCATTGAAGCGAAATGAAAGTTGTAGAAACCATTAAAGGAATTCAGGGAGGATTGCGCAGCCGGTGCTTGCTTGGATGTTGAGGTCGATAGGGGATTCGAGGTCTGCTGGCAATTAATAACTTGGTATATTGTAAAAGGAACAGTGAGATAGACTGACATAATAGAATTCGTATAGCGTTTGCCACGTTGGAGCGATGTCCAAGCAATACGGGCAATATGGAGAGTAATGCTTCACAAACCTGTAGTGGAATATCAGACTCTGATTAGTTTCCAAAAAGTTGTCCGATCATCAAGGAAACAAGAGGTTAGTTAGAGGACGTACCAGTAACCCTCCTTAATAGTTTCATCAAAATTAGTCGCATTAAGCTGTTTCATGGGGGGAACTTCGACGCCATTAAACACCGTGTGAGAGCTTCCCGGTGACTTGTCTGCTTGGAGGTTCGCCTGGGGAGCTGATGGCTTTTTCAAAATATTGTCGGATCCAGTGTGGCTCGTCGAGGTGGAGATGACGGGATTCAAAATCAAGGAAAGTAATGACCATGAAAGGAGTGCCGTCTTCATTGTAAGAAGTTCAGGCCGGCGGGCCCCAAGAACAGAGTTAAATCTGTCCCCAAATGCTGTGCAGTGCTAGCGAGGTATCCGTATCTAGTCAAGAACAGCAGATATATCCGTAATCAATGGCAGCGTTCGTAATTATTTTTCTATTGGCCAAAGCGCGGAGCGGTAATCTCGGGCATGGACGATCGTGATAGGGGAGCTGGATACGGCTTTCATCCATGGAAGCATGAGGTCTAAAAGAGAGACCGCGGATTCCGCTCGAACTGCGATAGATGTAGTGGATAACCAGCAATCATTCATCAATGGAGGGCGTTGACCTTGCTGAGGTGGAGTTTCCCCTTAAGTAGAGCCCTAAGAGCCTCACATAAGCGCGGGCTTATATTTCTCCGGCTCCGAGAGCCGGCGCCTTCGATATCGAACCCAACGAACCATTCCCATCATCTGAACGAAACGAACGGCGAGTTAGTTATATGCACTTTTGAGAAGAGGCACGGAGACAGAGAGAGACAGTTACCAATTGGACCCAGATTCTTGCTCTAATCTGGGATTCTCTTCACATTCCCTCCCATCATGAGGTCTACTCAACGATTGCTGGCCGACGTCAAGTCAGCTCGATTCCTCGAACCTCATGCACCTACAGGTCTCACCGGCTTAGCCACCCACCCAAGACCCCGACAAGCGCTCCTCATCCTATACACCAACACTCTGAACAAACTCAAGCAGATCCCCGGGTCTTCCGTCTACCGCCAAGCCACAGAAGCCCTTACACAGCAGCGATTGAAGATCGTCGAATCCACCAAACCCCCCGGATACGATAAGTGGCTGCAGGAAGTACAAGAAAAAATTACTGCAAATCCAGATCTGGTCAAGAAGATCACAACACCCAGCGGTCCTCTAGCCGGTGTCTACTCGATTTTGGCTCCCCGGGTGTCTGACCTTGAAAGAAGACACTACAACGAGGGTATGGAGCATGCGCAGCAGCAAATAAAGGAGGAGAGTGAACAATTCGAACAGCTTCCTGAGGAAGAGAAGGCCGCTGTAGCACTCTGGTCGAGAACGTACCGAGAAAAAGAGATTGAGGAAGTCGAGGGGGATGCTCCGACAGAGCCCCGGATTGATTTGTATGAGGAACCAGCGTTGGAAGCAGCGCAGTAAGATCTACACCTTTCTACATGTCCTAGAACTGCTGGATTCATATTTTATTGATATATTTTTATGTATTCCTTCATTCGTCATTGTGGATCTGTTATTCTGATATTGATCTTTGTAGGATCTCCGAAATCGAAAATCAGATCGGCGCTGGCTTGATAGAGGAAGTTATCAAAGTTGCCGAAGGAGAGTTGAAACTTGTGGATGAGATGGCTAAATATAAAGTGTAAGCACGGAAGATCTACCGCAAATCAAAATCCAAATAATAAGCAAGTGAAATGCCTTACTAACTCTATATGGATAGATGGGAAGAGCTCGTCGAAAAGCCAAAGCCCGGCCAATGGACATATTTTGGCAGAGCTGCCGATGAGCACTAGGACAGTCGATGTTTTGGTGTCTTAATTTTATCTATGATCCCGGCTATGTTAATAGGGATTATAGCCTTTTTTCCGGTTCACTTTCTAAACAGATCTCACGTTGACCCTTTGTAAATAGATGGAACTCGTTTCGGAGGCTTCATTCTTTCCATTTTCATACCCGGTGAATGCCTGTGGGGATTTTCGAATCCCTCTAGGCGGTTTTTTTGAGAATTATTCTGTGAAGGGTCTTTCTCCCACCTCCAGCTATCAAGATATTGCTTGGGAGACAGTCACCCCATGTAACATACAACATAGGATGGGAAAGTTCATGAAATAAAAAAATATATAAAAAAAGTATTTGAAAAAAAAAAACCAACTTCCAATATTTTATTTAATTAGAGTAAGTAATCCATTACATATTTTTACTATATTCCAGACTTTGTCCATCAATTGCAATGTCAAAATGAATATAACTAGTCCTTTGGCCCAGACATGTTATTTTGCCCAAGTGCTGGGTGGCGCTAACCCTTCCTGGACAGGATATCAACTCAAAGTTGGTTGATACGGACAACTTGCATTTCACCATAACCGCATCTCATTCCATTACCATTCAACGCCCTCCTATTCTTCACGAACTTGTTTAACAAGATAGATACAGCTCTGTCAGCTACCGCGACTCGGCATATACCCTCCTCGTCAGGTGATTCCTTCCCGAGGCCGCAAGCGGGCCGCAAGCTGGCCGCAAGCTCGTCGTCCCTTGAACCTCCTGTGGCACCTTGCCCACAATGCGGTTAGATGTAAAAGTGCGTGGAATAACCTCCTTTCTCTTGGATAATGCTTAGGAATATGTCCTCAGGCTTGCTATGGAGTTGTGTTTTGGGACGATATGGGCTTATCGCTAACGTACTTTACCACTAATAGCGACAACTCTTTGCCCGGTCGGAGAGGGTCAAGGGCATTGACTTTCATCCAACAGAGCCATGGGTAAGTTGAATGTGCTCCTACCATTAATACGGAATTAGTATTCTAAAATATTCAATAGATTTTGACTACATTGTATAGTGGTAAGCCATTATTTACTGGAAGGGTATTGGAAGAGTTTCGTTACTGATGCGTCGGACGAACATATAGGTCATGCTTATATATGGTCCTATGAGACGCAGGCAAGTAACAGTACCCACGCAGAAGCTGGTTTGTTTCGATGCTGACATTCAATCCAGTCTATAATCAAGACATTCGAGCTTACGGATGTGCCTGTCAGAGCCGGTCGATTCATCGCCCGAAAGAATTGGATTGTTTGCGGGTCCGATGACTTCCAACTCCGCGTCTACAATTACAACACTTCCGAAAAGATCACTTCCTTTGAAGCACATCCAGATTACATCCGGTCAATCGTCGTTCACCCGTCACAGCCGTTTGTCCTCACTGCTTCAGATGACATGACCATTAAGCTCTGGGATTGGGATAAGGGATGGAAATGCGTGCAGATTTATGAAGGGCACAGCCATTATGTTATGGGTCTAGCAATTAATCCCAAGGATATAAATACATTTGCTTCAGCCTGTCTCGACCGGACGGTGAAGATATGGAGCCTGGGATCGCCGCATGCCAATTTCACCCTCGAGGCTCATGAGACTAAGGGCGTGAACCACGTTGACTATTACCCGCAAGCCGACAAGCCATATTTATTGACGACTTCCGACGATAAAACTGTCAAGGTTTGGGATTACACCACCAAATCCCTCATAGCCACATTGGAAGGCCATACTAGTAATGTGTCCTTCGCCTGTTATCATCCCGAACTTCCTGTAATCATCTCTGGCTCCGAAGACGGAACCATCAAAATCTGGCACGCCAACACATATCGACTAGAGCAATCTCTAAGCTATGGTTTGGAGCGAGCATGGTGTGTTAGCTACCAGCGTGGCAAGCAAGGCATTGCCATGGGATTTGATGATGGAGCTGTTGTGGTCAAGATGGGTCGCGAGGAACCCGCTGTTTCTATGGACGGATCCGGAAAGCTGGTATGGGCAAGACACAACGAGGTCATCTCAACGGTTATCAAAGGTGGCGATGCAACCCTTAAAGATGGTGCTCCTCTCACCCTGCCAACGAAGGAACTTGGCTCCTGCGAAATATATCCCCAAACACTCATGCACTCGTCTAATGGACGGTTCGTTTCAGTCTGTGGCGATGGTGAATATATTATCTACACTGCACTTGCGTGGAGAAACAAGGCATTCGGACAAGCCCTGGACTTCGCATGGGGATCAAAAGATAATAGCAATGACTACGCGATTCGAGAGTCCACCACAAGTGTCAAGATTTTCCGCAACTTCAAGGAGAAGAGTAGTGGTCTCGATGTTGGATTCCAAGCCGAAGGCCTGATCGGTGGTGTTCTTCTAGGAGTCAAGGGCCAAGGGGGTATTGGTATGTTTGACTGGGAGACAGGCGCACTTGTGAGAAGAATAGAAGTGGACCCTATAGCGGTAAGTCTTGAATTTGTATAATTTATAATATGGGCTTCTAAATTTCCACCAATTAGGTTTACTGGTCTGAATCAGGAGAGCTAGTTGCTCTGGCTTGCGAGGATGCATTCTACGTTCTCCGATTCTCACGCGAGGACTATATTGCTGGTCTCAACAACGGTGAAGCCGATGAGGATGGCGTTGAAGCCGCTTTCGAAGTGGTCACTGATATCAGCGAATCCGTCCGGACCGGCGAATGGGTTGGTGATTGCTTCATCTACACCAATTCTACGAACCGCCTAAACTATCTCGTCGGCGACCAAACATACACAATCTCCCATTTCGACCAACCAATGTATCTCCTGGGCTACCTCACTCGAGACGGACGCATCTACCTCTGCGACAAGGATGTCAACGTAATCTCCTTCTCCCTGTCACTCTCCGTCGTCGAATACCAAACCCTCGTCCTCCGCGGAGACATGGATGCTGCCGCAGAGACCCTCCATGACATCCCCGCCGACCAAATCAACAAAATCGCCCGCTTTCTCGAAGGTCAAGGCTACAAGGAACTGGCCCTCGACGTCGCGACCGACCAGGAACACCGCTTCGAGCTCGCCCTAGCCCTTAACAAGCTCGAAATCGCTATCGAAATCGCCCGTGCAACCGATGTCGAGCACAAGTGGAAAGTCGTCGGCGACGCCGCCATGGCCGCCTGGGATCTCGCCCTAGCTCAAGAATGCTTCTCCAACTCCAAGGACCTGGGTTCCCTACTACTACTGCACACCTCGAGCTGCAACATGGACGGACTACGCCGTCTAGCCGACCAAGCCAGCGCTGCGGGCTCGCATAACGTCGCCTTCACCGCGCTCTGGCAGCTAGGTGACGTCGATGCGTGCATTGAGCTTCTTGTGCGGACAAACCGAATTGCTGAGGCTGTGCTGTTTGCACAGACTTATAAACCCAGTCGGGCGGCGAAGCTTGCGGTGCGGTGGAAGGAGAGTTTGGAGAAAGCTGGTAAGACCAAGGTGGCGCGGATTATTAGCATTCCGCCTGGTTCTGGCGTTGAGGGGGTTGATGCGGATGATGAATTGTTTCCTGAGTGGGATGAGTATTTGAGGCTGGAGACGGAAGGGGGTGCAAAGTCAGTGGGTTTGATTGATATTAATGGTGATAATGATGCGGTGGATGGGAATGGGGATGGGGATGGAAATGGAAATAAAAATGGGAATGGGAATGGGGAGGCGGAGGCGGAAGTGGAGGCGGAAGTGAATGGGGATTCGGAATGAATATAACAGAACAATAAATTGTTGTTGTTGTTGTTGTTGTTGTTGTAAAAAGTGCGAGAAGGAGTGAGGATTTATCTTTTTTTTTTTTTTTATAATTTTTGGCCCTTTTTTTACCTTATTCGACCCTGTTCTTGCTGTTACCCTTTTATTCTTATACATCTTTTGTCAGTTTAATATCGTCATATCTTCTTACAAACCAACCACGGAAAGTAAAATAGGTACCTTCATGTTTATGTCCTTATTATTTGATTCTTTGTACTTTTATATACCGCATACGAAAAACACGGTTATAATAATCGAAAGTTTCCGGTTTGGATTCTCTTACCTCTTGCAACCAATGCACGGAGTAGCGTTTATTGTCTAGCACACACTATTTGCAAAAGTAAATCAACAAGGATCGCAACAGCTGCACTGTAAAAGAACGCACATTATACTATATCAACGTCAATTCTTTCAAGTCATTACCCGTCGTTCATGTAACCACCCACCCGTAAGTAAACATATGTTGGAGCCTAGGCTTCCTATTATGGACTAGCGCACCACACAATAGTATATAGCATCCCTGAGATAGGCTACCAATACAAACAACCACTTCAGACGTTCCAACAACATACACTTGAAACGGCATTATGTAAGTCTAACGAGAACCCAAGGTTTTCCCACAAAGAGCACACCCAACCATGCACCCACCTGGACAAGCACCTCTGGGAACCAAACAACTTCTACAGATTATAGACTGATATCTCATCAGAAATACGATATTCTAAAAATAGTAACCAATCATACCTGGATTAAAGCACATTTGGGAGACCTATCCATATACGTTGTACAGGACATCTCATCGTCAAAAGCCAGCTGGGAGAAATGAAAAGAAATTTCATCTTGAAAATCAAATTCTCGTCTTAGCCTAGCAGATTCGATTTGTTTAATTTTGAATTTAAAACGATTTTCCCCTTCTTCTCTTTTCCTTTTGAATGACAAGGTGAGATGAGCAAGGAAAGAAAATGTTGTTATAGAGACAGACATATGACAAAGAGGGTACTTGGTGAAACACGGAATGTGGAAAATGAAAGTGCAACGAGATGAGATGAATTGAAATGAAAGTGAGACAGGAGGAAATGAGCAGAAAAGAGAATGGGGGTAAATGAAATCAACCCTGATACAGAGAGGTAAATGTGTGGAAATTGCCTTTGAATGTATTCACAGAATAGATATCAATTGCGTCTTCGTCGGTGGTTGCGGGGTTGGGGTTGGTGGTTGAGGCTGCGGGAAATATTTGTGAAACACAACGCTCATTGAAAACATTTGAGAGAAAAAAATCCAGTAGGATAGACATGAACGAAATTCAAAGCACGTTGCGTGGTACGGTTTGCTGGTTGCAGATATAATCAAGGAAATTTGCGGGTTGAGTGAGGGGTATGTGTAAGTGTAACTTGAGTGCATTGTGCTACTCAGAGAGTGAGGAATCGTTTTGAAAACTGGTCCAGGAATCTAGGTTCAGGATCGAACGACACTTGAAACATTCGAAACAAAATGGAACCGATGATGAAATACTTTATGAGGTAACAACAAGAACATTGCAAAGAGCAGTTAAAAAAAAAAAAAGATCGAAAATAGAAAATAGAAAATTTTTCAGTCAAAAAGAAATTCGTTAATCGGTGGTTGAACTTCCAGAGTCAAGAGGGAACAAATGAATATTGGATAAAAGGACACCGCTGAGTAAAGTTATTTTCCTTCAGGGTGTCGTGTCAGCGTTGGGGTTTAGGTCGGTAAGATCACTTTGTGATGCTTCCGAAAGACGGGTCCTTTACGCTTCCCCCAGCATCTCCAAGGCCAGCAACGGGACGATTGTAGGACCAGCCTTGGAACTGTTGTTGCATAGTTTGAGAAAGAGCAGGTCCTTCAACGTATGAATCTGTAGGGGCTTCTAATGTGAATTCGTGATCGAAATTTTTCGTGTCACGGGCGTCAACCTAGAAGTTTAGTCAGAAAATAAATGTGTCTGGAGTACCTGCAAGATCGGAAATGAAAGACATACCACATCAGGGCGGAAACTAGGTTCATATTTTCTTTGCAGCAACTTTCGCCAGTCGATGTTAGAAAAGAAGTGATGTGCTTTTATTTCAGCAGCGCCATTGGCTCCAAGTCGACGTTCTGGATCACGGTCTAGTAGTCTACTAAGAAGATCTCTAGCGGCACCAGGAACAATTTCCTGGCTTGGGAAAGTGAGGGGCTCCTGGAGGATCTTGCGGTACATCTCATTTGTATTCTCGTCATAGAATGGGGGAAGACCAGTCAACATCTCGTACAAAAGAACTCCGAGAGTCCACCAATCTACGGTCTTTGTGTATCCTTTGCCAAGCAGGAGCTCGGGAGCGAGGTATTCAGGGGTACCACAGAATGCTTACAAAAAAAAAAGAAAAAAAAAAAATTAGTGTATGTCAAAAGCATAACCCTGTATCAGTCACGATGACTTACTGTTGGTCCGGTCTTCATCTTTCATATCCAATTTACACAGTCCAAAGTCGCACAAAGCAATATGACCACTGTAATCTAGCAAAATATTTTCGGGCTTAAGGTCACGATAGATGACCTTGAAGCCGTGAAGACATTCCAATGCACAGAGTAGTTCAGCGGTATAAAAGCGAGCTCTGTTGATGTCGAAACGTTGCTCCTTTTGTAGGTGATGGAACAATTCCCCGCCGTTAACAAAGGCTAGAACAAGATATAACTTTTCTGGAGATTGAAAGGAGAATTTGAGAGGAACGATGAAGGGGTTATTTATTTGGGAGAGTACTGATCTCTCAGCCAATGTATGCGCCACTTCAGAACGAGAAATGATATGGGCTTTGCGAAGAGTTTTCATCGCATATATACGGCCAGTATCACGTTTCCTTTAATAACACGGAAATGTTAGAATAGTTGTGGAGTAGGCCGTGTGGAAACAGACTTACATGACTTGTATGACTTTACCAAAACTCCCCTTGCCAACAACCTTCAAAAGCTCAAAGTCCTCCATTTTAAGGCTCTTTTGCCTGTTTTCGACAAACGACACCCCGATTTTGATAGCTCCAGTACCGAATTGAAGTTTTGTCCATTCTGTGCCCGACTGGCCCATTTGACGTTCCTGTTCTGCGTGCGTTGCGGCGGCCTTTTCCCGGTCCTTCTTACTGGCCTTCGGGTCTTCAACAAACGGACGAGCCTCTTCGAATCTCGGGTTGATCCTGCAAGCGCCCAAAAATATATCCTCACTTCTGCCAGCACCTGGCCTAGAAGCGGGATTCCGGAGGTAAAGTTGTATGCTGAGATCAGTCACGCGAGAAACATCGAACTTGAACGAGGTGTTATCGCCGGCCCAAAGGGGGTTTTCCGGAGTACCTGACACTGCATCGACAAAAACCTGCAGTTTATCAAAGTCCAGAAGAGCATATGGAAGATACTTGGCAGAATATCGACCATGGATCGTAGGTGCTGCATTGATTCCGCCGCTTGTCGACTGAGGCCGGGTTGTTTGTGCATAAGAACTAGCGGCGGGTCCATGGCTAGAATGGGACGAAGATGAGTTGGGTCTGATGGAGGCAGGCCCCGTGAAGGTGTTGTTGCCTGAGATTGAATTTTGGAAATGTGCATTGAAAACCTGCTGGTAGTGCGGTGATAAGGAGAAGCTCTTTCCCTCATGTAAGGTCACGATGAGAATGCCTGGTTTGGCCGGGGCGGCAGGAGGTGAGACTAGAGACTCTGAGGCAGCTAGGTCGTAGTTTTAACATATTAGAGATGGGCACTTTTTCGTATTTGCAGGTGGATATATGAAATGCAGGGTCAGCTCACCAATTCCGTTCGAGGTAGTGGATATTGAGCTAGGGGTTGGAGATAAAGCAGTCTCTTCAACAGCCTCAGGCTTGATGGTAGACGTGGACGAGGATCTGCCAAATGAATTGGCAAGCGGAGCCAGGTGCGTCTCTTTGAGCTCTTCAGGGTGAAATGGTTAGAAACTCAGTGACCAGGTAACATACCCAGATTTTCGGTGAGACAAAGGGGAAAAAAAAGGGGGGTCTTACTCCTGGTGAGTTTCCACGCCATATTGGCTGAAGCACAATGCTAAAAGTGAAGGATCGATGGAGAAACGGCAATAGGAGAGCCACAGATGTCCAACAGGTGGGGTTCTGGTGAAGTACAGGGTTATCAATTTGGGGAGTTTTGTTGTCCTATCAAGGGAATAAGATGGGGGGAAGACTGAGCGGATTGCTAAGTATGGCTGGGCAGACCAGCGAGTTCCGGGACCCGATAAGTAATGAAACCCTAACGGCCACCGCGATAAGAGAGAGTCGGAGAGGACAACCAGACGGAAGGGAGTGAGAAGGGATAGAATGAGAGTGACAGCTAAAAAGGGGCAGAGTCAGGATTGCCCATACGCTGAAGTTGCTACTGTTAAGAAAGGAGTTGAGGAGTGTTGAGATAACGTCTGAGGTTGGATGGAGGTTGCGTTTCTCGCAAGAAAACTAGCGGGGAAAGTGTACAGTCAGCAAATGACGGGCTTGTTTTGTTACGGGTGATTGGTACGGTGGCCTTAGCACGTGACTTTCGCCCCAATGTTAAGTAGAGCCGATTGGTCTTGGCCAGTGAGACCTTTGTGTGCTTTTTGCAAGCCCAATTTTAATATCCAGTAAACCGCTGATCTTTCACATTCAAGTCTTAAATTTCCATGGTTTCAAACTCAAAATATAGAGTCCAATTGATATAAGCTGGATTTTATGCCAGGTGAAACCGTTCTTTATCTCTGCTCTCCTAAGCAACAAGGGCACTAATTAACCTCTAGAAGGCCTGAGGATTAACATTGATAAGGAAGGTCGTTCAGGCCAGATCTGTCTCGTGATTGAGCTAGGCCGGATCGGGGAGGAGCCTTGGCGATGAGCCAGGCCTCCCAACAGTTAATCTTGTGCAATAAATAACTAATAAAGAACTGTTCGACTCTAGTTAGTTGAACATACAACAAGGCGGGTGCTGCGGAGCCGCCCGACATCTCTGCCTCAGCCATTGCACGTGCCCAACCATCTTTCTAGTGGGGCAAGGAAACGGAGCGTTATCGCATTGAGTCAGTATTAAATAAGTTAACCAGTTAAATGGTTAACTGCTCCCGTTGTAACTAACTCATTTGACCCGGAAGTTTTTCCAACAAACTACTTGGTTTCCACTGGTGCTTGGCAGGACCATTTAACACTAGGCCTAATTAGGTTAGTATCCCCAGCTGACTTTGGAGGCAACACCTTTTCAGCCAATCACAGAGTCTGACGCGGTTTGGGGGAGTTAAAGCATTGGCGGATCGGAAAAATCTTTCTTCCGCCATCTACAAGTAGCCCGCCCGCGTGCCCGTATCGACCAACCTCAATCCGGGAAAACTCAAGACCTCAAAGCCTCCGTCGTTCCAAAAGTTCTGACTGCCGAAGAGATTTCTTTTCGTGGCGTAGAAGCCGATCTCCTCATTGCCTAGCCTACTTAGTCTTCGTGTATCCATTCCATGCTGCCATATAAACCCAGCTCCCTGGGCGGCTCCGTGCACAACGACGCGCACCCCCTGTACAATACAATCTAACCTCCACCCTTTCTGCTAATCCAACGCGGTGCCACCAATTGTAAGAGGCACTGGCACGGAGATGCAAAGTTGGCCCACTCAATGGGCGTCATACGGAAGAAGACCGCCACTCGCGGTACTGAGGGCGGAACAAAATACCACTGCGACGTCTGCTCAGTAGATGTCACATCTACCGTAAGTGCTAAGGCAATACCTATATATCCTCGTTAGTGGTGCGTTCGTGGCTGGGATACTGGGATTCTAATTGTTTTGGGAATTGTATTAGGTGCGCATTGCTTGCGCACATAGTGCTTGTCATGAATATGACATATGCGTCCCCTGTTTCGCTGCTGGCGAGAGCTCAAAGAACCACGATCCACGAACACATCCATATTACGTCATCGAACAAAACTCCGTTCCAATTTACCAGCCTGACTGGGGAGCAGATGAAGAACTTTTGCTGTTAGAAGGTGCTGAAATCTACGGCTTGGGCTCGTGGGCAGATATAGCGGATCATATCGGCGGCTTCCGAACCAAAGAGGAAGTAAGGGACCATTATATTGAGACCTACATTAATAGCTCCAATTTCCCTCTGCCCGAACGGGCTGACCCCAATGACACAACCTTGCAAGAGCAAATATCGAAAGAGGAGTTCCAGGCACGTAAGAAGCGGCGGATCGAGGCTCGGAAAGAAGCTGCGAGGGCTGCTCCCCCTGCTACGCCAAAACAGAAACCAACAGCCTCTGTACCCGCCTGCCATGAAGTCCAGGGTTACATGCCGGGCCGTCTCGAATTCGAGACGGAATTCGCAAATGAGGCTGAAGAAGCAGTGCAACATATGTCATTTGAACCGGGTGACGGGCTGAACGCAAATGGAGAAATGGATCCGGAGATGGAGCTCAAAATGACGGCGAAAGACATATATAACTCCCGTCTCACCGCCCGAACAGAGCGCAAGAAGATAATATTCGAACACAACCTTTTAGAGTACCGCAAAAATACCGCTCAGGACAAGAAACGAACAAAGGAAGAACGGGAACTACTCAACAAAGCAAAACCCTTTGCGCGCATGATGAACCATGAAGATTTTGAAGAATTCACAAAGGGCTTAGAATACGAACATAACCTGCACCTAGCAATTGCCCAACTGCAAGAATGGCGTACAATGGGAATCGGAGATCTGAAAAGCGGAGAGAAGTACGAGCAGGAAAAACAGCAGAGGGCGCAGCGGGCAGTTCCACAAGGAGCCTTCGATCGAATGGCGGGCACGCGGCCTAAGCCGTCACAGAATTCCGATACACCCTCCGCCGCCACCCAATTAACAATGCCAGAGCAACCACTTCGACTCCAACGCAACAACCAGAAACAACCTCCTTCCGCCCCCGAACCAGCTCTTCCCATGAACGACTTCGACAAAGCCTTTGCCAGCACTGAATTGAACGGGATATCGTCCCCGCGTCCTACAAAGACAAAATATGTCGTCCCCCCCATAAACGGACTTGCGCCGTGGAAGTTGGAAAATGACATTGCCCCAGACCTGCACTTGCTGACGAAGGAGGAAGTGGAGCTTTGTAACATCCTACATCTGCAGCCCAAGCCGTACCTCGTCATCAAGGAGCACATGATTAAAGAAGCAATGAAGCAGGGTGGGAGCTTGAAGAAGAAAGATGCGCGGGCGATGTGTAAGGTGAGGCAATGCCATGTCCCTCTTTCCCAACCCCCACTCCCCTCCACCAATATTCAAATTACTGGTTATATGAGTTGCATGTTAACAAAAAATTTGGTAGATCGACGTCGCCAAATCCTCACGAATATATGACTTTATGGTGCATAGCGGGTGGATATCGAAGGCCTGAAAGGGGATAGAAAGAGGAATGAGAAACGACGAAAATAATCGAAGGAATATATGTTCATCACGACCACATTATCAATACTAACTCACCTACCTTCATTTCATTTAGCTCTTGTCATCCCCTTCATATCTCCCCAATCCCTGACTTTGCATGCTTTCTCCCTCATATCTTTCTCCGTCTTGGTCACTCTTATTCCATTGATATCCGAACCATAGCTGTACTCACGCCTACTCTTTTTTTTTTCTTCCTTCAGGTCTTCCCGAAGTATACAACACCGCAACTTCACAAGATTCCCACCCTTCTACCACCGAACCAGGTTTCCTTCGAGTAAAATTCATTCCCGGATGATATCTTCTATTGAATGAAAAAGCAATCTCTGCTTGCAGAGTGAAATGGCACAGTTATTTTAACATGTTTCTATCGTATTTCTGTTAGTGTAGATCACTCTTTCGATTTTTGCTAAGATATGTCAACAGGATATATGATGACTTTGTATCTATCTCCCTTGAACCGTGCGATCGTTGTATTTCCGTTAATTTCAAATTATGATAGAAAAATTCACATGTAAGAATTGGGCAAACATGAGTTTCTTGAATTTTCCAAGAGCGATTACGAGCATATTCTCCGACGCAGTGTATCTCAGAATTGACAGGCAAATTGAGGTGCAACGCCGCGCCCAGAACCACACGGTAGAAAACTGCGGTAAATGTCAAGATGTTGACGGAAAACATAACAAAACAACCGCTGGAAATCAAAAGCTCCGTTCCAGTACGTGAATTTAAAGAATTCTCGACCTTTCGGGACACTTGTTGCACAAGTTCGCCTTTGATAACTATCAGGAGATCTAACTGTTCCAGGTGGAGGTTGGAATCTCCTCTGCTAGACATCGTCAATCTGAGAGACAGTGCATGCACCGCACTGATTTGGATTAAATAGCAACGAAGGAACTCCTTTATCAACCCATCTATTCATCTGGATATTCATTTCAGTTGCCGATTCCACTGTATCTGCCTTTCCTGCGTGAAGGGTCAGTGAAACCACCAGGCACCTCCAGGCACCACGGCAATCTTGGTCTCTGGGATTTTCCATCTTGATCCGCACAGCTAAGTTGCTCCAGTTATTCGGGTTGTTACCGGTAAAATGTCATCTGATAATATTACTCCACAAAAATAGATATAGCAGGTTTCCGGCTTAACTTTCCCCAAGCCATTTGGCCCTCGGCATTCCCAGAAACTTCCCCGACTCTTGGCGTTGCTTCATTGATTTGCGATTATCCGTGTAGTTAAGGCGTTGCGCAGCGAGCCGAGCTCAGAGAAGGAATAAAACAAAATATTCATTAAACCATACTAAGATATAGCACATTGCTCACAATTAGTCTCCCGGAAAATTCCCAATCAATATAACAACCAAAAATTCCTCTTCTCCCACTTCATGCTGGCCCCCAAGTATACCCAAAGAACATCATGGCTCCTCGGACACTCACCACCAACCCGCCGTCAACACAAGACTGCCTCCTCTGCTTCCCTACCCCTGAAATCCTCCTAGTAACCCTCAACCGGCCCGAATCACTTAACTGCATCAGCTCACAGGGCCATGCGGAGTTGCATGAGGTGTGGGAATGGATGGATACAGAACCGTCATTGCGAGTGGGCATCATTACAGGGAAGGGTAGGGCGTTCTGCGCTGGGGCAGATTTGAAAGGTAAGTTTTTTTTTTTTTTTCTATTTTTTTGATTCTTTTGCTATTTAATATTGCTTTGGGATGCACGTCCTTTCCTTTTCGCTGCCTTGTGTCTTCCTGGATATTACATATTCGATCGTGTTTTACGAGCCATATTCGGTCATATGCATACCTATCCAGCTGCGTGCTCTATTATACATTGCCCAAGGAGTACATGTAACCGTAGATATGCCATACGTACCTCAATTCAATGCCAATCTTGTCAGATAATTCGAGTTCTTTGCTCTGAGTCACCCCATTCCAAATTCCCAGGAGCCACATGCTCTATCACGCTTCCCCGATGCACTCCCCTTATTATTTGAATGTTGTTTATCTCCACCCTATACAACAATATATGAATCACGCAAAGAAAGCGGGAAATCAAGATTTAAGAACCAGGAATCAATCATTTAACATAAAAAAAACAACTCACCAGAATGGAACCGCAAGAACTCCGAATCCTCTACCCGGGCTGCGCAACCCTCCTCAGGATTTGCCGGCCTATCTCGCCGCGCCGGAAGAAAACCCATAATTTGCGCCGTCAACGGCTTGGCCTATGGCGGGGGCTGCGAAATAATCATCAACGCCGATATCGTCATTGCCAGTAAGCGTGGCGCAAAGTTCGCACTGCCAGAAGTTAAGCGCGGCGTCGTTGCGTTGGCGGGAGGGCTTACGAGGCTGGTGCGGACGGTGGGGAAGCAGCGGGCGATGGAGATGGTGTTGACGGGGAGGGTGGTGAAAGTTGACGAGGCAGAGAGATGGGGGCTTGTTAATGAGGTTGTGGAGGATGAGGGGGAGACGGATGAGACGGATGTTGAGGAGAGGAAGGTGGTCAAGAGGGCTATTGAGTTTGCTGGTGAGATTGTGGCTAATAGCCCTGATGCAGTGATTGTGAGTCGGGAGGGGGTTAAGCTGGGGTGGGAAGGGATTGGGGCGGAGGATGGGAGTCGATTGTTGGCAGAGGCTTGGATGAAAAGGTTGAATGAGGGTGAGAATTTGAAGGAGGGTGTCTTGGCATTCGTGGAGAAGCGGAAGCCTAAGTGGGTTGATAGTAAGCTTTGAGCGGGTGTTTGGGTCCTTTTGGTTTCCTCTGTTCGGGATTCGATTTCATGCCATCGACAGTTTGTTGTATTATAATATGCTTTCTTTCCTGGTTCTGTGAGAATAATTGAAACTTGCATGGTTCAGGGGCAGTTAACCGCTCCTGGGCGATGGTTGATTGATCATCTATCTCCCTTATGATCAAATGTCATGCAACTAATTCCAAACTTCTAATGTCCATTCATTCCTCTTGATACATCATGCAGTGATCAATATCGTATAGACTTCCCAGAGCTCCCTCTCACTCACAAAGACCCCGTCACGTCCGTCGACAATTAACCCAATGCGTCCCCATGTGAATAGTATGGATAGCTGCTTTTTCTGTTCCGCAGCGGCGGCGTCAGCCCATTCCATGGATCTTAGGGTGTAAATCTACTTACTCCAGAGTTTGAGGGGAATAGTTCTCAGATAATTGACATTCCCGTCGCCTATAGAGGCCATAAAAACTTTATAAGTTCCTCTTTACAACCCTTCAGAATGTGATTCCATGCTGAGATTGAAGCCCAATCAGCGTTTCCACTTCAAGTTGTCGCATTTCCCCCAAATTTTGTGGCGCTTTTGGGTTCGTGGTTGATGTAACATGCCGAATTATGATGTTTTCGATCCGATTCCACCACAAGTCCTAGAGGTCGGCTTCGGGGCAGAGGAACATTGAACGTTGAGCTCTTGCACTTAGGCCCTGGTATCTTGGCCTTCCTCCTGCTTTACCACCGAACTCTGGGGGTGCGACAAGACCTGGCCCACCACAGGATTTCCCAGGCCGTCGCTTGTACTGTTTTGAACGAGCCAAGGGAGAGAATGATCTCCTCCATTCAATTGTAATTATGCCAATTCGTTTCTCTAAACCTGTCTGTCTCCTTGCTCAGTCAGACCTTGTGTCAGCCATTGTCCACGCATCATTGTTCAACTTCAAACTCCAACTCGACTTCGCTGCTACTTGTCTCCGCAAAAGTCGCTCTGAAGGAAGCCCAAATCGTTCCCCCATTTTCGTCGCTCCTACACGGGAGTTTGCATTACATTTTCACCTCCAAGATTGAAAGGACAACCAACTGCTCCCCACGGTGACATCGCGAATTGCACATTCGCTAATGAACATGTGATCCCTAGAGGCTCTTGCATCAGAGCTTTCAGCTGTAGAGGTCCTGAGACAGGATGTTCTGAGTGGCCCTAGTGGGGGTGAGTAGACAGTGCATACTGGAACCCATGCAACTGAACGGAAGCGTGTTGGGAAAGGATGGAAGAAGAGGAAGAAGAAGGCCTAGAAGCTGGTAGGAAGAAGCTGGTAGTTGTTGAAAAGGGGCGGCTGTCCCAGCACCAAGGATCGCTAAAAGGGGTACCAAATCTCCCGATTCTAAATGAAGCATGAAAACAAGGGCATGAAAAGCGAAAATGCATTGATATCGAGGCTGTATATCCCCACGGAAGCTGGCTGCAAATATCTAACTATGCATACGTTGAAGCGCGAGTGAGATAATTAGCAGAAAAAGAGTGTTTTTCTGACTATCTGCTCCTGCAGTGTGCTCTCATGGAGCGGGAAACAGGCGGCTCTCTGTTCCTCTCATGAGTTACAGATGAAATGAAAACCCATGAGATGAATCACAGGCAGGATGGGATGTTTTCAGTATGCTCTGAAATATGTGAGGTTAAATATTGAGAAGAATGAACTGCACAGTGCTATCGTCTTTTCATTTATGATCAATTTGGATGCTGCATCCAAACTACACATTGATGAAAATGCAGAAAAGAAGTATTCAAAAGAAATGAAACAATATGACATGTACATTAGGCTAACTTTCTTTCTGACATTCTATGATGTAGAAGTAGTAAAAATAAACTTTGAAAGTGCTCAAACTTGAGGCAGTTTGAAGTTGAAAAGATAACATTTCCACTCCATATTATAGAGCTCTTTATTCATTTATCCGCCTGCAATATATAATATTAGCAAAGCAACTTGGAAAAAGAGAAAAGCTAGCTACAACTGGCCATCATTGCAGTTGTGCTCATATGCTTCTTCTGTATTCCAACCCCAAATTGAACAGAAATTAGGAAGGAAGCTGATACGTATATATCAAGCCTAACAATGAAACAACCCCAATAAACTAAACACCAACCAAAAAAGAAAAGAAATAAGAAAAAGAAGAGAAAAAGAAAAGAAAAGAAATGGGAGAATTCAAGACGCCAACCCAACCTTCCTCTTCCACTTCTTCTCATGGCCAAACTGCGCTTTCTTCAATTTTACCTTCCCCCCCGTAGACAGTGACCAGGAGCCCCATCCCAGCCCCATTCCCAGCTTACTAGAACTCAACTTCTTATCCATATCGTCCTTGAATTTCTTCCAGCTACGCTCCCGCTCCTCCCAATCTGCCATCTGCGCAAGCATGAAGTCCCATGTCTTCGACTCCTGGGCGCACAGGGCGTCGTCGTCTAATTGGATGTGTGATGCGGAACGCTGCTGTGGCACGACTGTCATTTGACGATCGAGCTGCGGGGTGGAGAATTCGCCGTACTCTGTCTGAGCAGTGCCAGTCGCGGTAGTTGCGCTGGGGGCTGTTGATGGTCTGCTGTCCTGTCCCTCTGGGGATGCTGCATGAGTAGATAGCCCTGCAGGGCGTGGGGTGATGAGGGAGCTATATCGGAGCGGACGCCCCGTCACGGGCAGTTGGTGCGGACGACCTGTGAGCGGATTGATGCTTAGGGCCTCGACGCTGTAGTTCTCTAGTTGCTGGTGGGTAATGTAGAGACGTTGCGAACGAAACATTGCTGCTGCGGCCTCACCGACGAGGTCGGGATCTTCATGTGGAGAAACGGGCAATTCAGCTAGGTCCGTCTGGCTTGCGTTCCTTCCAGACGTCATAAGTTGGGGGGACTGTGAACGAGGATGGACAACGCTCTCTTCGAGTAAACTTCCCAAAATACTGGGTGAAGAACGCCGGATGTTATGGCTTGCCCTGATGGCATTTGCGGTAGGCGAGGACCGCAGAGCAGAGGATGTGGAATCGATTTCACTCATGTCAATTGAATTCATAGCCTCAGATAGTCCCTGGAATAAAGACAATGTAGATCGAGCCAGGTTGTCGTATTGAGAAGCCTGAGATGCCCTCCGTCTTGCGACGTTGTGATAATGACGTGCCTGTAGTCCTCCGGCCACCGGGACCCAGTCTGAGGCATTGTATAGAGATTGTAGATGAGAAGTCGTCAGCTTACCCGTCCGACCCAGGCCGCTGCCCAACGAGGAACTTGCTGGCGTGCCTCTGAAACCAGGCGCATACTGCTGGGAAGAAAGGAGTCCGGATCCGGATCCAGATTCAGAGGCTACCGAGGTGGAGGAGGGTTCGTTGTTTGTCCTCGCAAAATTATCATTATTAACTACTGTAGCAGATTCATTCCCTCTGTTGTTCGAATGGTAAGGACCAGAATGGTAAGATGGGGCCGCGGAGACATAAGAAGGGGCATTGGAATGGATGGAGGAGGTCTCTGTATCGAAGGTGCCGGTTTGGCGTGGAGTATAAGGGGGCAGTGGTTCTGGGAACGGATGGAGCAGCGATCGAGCAGGGCGAACAGCCATACCGCGAATTCCGGCTAGCAAATATGTAGAGTTTAGACGTGCCAGCCGAATATATAGCAAGAGCTGGGGTTTCACTGGAACCCCTAAAGTTCAATAGCCGAATGGGATTAAAATGGCCTCAAAGAGCTCGCTCCCAAAGCAAAGAGAGCGCCGCCAGCTAGATTCCCTGGGTCTTGAAAGTCGCAGAAGAGAAAAAGATGGTGGATGACACAAATTCCGTTTTACATCCAAAGGACGATTCTGGTTAGTTAAGGTACATACATCCCTCCATGCGGGTTAGCAGGGTCGGTGGCGGGTATATCGGAACGACTATTGTAGTAAGAGGCGGGATGGGGGCAAAATTTACAGTCGTTAGGTTATGCAAAATCGAAAGAAGCAAACGGTCCGGAACCTGTTATTTGGGTTTCCCGGGTTGGGGGGTTCTATATGTGCGGGTGGAATTTCGCCGCCGGGGGGGGGGGGGGGGGGAGGAAGGGAAGAGGATAGAGGCCTTCGAAGGGTAAAAGAATGTGGAGTTCTTTGTAACTAAGGGTAGTTACAAGCAACAGGCGGAGATCCGGTTTGCTTTTGACTTAACTATAGAATCTATTCAAGGGCTGGACAGCACAGACAAACAACACGCAGCATAGATTGACCCGATGCTGTCTGGTTCACTTTTTCCTGCTGTTCGGGAGCAGAGAAATAAGAAATACGATGACTGTGTTTTATTGTGCTGTGTGTAGATATAAATATCACCATCTGCAATGACTGGGTGGTGAGTATGGTAAGAACGAGGTACAAGGGACTGCTATTTTTGATGTCCATCTTACAACCGATTAGTTACCCATAACGTCATTCCCAACTATGACAACCCAACAGAGGAAGACATCAAATCCCATTCTTATATATAATTCGAGTGTTTGGTTTTTTGTATTAGTAACAACAAAAGACATTTTATTAAAATTAAACTATACTAGAAATAAAAACATTTTCTTCTTGTACGTTTGACTCATCTTGATTAATTAACTAGGATGATGCCTTTATCAGGCAAAGTAAAAAGAGCCATAAGATATTAAGCTTCTTCTCCTCTTGCAAGGCTATCTTTATGTTTAATCAATAAACATAAATTTTCTAAATCAGATAATTTTTCTCTTTTTCTTTTTCTTTTCCTTTTCTTCCTTTTCTTTTCTTCTCTACCTTCTTATATTACGTATTTATAACTGGAGTGGTACATACCTTCTAACTTATAAGTCATAAAGATATAATCAAATCTTTTTTAAATTTAAATATCTTCAAAAATCTAATATATACTTTTTTAGAAAGTCTTCTAACTTTTTATCTATCTTTATAGTTGATAAGTATTCTTAGATAGTTATTTAAAAAATTTAACATGGCTTTAAATCATAAAATTAACTTTTTAATAGGATTTATATATAATATGAAGCTTTAATATAATCTAATCAAAATTAACTAAATAAATTATTATTAATTATTATTAAGCTATTGTAACTATTTTCAAATAAAAAATGTTCTTTTTTATTATAAAATATATATTTAAAAATCAACTTCTTATATTGAATTTAAATTATTTTTCATTATTTAAATAAACTTTTATATATATAATATAAAATATTTTTTAAATATAAATAAAATATAACTTTTTTGGTTTTTGTATACTACAGTTGAAATAAGTATTTTTATATTAAAATATTAACTTTTTAATTCTTTACTAATTTATTAAATTCATTTTAAGCACTTTAACCTTTTGAAGGTTATGAATATAGATCTAAGTTAGATAGTTATTGACTAGCTCAATAGTTCATATTTCTCAGAGTTAATTATAACTTTTCTATCCCCATTGGCCGAACGATTAAGGCGGCCGTTAGGTGGCGCCCGGCGTGGAGACGTAAGGTTTAGCAATTGGGCCAAACGTCATCCATCAGATGACACCTGATTAATACCTCCAATACCACGTTCATTTCAGCCAACCGGTGGGCCTACCTCACACATAAATTACCACCATTTCCAGGCCGGGAAATCGTGTATTACAAGTTCTAGAACTAGCCGCCTGTCTGGTGAGGTTTTTAGGTTATCAGAGATTTCTCTGTTGTGGGCGTGTGTACCTCTCTCTCTTGTCGTAACCACTGACTAACTACACTCGAGTAAACTAGTCAGTCTCATTCTCGAACTGAGTCTTATCAGAGTTGTAGATAGCTTCACAGTAAATCTTATACAAAGGAAAGATACCATTTAATAATATGTCAGTTGGGTATGAATAATTTCATTTTTTATATTTAATTAGTATCTAACTTGGTCCAATTGATATATTAAAGTAAAGTGTGTGAATGAAGTATTTTACATACTTGTTACATATTCTCATTTGATATCTCACTACTCACTTGGTGGAGAATTTTATTAGTTAACCAACTGACATTAACCTACATAAGCTGCAAAAGTTCATTCTTATTGTTCAAATAATTATCACAATGACAAGTTGTTTTGGGTGAGATAAACAGCAACATAGCCCATTCTGCCACTTAGAGGACATTGCTCTCTGATCATCGTGACTCTACCAAATCTGCTCCCCCTGCTCTGCATTCATCCTCCAATGTACAATTTTCCACCGTCCATTCTTCAAGATCTGGTTACGGCAAAACACAGAAAAGGGCAAAGCAAACCCATAATACAATGTAGTTATAGTTTCATCGGGGAGATAGATTCCCCCAAACGGAGAGGAGACCCTTTGAGCTTCTTACCACCTGTTCCACACATAGTCCACAGCCACAAATGTCCTTCGTTTGATTTAATACCCATTTTTTGTTCTTAGGGTTGTGCAAGTGAGCAGTTGACTGTTCTTGTTGAGATTCAGCCTAAATATGCAAACACAAATAGCTGTTGGTCGTTAGACTGGCAGTGTTCTACAGTTCAATCAAGCCAGGACCTATCACAGAAACATTTCCAGGCAACAACAAAAGAAATGCCGAGTCACGAAAAAAAAAAAAAAAAAAAAACCCTTGCTTTTGAACCCGGGAACAAGATTAGTTTATTTCCAGGCCGGCTGGATTAGCAACCCGTTTGTGCCGCGCACCAACCAGTCCCTCACCCTAATCGCCCCTACGACCAATGCAAACCTGTAGCCAAAGGAATGCTCTTCCATCTAAAGAGCAGCTGTGGGGTAGAGGCCCTGAGCAGTAAAAGCGACACCTGAATAATATGCGGACTTGAGACATCATATCCACCACTCTATTCGCGCGGACTCCATGTGAGGGATACATACGTGTTACAGGTAAATCTGAATAACATATTTAATGGAGCTGATTTGCCCAAACAGCCAATCTCTTCCCACTCACTCAATAGCATCAAAAACCTATCTTTTTCGTTCAACAGATCCTTCTAGAAACGGCGGGGGGAAAACTTTGCCTATTAATTTTTACCTCGGTAACTAGTTAGTTAACTAACTGACTTAGTTAACTGACTAATGGGTATAAAAATCCCTTACATCATAGGCGGGCCCTGTGGCTGTGCGAGGAAAAATCAGGTGCCATTCTCTCTGAAATGTTGAAGGTTGTAGCTCATACAATTTAAGTAGAAAGATAAAAACACGTCATCACTTTCCTGTATTGGATATCGGATGTCCATGACGTTAACCAGAGCCCGGTCGCTTTGTACACTACAATGGAGGAAGGACATGATTTTCATTCTGGAATTTCGTAGTTATCCAATAGTGAATAACTATGTTCACCAGAGAAAAAAAAAAAAAGAAGAATGGTAACCTCTTTGGCAGCACGGGAAAAAGGAGCAAGAGGGGGGGCCTCAAATGAGGGCACAGTATTTAACAGATGAGGCATGTTGTGTTAGTTTAATATCCCCTTTCAAATTCTTGAGTGTCATGCATGCATTGTATCTATTGATATCTTCCTCATGGATGCCGCCGCATGCATGGGTTTTCTGCAATGCCCAGTCTGCCGTGAATGTTGGACAGTGTGTGTTGTTTCCCTGTTTCATATAACTATATGGTTATATATAACTCATCGACGAAATGAAATTTTTTGTCGTTATTGATGATGATGATGATGATGATGATGCATTTAACTGCCTTTTCACCTAATTAGATAACTTGTTAGTTATATAAAACTCAACCTGCTAACTAGTTGCAAAATCATGCTTTCGTCGAGAACAACGAATGACAACCCGACCCAATAACTAGCTGTACTGCTATTACTGATTGCGTACTATCTATAAATTCAAACAAGAAACTGGGATTTGGGGATGGGATGCACCGAGCCCACTATGCAAGTATACATACACCATTTCTTGTCCTTCACAGGACTCTTCTTCTGCCCGACATCCATATATGCTAGCCAAGTGTCACAAGAAGCCTTCTCAGTTGATTATTAGCCAAGTTCATTCATATGCATTTATTCTCTAATTTGCAAATTCAAGCTTCTACCAAGTTTTTTTTTTTTTTTTTTTTCTTTTCTCTTTTTTTTTCTTTTTTCTTTTCTCTTTTTTTTTCTTTTTTCTTTTTCTTCCCCACCCCCGCCTTAACAACCCTTGCGTTTTGCGTTTTGCGTTTTGCGTTCTTTTTACTTAGTTACCGCTTTAGAATTTAGTTGCACGGTTTCGGTCCATATGAGAGTTCAGTGAGTCCAAGGTTGTTGACGGTACACCCACCCCATTTCTTATTTCTTCTCGATTCGGATGGGTTTGAAAATCTCAAAGGGTGGGGTATCACCATCGCAAATGGAATGGACCCAGAGGAGGGGGGGTATGAGGGATACAGGGGCAGGGTAGTCTGCCACCAGTTCAAAAGTACTTCAAATTTACTTACATCATCTATTTCATTCCCCTTTCCCTTCTTATTTAAGTTTCTGTTGCTTATTATTTGACTATTGTTGCGGCTTTCCATGCATGGTTGATTGCATTACTCAGGAGGAGGTGTCATGTACATCCGTTGAGAATATACTTAACCAGAATTGGTATCTTCTGGCCACGTAGATAGGTTGAATCACGCTTCCATTAGCAGTTACAACTCCCAAGGAAAAGAGGGCAAATGGGCAAATTTGGGAAGATAGAAACCATTCATTCCATCTATTACGCTGTTTTCTAGAGAGCCTCGTGTTGTAGCTCCGGTAATAAAAACAAGAGGCAGAAAAAAGGAGAAAGAAAAAAAAAAAAAAAAAAAAAAAAAAAAAAAAAAAAAAGAGAGAGAGAGAAAAAGAGAAAAACACATGTCCGCTCCGTGCACCTGTCCCTGCTTGAATTTTACTTGCATTTTACCCGAGAAGAAAAGAAAAAGAATAACACCCTTGCTAATTCCTAGTTAGCCCTGACACTGTAGCTGCCATAGAGGGCCCCCTCAAGGCAACCTTGTCGTTGATCGTGCAAATCAGTTCACCAAAGCGGGATATCAATCGTGGTAGCGGTACATAAGGCGTCATATGAACGAGTTTTAAAAAAAAAAAAAAAAAAAAAAAAAATAGCCTCGTCCGAATCTTCTTCTACTTCGTTTCGTTTTGGACCTTGGTCACTCTCTCGAGAACGCGCGGGTACAGCGGGTGATCTGCCTCCAGGTCTGTCAGTTTGGTCGTTGCGTCTGCGGCGGACAGCTCCTTCAGGATCTTGTGCAGCTCGAAACTCTCCTCGTCATCAGGCACGTTCTGGAACTTCAGCGCCTCCTCGACCGCTCCCATCAACGCGTCGACCTGTTGTCCACGCTCAGCGAGCTGGGCAGCTGGTCCGATGAAGCGTTCCTTGCGAGACAGTTTGCGGAGCGGAGCACGGCCAACACGCTGCACGACGTCTTCGAGATACGGGTTAGAAATGCGGGTGATGATCTTCTGGACATAGTCGTGCTGTTCTGCGGCCGGGATGTGGTGCTTCTCGACGATCAGGGTTGAGGTCTCGGCCAGAACCGCGTTGACCTGGCTCCGGATTCTCTCGTCCTTCAACGCATCGTGGATGGTCGGTTTGCCAGCATTATAGCCGAAGTAGGCAGCGGTTGCATGGCCGGTGTTGACGGTGAACAGCTTGCGCTCGATGTAAGGTTCCAGATTGTCCACCCAGTGGATAGCCTTGATATCCGGGTGCCCGACGTCGCCAAAGGGAGTCTGCTCCACGACCCACTCGTAAAACTTTTCGATCTTGACGTCGAGACCGGAATTGGGGTCCTGGGTGGGCACGATGCGGTCGATAGCGGAGTTGGCGAACTGGGCACGGCTTGGGAGAGAGTCACGACGGGATTCGTCGGTGTTGTCCTTGATGAAGCCATGCAGAGTGTCGGTGGCACCGATTGCGTTTTCGCAGGCAATCACGGCCAGTGGCTTGGGCTGGGTTCGAATATCGATACCCTTGGCGATGGGTGGGGCGATGAACTTCAGAATGTTAGGGCCAACAGCGCAGGTGACGACATCGGCAGTGGATATCTCCTTGATGACGTCGTCGAGATTGTGCTTGGAGTTGATGGCCCGATAATTGTTGATGACTTTCTTGTGTTCACCTTCTCCACTGATTTCCGTGACCGTGTATGACGAGGCTTTCTGGAGGGCATCTATGACGCTGTCCATAACATCGACAAACACGACTTCATAGCCGGACTCATGAAGGAACTCCCCGACGAATCCACGGCCAATGTTGCCACCTCCAAAGTGCACTGCCTTTTTTCCCATTGTGGGGGGTGTGTGTCGGGTTCGTGCAGAGGGCGGGGCAAGTAAACGATTCTCTACAAGAACGGCAGCTTGACAGAGGAAGTAGAAAAAAGAGAATTAGGGGGGGGGGGGAAGGGAGTTGGGGTTGAGGTTGAGGTTGTGGTTGAGGTTGAGGTTGGGAGAACGAGATGGGGGTAGTTGATGGTCGATTTATTATTGCCAGCTTACCGCCTTCTTTGCTTCACAACACAACAAAGGTATGACAACAACAACAACAACAACAACGAGAGAGCGAGAGCGAGAGCGAGAGAGGAGAGAGAGAGAGAGAGAGAGAGAGAGAGAAAGAGGATGGGAGCAACACCAGCGCAACCAGCAAATCAAACGAGCCCCTGTCTAGCGTGAAGCACGCTTGCTCGAACCAGCAATTGCAGTGAGCTGGAAACAACCCGCCAGCCCGTCAGACAAAGAACCAAGGGGGATACGGGAGATAAGTTCCAGTTCCAGTTCCAGTTACAAAACCCAACCAAGCCAATTGGGTGTTATGAGAAGCGGGGTATCCGGCAAGTACCCACATTGGTGCGTGCAAAATGACGTCATTGGCTTGCCCGGATCCGGTGGTTGGGCTTGGCGGTGCTGACTCATCCGGCCCGTGACGAACCGTTTGCTTGTTAACTAGTTGCAATGACCATGTCGAACATCAGAAACGCTACACGCTACAAGGACGGAACTGCCAGCGCAGGTGATGATGATGATGATGATGATGATGATGATGATGATGATGATGATGATGATGATGATGATGATGATGAGACGCAATTTACAGTCAACCCCTCGTCTTCGATGAATTGCATTCCTCTGCTACGATGCACCTGCTCCTTGAAGAGTCCAGCTCAAAGCCTCGATCCAGGACCAGATGTGAAAATTGGTGACCGCCTCGCCTGGATCCCTATTTGTCCATGGAGGGAGAGGAGAAGGGGGGGGGGGGGGGGAGGGGTTGGCGCGGAGTTGCCTCCCGAAGCCGCGTCAGATCTCCTTACCCCTTGTTTTCAGGATAACAAACCACGGTAAAACCCTAAGGTCCTCGAGCTTGGTGGTTGGGGCGTTAAGCGACCACGGCTCAGCCAACAGAAAAGTTTGATTGCTTAGCGATTTTCAAGCTTCTGGAATGACCATTGGTGCGAGCATGGGACAAATCCCGAGAGAGGAATAACTGATTGGCCAATCTGAAACATGCTTTTCAAACCACAACTCTTTTTTGGTCGTTCCAGCGCCAAAACCTTGGAGCCCTTGGAATGTCAATAAAATTGCATTACGGCTTGCTTTCCGTCCAAGATATGGAAAACAGCTTGACCGCCCCTTCGCTTCAAGGTGCACTTACTCACAGTGAGCCCAACTGCTGCCCAATACACACCAAGCCTGTTCCTCCATGACAGAGATTCTCCCTTTCTGCAATTTTACAGTTTTCCTTTTCCTTTTCCTTTCTTTCTTTCTTACTTTGTTTCTTTGTTCTTCTTTTCTTTTCTGAATTGAAGAAAGGAACGGTGAGCCTCGGGAAAATATTGCCGTTTTCATCTTATTTTGCCTGGAATCTGAAAAACCTCGAGAGTGGGACGGCAAATCAATATCTTCAGATTCAACCCGGTGCTGCTCTGGTTCCCTAACGGATGCATTCCACCATTCTTTGATAACCAACTTCCATATACGCTTATATATATATCTAGAGAGAGAGAGAGAGAGAGAGAGAGAGAGAGATTAAAATCTCGCGAAGCATGACTCCACCAGTGATAACTGTCGATCAATGCCTTCTTCATGCTCGCCCTTCAGGCCCCGGGATCCCTATTGTGCGCCGGATTGGGGAATGCGGGCCGTGGTTTACACCATGGTGGTGATATTTTCCCCCTCAGATATGGTATCATCTTATCCATATCATATTGACTTTGATGTTGGAAATGCAAAGAAGCATGATTTTAATCTATATATATATATGAGCGTATATGGAAGTTGGTTATCAAGGTAATCCGCTCTACGTCGTCATATCATTGGGTGAAGACGTTCCCCTTCTTAGGCTCTAACTCCTCAACTGCGTTTTCACACAACCAAGCTCTTACGTCAATTCGTTTACGATCATATTTGCGAGTCAATGTTCATTGCCAACACAGATTGGACGCGCACCTCACTTTTAGCAAACTTCACCACAGGTCAACGCATGCAGCGATGCAGACTTGCCATTAATAAATGGGGCCAAGTGACTTGACATTGTGCAATGCCGCACAACGCTGGGCCACTCGACAACCATAGTATACAAGAGGAAGAGAACTGTGCCATTTCCCGGAAACAGTCCTTCCTTTCTACATCACTTTCCAGGTCGAATCGTAAACTATCACAACCTTGTGTCCCTTCGGTCTGCAGAGCACATCGGCCCCATTCAGCTGCATTTCAGGTCTCCCTGCTTTTCTCGTGATACAGAATAAAACGTATGGCGCAGAGGGTTGTAATGAAAAGCGGTGTGAACTAGTCAAAATCCATGGGGTCGGTCTATGAACGGGGAAAACGCTAATATCTTTAGTTCAAAAACAACATGCACCAGATAGTAAGAACAGTCGCCCCGCAAGTCCACCTATCGTACATACCATATCCACAAAACAACATTAGCTGGGTCTCATCAATAAAACCATGCAGGGAAGTATGATGAATGCCAAGCTCTAGAACACATGAACGTGCAAACTGCACTGCAATAACGGGGGAAATAATATGAAAAAAGGGTGATCGGCCTAAAAGTTCAGATACATAGAGCACTTAAATAGTAGTAGGCCAATAAAAGAACAAGACGTATCACTGCGAAAGAAGAGCTCACCGGATACCCCGACGACGTTGGATGAGACGCGAGTGAGATCACCCGACCTGGAAAATTGAAAAAATTGGAGTGAACGACCACCTGTCGGGCAAACACAGTGGATTATCCAAGGGAACAGCTCAGATTAAGGCACCACCCCCCCCCCCCCATCTCCGGCGACTTCTTCATCCTACCGGTCCTCGACTGAGGATTTTCTTCAGCCGTCTGTTTTCAGTTTCAAACACTGTGCGCTCTTCATCGCTGAGCGTCCTTTCTTTAAGAAGCATATCATGCAGTTGCTTGTACTGTTTCAACAAATAAACAGATTCCTCGAAGGAGGGTAGGTCGCGGAGAGAGAGTAGCCATGAGCCCCGAGCAACCCTCTCTGATGCGGCCTTGACTCTAGCTGGCTCATCCACTTCCTCTCCATGTTTAGAAAGACTGTTATAGGCGAGCAGCGAGATGATCTTGTCTACATGCGGACGTAGAGTAGCAATTGCGTCCGTTATCCTCTTCTTGATCAATGTATCGGGAGATTTCGCGTCCTCCTTGCCTGCCAAGATAGATATGGTCTCCTTAACGCTCTCCTCTGAAATACCATACCTAATAAGAGCCAGGTACCTCGACAAAATTTCAGGTTCCGGTTGCATTAGAGCGGTATCCATAAACCCGACCAACCTGCTGGCCGTCTCGAATACATGCGGATTCTTTCGATCGCGAGAACAGCAGCTTAATGCGATGACGAAGGTTTTGCGAGAAACCATATTTCTGGGTAACATTTGCTTCTTGATAACATGAAGAGATTCACTGCTGGATCGACCTACGCGGAGAAGTCGCAGATACTCGTGGAATGAATGTTCATCAGGCCTTATCTTCCTTCCATGGACGAGTTTCTCCCAGTACGCTCGGCCGATGGCAACGCCGTTTGGTATTGTCCGGGAAGCTGCTAAAATCAACGACAGTTGAGCATTTACAGGTCGAGGAAGGGCCATTTTGGCACGGCGGGATTTTCTGAATCGCCGGTCTTTTTTGCCAAGATGCACAATGGGGAGAGGATTAAACAAGTTTTTAAATTCTTCAGCTTCAGACGGCGGTTCCGGTTCTTCGGCCGGTAGTCCTGGTGCTTCGTGCACCGCTCCTGGCTCTTCAGATAATTGTTTTGGGTTTCCTTCCGAGGCATGGTCCGTTTCATCATTATCTGTCGATTTCTTCTCCATTCCCTGGGTTTCAGTGGAAGAAGATTCGTCCTGGGCTTGTACCATTTCTGGGGTATCTTGGTTTGTGAATTTCTTTTGCTCTTTATTTCTGCTTTCTTCTAGCTGTGTCTCTAGGTCTTCAAGCAATGGAACGCGCATCGATTGATGCAATAGGGCGAACACATCAAGGCAGTCGCGTCTTTTTTGACCAAAAAGAAGCAAATGCCCCATGGCTGACACGAGATTTTGATCTATGAGCAACTCTCCCTTTTTCCATCGATCCATAATATTAGCCCATATTCTCTTTCCTTCTCGTACTAATGCCGTCTTTTTCTCTATAATTCCGTCTTCTTGACTGCGGGGATCAAGGGGTTTAATTTCACTGGCAACCCGGGCCTGAAGACCATTGAGAATGATGGTGAATGTCCTCGCGTCAGGAGCATCTTCACCTTGTTCGGGGAGCGATCCGGCCACCTCCCAAAGGGCATCCATATTTCCATGTCGAGCACACACACACAAAGCCGCATTGATATGGTGGATAGATGGTTTAACTCCGGAACGAGGTGAGCGCAAGCTATTGCATATCGAAAGCGCCATTTGTACTGCCTTTTTGGAACTACTATTGGCTAATCCTCGAAACATAATTGTGTATGTGTATGTGTTAGGCTTGCACCCTCTTCTTTTCATCTGGCCCAGTATTAGCTTTGAGGAATTCATTTATTCATATATTTTCTTTTTGATGTAAAGGAAATGCAGTTAGAGCAGCCTCACATCGTTATAAAGTTTAAACGCCGCAACGGGTCTGTCATTCTTCATCTCGCAGTCAAAGATCATGTTCCAAGCACCCATACAATCGTAGCCCCTCGATTGCGCAGTTCTCACCAATGCAAGTGCTTTTTGCAAATCTCCCTTGTTAAGCATCTGTTTCACTCGCTTTGCCAGAATAACCCGATCCGTTGCCCACTGTAGTTCTATGTCGATTGCCTTCCTCGACATCGTAGATCTCCCAATAACTTTCTGTTTCCAAACCGAACCGGGCTTCGACTTCCTGCCAGCGCCTGCTCTTGAGTGCCTAACGAAATCTGCCGCCACAAGCTCCTCGTCTTTTGTTTCGCCACCGGAATTCGGTTTGTTGTAACTGGTATTCTTCCATGATGATTTACTGGTGGGTGAATCCGACCTTGATCTAAGTCCTCCTTGGCGAGCATCTGATGAACGCTTGCCGAACCTCGATGTCGAAATATTTCTGTAATCGGCTCCATTACGAGTAATGTGGTTTGCCAGCGATCCTCCCCTTATATTGCCAGATATTATCGAGCTCCCATTGCAAACCAGTCTCGTAGCAAGAGTGCCACTGGCATAGACATTTCTGCAGCGGAGCATTTAATCAATCACGTTGTTTATCTGGTCTGTATACCCGAAAGGAAAACAAGGAGGCTTTATGGGGTTCCGTAATAGAATAAAATTATATCCAAGTAATCAGCAAAATGGCACTAAAGAAGCCAATTTGTTAGAGAGCTCCGTTCGCAATTCGGAGTGTGCGTAGTATTCGCAGGGTAAATTTTGAATCTCGAGAGTGGACAACTAACCAAATTTCGTGCTTCTTTTATTAAAATCCCCCGACAACAAATTCTCCAGATGAGAATATAGGGTATCCCAGAAGCTAAATGGCCAATTCCTGTTCACCTGGTGGAGGTGGAGTTTTCAACAACTCATGGGATGTGCAAAGCTTCGTCCTTACATATGGTTTCATACTTTTTTTTTTTTTTTGGCATTGCTAGATAAGCCGGATTAACAAAGTTCCGTTGAGCCTACAACGGGATGCTAAGCAGTGAGTGTATTTAACCACCAGGACACATACCTACGATATGGACTATTATCTGTGAAAAAAATAGAATGGACAGTTCGAGAGCGTGCATGAATATCTCCCATTCGTGGTACCTCATCACCTCAACCTTCTAATTCCTCACCCCCTTCAAAAAACTGATATCAGGAATTCCAAATGCCCCTTTATGCCTTTGGGTCCAACGGGTCGGGCCAGTTAGGCATTGGGCACATGGACGATGTTCCAATACCTACGAAATGTCTATTCATACAGGGAGACGAGCCAAGTAATTTGGAATCCATTAATAATCCTCATTCTCAGGATAAACCCCTACGGATTGTTGCGGGTGGGAACCACACCTTAGTTCTTTTTGAGTCTGGAGCTGTATACGCTGCTGGATCCAATAAAAACGGGAAATGCGCCCACGACCCAGATACAGTGCTTTCTTTATTACGATTTAGAAGAGTGGTTATTGTTACAGAAGAGGGAAGACGGGTTGATCGATTCAAGGTCATTTCGGCAACGTGGGAAGCGTCCTTTTTTGTTGATGCAGAGCAAGGCCATCTCTATGTTTGTGGATTGGGAATGAAGGGAGAGTTGGGGTTAGGGGAAGCCTGCATGGAGGCGAGTAGGCCAATGCGGATTTTAAATTTTCCACCAGCTGGAAAGGAAATCACTTCTATCTCCAGCAGTGTCTCTCATACAGTAGTCACACTGTCGACTGGGGAGGTGTACGGATGGGGGATATCGAGAAAAGGTCAATTGGGAGAATGGAATATACAGAACAAGATTTTATGGGAGCCAAGAAAGATCGAAGATGTTGCGTTTTTTGCTTGTCAGATTGCGTGTGGAAGAGAATTTACGGTTATTGGTGGGGAGGCGGTGACAGGTGAATTTGCCATTTTAGGATCGAATAAGTGGGATATCAGGTCTGACGTTCCGAAAGACATTAAGAATTACGAAATGGTGGCAGCTAGTTGGCATGGTATATATGTCCATAGACTGGATGGTTCTGCCATATCGTGGGGGAGAAATGATCGCGGTCAGTTACTTCCACCACACCTCCCACAGCCAACCAAGCTGGCTGTAGGCAGCGAACACGTCATTGCCATAATCGAGAGCACAAATGTGGTGGCTTTTGGATGGGGCGAGCATGGTAACTGTGGACCAAACACAGATGCACAGGGGAATGTGGCTGGGCGATGGAGCAAGATTCCCCTGACTATTGAGGGACGGGGTGCGGTCACAAACGTCGGTGCAGGCTGTGCTACAAGTTGGATTATGACAGCCTAAATACGAAAACCAGGGGTTAAGAGGTTAACACAAAAACGGATCATCCCATATAGGACTTGAAACCTATTCATCAAAGGTCTGCATGTGCGGTTGGCCACAACTCGACATGGGGTGAACGCGATTAAACGTTGTACAAGACATTTATAGCCTCATTATCGAACCGTCATATTAATCAAATAGCCCTCGTACCTGCGCTACGGTCAGTACCATGACGACAAGGGGAAAACATGTCCTACATACTTGAGATATCCTTTGTGTGGGAGGAATTGCTATGGAGTCTCTTTGATCCTGATCATTCTGATGCCTCATACTGGCTCCAGTTGGCGTGATGTCCTGGATTCGTCCTCCAATGCTCGCCTGGAATGCGTTCTACAAACCCTTTTAGATGTGCCGCTATAAAACGAAGACTGTTGCCGAACATACCTGATCCATATTTGCGTCCCAGCCAAGGGTGTCTTCGTCCTCGTCCCCGTACCTGGGCTCGTCCCATTGTTGGTCATCGTCCGCCGGAACAAACAATGACTCAAATGGAATTGTAGAGTTTGGCGGTGCATTCACCTGGCCTTCCTGTTGGACTGCCTCTTGAGAGGGCTGCTGGAGAGAGTGATATTTGGGAATAGATTCTGGAATTTCAGGTGGAGGGTTCGTTACGGGCTCCCTCGAAGGGACAGTTGCGCGTCGGGAATAAGGCCTTGCCGATAACTCCCGGTTTCCGTTTGTAGATCCGGAGATTGCCTCTTCGAACTCACCCCTTGTCATCAACGTGAACTCACACATCATTCCGTTCGCCTCGTACGATATCTGCATTGGTCGGCATGGACGAGTATATCGTGCCACAGTACTTTCACCTAGGGAATGTGCGTGGATGACGATGGCCTTGAAATCCTTCACGTTAATAGCTACGTGAAGTTTATCTTCTACCGTGAAATGGTCAAAATCTCTTATGTCGATGGCCACTGATGTATGAACAGGCTGCTTGAGGATTTCTGCAGGCAAAGATCAGGACATTAACCACTAAAATTAAGTTTCAGTCATATATCATTCCATCACCATACCTTTCCCATCAGCAACTTTTGTAGTAAAACTCGTGAACACCGCTCTATTATTCTCAGAGAAAATATCCAGCAGTTCAGCACTAGGACCGAAATGTTCGATAATTTCTCGCAGATACTTCGAATCTATGGCCCATTGGTTTTTAGTCTTTGACTTGTCGAATAAAGCGTGTTGAACCTCTACAGTTTCGTAGGTTAATTTATAAGTCTTGACGACCCCTAAACCAGGTAAGCTAGCCTGTGAGATAATAGAACCAGCGAGGAAGTAGTTGCACCATACCATGCCTACATATCATCCGGATGATAAACCTGCATTCTGTTTCGTCTGGGCTGTCTTGGAACTGAACTTCGCAACGCTCAATGGCGGTTTCTCTATCTTTGAAATCACTGACACGCCCCCTGAAAACTGACAGAAGTGCCTAGGCAGCATCATTAACGAATGGACTTAAATGTTTGGAATGTTGTATTGTATCTGAGAGCTCAACAGCCCTAGTCAACAAACCTTGATGTATATTTGACACGTTAACTTATCGCCAGTATTCCTTGCTGTGGACCCAGACGCATTGCGCCTCGGGCTAGCAAATAAATACTGAAAGAAAAAAGAGGAAGCATCAAATTTGAAAGATGCATATGCTGATTTAGTCAAATTCAGTGCCGAGAAGCGCAGCTGTCATCATTGTCCGCTCCATGGTCAGCAAAAACAATACTTCAGCCATCCACTAACACTAACAGATCAGCAAGAGGAGAGAAAGGAAGACAAGGGTAAAACTATACAAAAGATTCCTCTGCTTCAATTGAAACGCTCTCGTTAAATTTTGCAAGGCATACAAGTACATCGTGAAGGTGGAGCAGAGCGTCTGGAAGCAGGGTAAACCTGAGCGACGTCATTATGAAGAAGCCTGAAAAGGTACCTCCTGTCTAACGGGGCCCTAGAGGGCAACAAGAAGATCGGGAACGTGATTTACGTGTCTCCCAGACTCTGATTAGTTCTAAGCGTGCATGTATGTCATTTGGATTCAGATTGACCACATCGCGAGAATTAACGAAGTTATGGTCAAAAGCTGGAGGTTTGACCTCAGGGGGCATCCCTGCTTAGATAATCACGAAACTTCCAAGGTCAGGGAAAATCCGCAGAATAGGTTTGCATCCCCAATAACGATTCCAAAGCTGCTGGTGGGATCGCATTTCTCTATCAAATGGGCCACTGGCCTATGAGCAGTGTGTCAATAATGATATTGAGACCAGTCTCATAGATGACTACCTAACGGACAGATATCCAGGATTGCCCACAGTGGGACAAATTTCCCATCATCGAACAGAGATTCGGCAGAATTTATGGAATTATTGTTAGCATCCTGATTATATGTAAGACTGAGACTGGATGAAAATTTCCAAGCTTGCAAACCCCCATCTCCATTAATTTTGACCTGAGAAGCAAAAGCCTTTGAAAGCCGTTGGGACATATCCATCAGCTGGGTTTAAGAATAGAGAAGGTACAGAAGATAACTATGTTGGGATGGCAATAAAGAGAGTGCGCATACAGTAGACGAGTGTTGAATGGGGAATAGAGGCTTTTGTTTTAAAGAATTTTATAATAAGGGCTAAGGATTTGAGCACCCGTTCATGCATCGGAGAAAGCAGAGGAGAATCATGAATCACTAAATAGTGCGAGTGGAAATTGACATTCATAAATAATAAGGTTGGGAAGAAGCAAGAATAGAAAGAGAAGAAAGATAAAGAGAAATACAATTGGGTCAATTTTATGAAAACAAGAAATTTTAACAGGAACATATTAAGACAGAGCCACACTACACTTGAAAATGCAACACCCCACATATGGCGCCCATGCCTAACCCCCAGTCATCCAATTTGCAAGGAAAAAGAAAGGAAAATAGGAGACACATGATCCATATCCATATCCATATCCAGTCCAGTTTGACCATTCCTCATTTCTTTCCATTCGTCCCGCCGGAGGGGGGGGGGGGGGGGAAACCTCGTACCAGAGAACGCGGAAATCCTCATCCCTCTGGTTTAGCCTTCTTCCTCTCATTGCGGCCTAGGTCATATCCTATTGCTTCTCATTTCCGATTTCTCCTTCTCTATTATAGACCCAAAGGCGGAATAAAAAGGCAAAGACGTCATGACTCATATGACACCGATGGAGAAAACATGATTGGAAAGGAATCAACGCCGTGAAAAGAAAGAAGACAGAGGGTTGGAACGGACATAGAAATTTAACATTTCCATACACAACAAAGACAACAGACAAGCATACGCACAAAAGTTTCTCGTTGGTAAAAACCGGCAGAGATATGACGAAGGCGTTGGGGTGAGAGAGGGAAAGCAACTAAACATGGAAATTACAGGGAGAAAGGTAGCAAGCAAGCATGACGAACAGCAAAGAGCAATGAAATGATGGGTAACGTATAGAAACGCGTTGAAAAACAAAAGGCAACAACTTTGAATGACAAATTTTGGAGTAAGGAATAGGACACTGGGGAATCGTAGGAGGTTATAAAAAGTTAGAAAAGAAAAGAGAAAAGAAAAGAAAAGCACATAAAAATGAAAATTGAAACTATGAAGCTAGAAAAAAAGACAGAAAGAAGCTCCTCAAGAGATGTATGAGTGAGAAGCTCTGAAGAGGAATGGTGTAGAAAAGCAAAGCATTATCGCAACAGGAGATTTTTCAATTAAAATCCACTCGTGTCCAGATTTTCCCTTCTCCTTTTCCTTCACTGTCTTCCTCCCCATCAAATCAAGCCTTATTGGTAGTTGCTGGATTGATTCTCTGGGGCTAGTATCAGCCGTCAGTACCACACTGTGATACAACAACAGAAAAAGAAAATTATACAATAAATTTTCCACATGCATAGGCAGTGTCGTTTGCCATTGAACTTCTCTCTTCAATTCTTTTTGGGTCTTCTGTTACTGTTCTTCTTCTACTTCGATTTGATCTGAGACATAGATTGGAGGGGAAGAAGAGAGACAGGGACGTGTGAATTATCACTCACGCGGTTGATATACCTGGTTTCCTTGGCCATATGGAGAATGGGGATAGTTGGCAGGTGGGTATTGCGCGGTCATCTGGCCATTACTTGGGGGATATACAAGTCCCTGCCCAGCAGACGCACCGTACTGGCCAGGAACCTGACCGTCTGCTGGTTGATATCCAATGGGAGGTAGCTGTGGGCGAACGCCAGCAGGATATGAAGCTGGCTGTGCCGATTGGGAAGGATCAGTTTGGGTGTTTCCATCAACTTGATTAGCCTGTGCGGCAGCACGCTCTCTCTCCTCAGCAGCCTTGCGTTGGTTCTCTTCTTCCTTCTTACGGGCCTTCCATTCCTTTCGGATTTCTTTGAATTCTAGGTGTTTTGAAACGCAATCAAGGGCGGTGATGTTAGCCAAGATACAATAGGACAAAGTAACGAACAAGCCAGACAGGAGAGGCATAGCGTGGATGTTTAGGGATGGCATATCTGTGGGTAGCGGCATCTTGGCGTCGGGTATTGTTAAGCTCACTGCGCCGTCGCACGCTACTGCATCCCCACGTGTGGTTTCTAGCACCAGCGCAGTGTAACGCGACTAGTTTGATGCAAGGGCAGGGCTAACCACTTGAAGCATTTTGCGACCACGACACACAATCCCAATAAATAAAAATAAAGAGGAGACAAACAGCATGATAAACGCGTTTATTGTAGGTATATGTAGGAAGAGTCTGACAAACCTTCAGGAGTTCTCTTTGCACCATGTGATTGCATTGTGACATGTGCATTGAGGTGATTCAATGTACCGTATGCCTTCTCACATCCATTCCAACCACATTTGTACATTCGTTCGATCTCTTCGTATCGACGGCGGGGGCGCTTGTGCTGCTGGGCACCGGGGATTGGGACGAAGGAATATACCTGCGAAAGAGAATGAGTCTGTGTAGATAAAATGAAAATCAGATGATGCTTTGATCTTTGATGCCAACGGGAAAGGATTTCTCACGTGGCTCCCGAGATACAGTCAAGATCATACAGACTGCAGAGAAGGGAAAAGGGAAAAAGAAAAACGCGTAAATTGATAAACGTACCTGTCCTGGACGAGGCCCTGCGGTCGCAGCTGGAGACGCAGAACCCACCGTTGTTCCTGGGGAGCTATAAGTCCCTGGCATCCCATGCGGATGCTGTCCATACTGATGTGGCGGCCAATCTGGTCGGCCATACATCTGTGGAGGGGGGTGTCCCTGATACTGAGCCATATCGTGGCCCTGGGGAGTATACGGGGAGTACGGAGGAGGGTATGAGGGGCTTGATGCCGCGATTGAGGGATCTATAGGAACGGCGGTGTCAGATTTCAAATTCGATGGACTGCGATGGCCACTCTGCTGCCCATCGTTTAAGGGCATGGACGGACTTGTTGCTTGAGCCATACCTGGCGCGCCGGACTGCGAGTGAGGCGCGTGGTGGTACTGTGGCTGACGTGTCAGGTATTCGGGATAGGGAGCTGGGCGGGCTGCTGGTGGAGGAGGAGCTTGAGGTTGGGGAGGAGGAGTAGGCCCCGGTGGGCTCAGACCGTAGTCCGGCTGGGGGGTAGTGGAGGACGAAATGTTGGAGAATTGAGCTTCCGCTTGCGCGGTGTCCTGGATAGATGGTCTGTGAATTGTGCTGACTGAACGCAGCAGTAGCAGTCTGTTCTGCAGCCGCTCGTTCAGAATATGGCTCCGCCAATTTTGGATTCGGAGATTTCAAACCTGGCTAGGCGTAATCAGAGGCCGGTCTGTCCATATAATGACTTCTCGCGTCTGAAAATGGAAAAGACCCTTTATATTTCCCTCCCTACAGATAAACGGAACCCTAGCCTATCTGCGACCGGGTATGTGCAACTTGGGGATGATGTCTTGCTTAGCGCAGCTGAAGGAAAAAAAGGTCCCCTCACAAGAACAAATAACGAACTTCTGCACGTTACGTGTTAGTGAGCGCCAGCAAGGTGTGTCTGGCCACGACAGAAAATCCGCGTTTATTAGCTGAGTTGACGGAAGAGGGTTAGGAAGGGTGGCAGGGAAACGAGCTGGTGGAAGCGCGTTGGGTGGGACGAAACGTTCCTGAGGTTCAAAACAGCCCAATACAAGTGGAACAACCAGCGATTGCCTGAATTGTGTTTGGTGCTGTGGCCCTAGGAGTGCACTCGATCAACCACTAAGAAACCGGACAGGGAGCTAGAGAATAAAGAGGAATGACAATAGCGGCGTGGTTGGAAAGTAATAAATGATTAATGCGCGGTGAAGGGGGAAGTGAGTGAGAAAGTGTTATGGGTGTTGTCTGGGAAATGGTCGTTTTGAGCGGGTGTTTGATCACCCTAGCCAGGACTCTAGAGGCGCAAAGTTGTACAAGCTCTAACCTTGCCCACGCAACAGATCTTTTAAAGAAGGGCGACAGGCTTCGTAGAACGCAGAAGGACGATGGTGTGAGGTACAATAATAAGCAAACAAGAAAGCCTCTAAAGTACCAAGTGGCAGCAACTGTGGTTCAGTAGGGATGCCGGGAGTAAATAAGCGCGGTATCGAGCACAAAATCGCGGGGAGGGAGGGGGGAAAGAAGAAGGGCTACGAGGTTGCTGGCTTGCGATGGGACAAGGGAGTTCGGCAATGGTAGTGGCTTTAGACCAGTATTATTATGGCTCGTGGAAGTTGTTTGCTGGTAGCGGTCGGGTAGCGGAGATGGGAAATGGAGGGAGTTGGTTGATTGGAGAGATGGGGATGGAGGCTAGCTTGACTTAAAAGCCTGAGTTGTTCCCAGTTTGACGGGGAGAAGTCGTTGAAATAGTCAAAATAGTGTGAGACGATGGTTCGATCGTGGCAAAGCCGTCGGTTTTGATCTCGGACCAGAACTGGGCAGCAGTGGAGAAAACTGCTCCAAGAGAAACCAAGCGGGACAGACAATGTGACCTGATGGCTGGAGACGACTGAAAATACCCGACCAGTTGGGCGCAGTCAAGTATTGGAAAATTTCCGCAGGATTCAAGTGAAAAAAAAAAAACAAGCAAACAAGAAAATAAGAAGAAAAAAAAGAAAAAAGAAAAAAGAAAAAAGAAAAGAAAAGAAAAAAAAAGTAGTCGCAAAGAGGTGGTGGGTAAGCAATTAATGCAGAGCAATAATCAGGAAAGGATGTGCTCTGTACTGTGCAGTGGTATCGGGGTTACCACCCAACTCGGGGCGTATTTTTGATTGCTAATTCGAAAGGCGGTGGGAACTGGCTTGAGTTGTGGAGCTTTGGGGGTTTTTTTACAGCGGAGTGGGTAACGGACCGGAGACCAATGTCACTGATCAGTCATAAAGCATGAATTATGATTAATATTCCCGCTGGATTGTCGTTTTTGTCCACGGCCACTTCTGTTGTGGTGAAGTGTTTCCAAGCTCCAGCTGTTGGCGTGCAAAAGAACGACTTCCAACACCCAACACCCAAAAAGAGCCAGATTTGTGTCCGTTGCGGGAAACAGGGTATCTGTTACCCTCCGTAGCCCACGTCCAGCTGAGAGATTTCCAATTTCCTTCTTATTCCCTTCTCTTCTTCCCAAATCCTTGTGATTTCCTCGAATTCCCAAACCCCTGGTGTCTTAATTCCCACAACCCTTGTGCTCCAGGACTTCAGGGGTTTGATAGGTCGAGTTGGGAGCTGGCGCCAAGCAAGAAGGAAGAGAGGGGCGATGTTGGTACGCCTCCTGCTCAGGTCAACGTCAGTACGAGTAAATAATCAAAATGACAGGGATACTTCTTGGGGCCCAAGCAGGCCTGGCCGCTTGTCACCGATACCAAAAACACAAAAGAAGCCATAAAGTAAAAACATAAAAGAAAAAAAAAAATTTATATGTATAAAAGAGGATAAACTGATGAAATCCAATTCTCAAAAGTCAAAAAAGAGAGGGGGACCCACTCCAGTCAGACGGATTCGCCAAATATCAAGCCAACCAGGCCACGAAACCACACCACCAAACGTGGGTATCTATCTTATTTTATTCTCCCGTAATAAATGGCTTGTACCGCGATAAGCCAATGATATGTTCCACCCCTGCAACAGGCAATGACTCTATGGACTGCACACGAGGCCCAGTGGAAGCAATGGAAAGGGTGGGCTGTATTATTATTTCCCTCCAAATATTTATTCTGGATGCGGAGGAGGGTTGAACTCGATTATCACCAATCGCTCTATATGGGTATTCTCTTGGCCCACACACTTTTATTTGGAAATAACTCGCCAGACGGATGACTTAGCCTAGAGGAACGGGGAGAACTAGAGCCCAGGTCAGTAGTCTGATGGCATCCAGTGGCAAAGCCATCGCCCAGTGACCGGTCCATGATGGAACCGGGGAGGGGATCTTGAGGATTTTTGGGGGAGTGTGGGAAAAGGCCCGACGGAAGGGCTAGGGTGATGGTTGGGAGGTTTGGTGAAGGGGAGGAACAACGGGAATGGGGGAAGGGGGGGGGGGGGGGGGTTAGGGGACGGTTAGAAGTAAGTAATAGTTAATGGCACATACAAGCGTGGAACTAACTGTAATAGTCGCAAGCGTCAACTTGGTGCGAGCGGACTCGTGGCAACGCACCAAGAGCGGAAGAAGGTTAGGGGGCTGATAAGCCCTGGGTCTGGAGAATTGGACAGGCCAACAACGGTTGAAAACGTGCTTGAGGCTAGCGTTAAGAGGGAATGGTGGCAGAGGCTAGTCAGAAGAGGGTTTGGCGGTTGGGCAAGAGGGATCCCAGGTTCAAGGTTCGCGACGCAAAGACGGCTTAGTCTGCTAATTGTTAGACTGTGAGAGGAGGAATTTATTAGTTAGCGGCAGTCTTTGAAGCCTTTTCAGTAATTTGGAAGCGGGAGGAGTCAATGATTAATTGCTGATTAATAATAATGGGACGTGCACAGAGTGTGAAGCACCCAAGGGCAAGGCACAGGCGCAGAAGGACAGAAGAGACGGACAAACAACAACGACGACGAACGACGGGATCTTCCCGAATACTTAATCCCACGCACCACGTGATCTATATGGTCACGTGGTGATCCCGGTCAAAATCTCGGTTATCGTATGTCGACACGTCAGGCCACACCAAGCCTCGGAAGAAGCCGCCGCATCGGCGGGAATGACCTGACAGAGTTACCCCAAAATACCATACAGTTGAGCTCCCTTCCCCAATACCAAATACCAAATACCAAGCACCAAGCTGTTGCATGGTGTTTCAAGCATGAGCATTGCTTAGATTTTTATTATAAATCTATGACTGTGACAGGATGATGGATTGGACTCCCTACTTTTTCATCACTCTTCATACTTATTTTGAATTTTTGTTTTTTCAACTGCTTTTATTTTGACTTTTTTTTTTTTTTTTTTTTTTTTTTGTGTGTGTTCTTCTGCGATTCATTACCTAAGCAAACAAGGGCCTAACAGCCATTCACAGGGCTGCTTTTGTTGTAAGTTTGCTGGGCCGGAGGTTTAAGGGTACCACCCAGTTCAGGCAGGGGGGTATGATACGTGCATAAAATTACCGTCAAATGATGCACCAACGCAACTCTTCAAGATTCTTTGCAGAATCTAGCTTGACGCCCAGCGGCCTCGTAGCCTGGAGGTTGGAGGCTCCAGAGGCTACAAGTCAGCCCGGGGAATTGTTACCTGGGCTCTCTTAATTATCATCGGGGGGCCACATGGTTGTGTGTCTCCGGCTTGCTATCTCGGTTCCTATCATTAACTTTACTTTAACGAAACATGGGCTCACATAAACACTCCGTATAGTTAACTACTCCGTATACACTCTGTAAACATGCACCGGATACTACATGGATACGGCCATGTTGTTGTTGCCGTATTGTGGCAGCGTAGCGATACACCGGAATCGCCTGCAACCACAGCTTGGGAATGTTTGGTATGTTGTTATTATGCTGTGCTCAAGGTAATGCCAAGCGCCCATTCTGTCGTTATTTTCGCGCGTGCAGAATTTGCAAGAACTTGCACCAACCAAAATCTAAGTCTCCCTCCGGTCTCCACTTGTTTATCTATGTGTCTGTTTTTTCCCCAAGCATTCTCCCCAACTGTGGGTTTTCCATAATGAATGAATCTCATGAAGAGAATTTTTTTTTTTTTTCTTTTCTTTTCACGTTTCCTGGTAAATGCAAAGAGTCATATGCTCCCAACTGCTGAGAGGTCTACTCTGCGCCCCTTTTGCCCCTTTGTGATAATTAAGAATGGACCGATCTATGTGGCGGGCCTTGCTCAAGTGGCAGCATCCAGGTTCGCAAGCGAAACGGGCGGGGGCCGCGTTGGCGACTTGACAAGTCAGAGTGCCTCCCCGAGTCTTTCAGATGCAAGAAATGAGTCGAGATCCTTTGATTTCACTCCTTTGCCGCTGCGGATTATCCTTGGGGGAAGGAAGAGAGAGAAAAATATAGTTTCATTACCATCAAGTGGACGCTCCTATGAAGATCAGTTGATCAGTATCAATGCGGCCAGGAAGAGCTAGACCGATGTCTCGTTTGCAAAAACAGGGGGAACATGGACATCTCCAAGGAATAATTAATTCAGGGTACCACCCAGACGATGAAATGCCATGATTCGGTAAAATGAAACGCGTTGGTGATTCTTGACTCAAGGACTTCCGGAGATCCGACCAAAATCGCGTTCAATCCTTGTAGTTGAACACCAGGAAATCTAAATTTTGGACAGGCAAGACATGAAGCCATGTGTTCTTCTAGCGGCTACGAAGGAACTGCTGCAATAATTGCAAATCTGTGTTGTTGGCTCTTGGCAGAGTAAAAGCCATAGAAAGAAAGAAAAAAGAAATTAAAAAGAATGCTTAGGAAAGATTAAACGACTACAAAAAATGATGAATTATGTGTATGTGAAAGGCAGAGTTATTTCTTGTTAGGATTTGGAATTTGGAATTTGAGGGATGAGTTGTCAGAAGGAAGATTGCTTCATTGATACATCTTGAATTTTTCTTTTTTGCTTCTTTTTATTCTCATCCTTTGGTTTCTTTTCTTTTTCCTCTTCCTCTTCCTTTTTTAGTTTTATTTTTATTTTTATTTTTTCTTTCCCCTTATTTTTATTAATTTTTTTTTAATTTTTTTTTTTGTTCTTTGCTTTTTGTTTTCCTCCTGATCGACGAACATCAGCGATGATGATGACGAAGTTGCAGTCCGCCGGTTAATCCAAAAGAAGAAAATGGAACAGCCATTAACAACGAAGTCAGGAACCGAGATGTTGATCGATAGGTTGCTCCCCAGCGGGCACCATGCTCAACAAGCTTCCCTAGCTTGATCTCGATAACAGCAAATGAGAACGACAGTTCCCTCTTTTTTTTTTTTTTTTTGCAACGCAGAGCTAGACCACATCATATATAGCGCCTTTAGAAATCCTTGATTGACCCATGGAATTCATCTTCCATCCCGACGATTGGCACGCTAACTGCGTGGTCTCCCTTTAATTTAACACGCTAGAAGCCTATGGATGAAAACTAGGCCCAGGCAGCAAAGAACGCACAAAGACCTGGGCCCCGACACATGATAGTTTTTCATGTCTTTGAAACCTTTTCCCCCTTGTTGTTTTCTCTGCCAACATCACTTTGTTAGGTTGAAATGAGTTGTATTTTGCCCTTCACACAAAACATGTAAGTTCCAACAGGGTCTTTGTTTCTCCGGGTTGAAGCGGATGAATACATGGGACCTTGCGGGAAACTTTCTGCAGCAACAACATTCACGCATTTTTCAATAAATCTGTTGGTCCCTAGTACCTCCCTGCAGGCTGTGCAGTAAAGTTACCGACAGTATCATTCATTGGCAGAGAGATAGAGCGTATCGCCTGCTGATGTTGAGCTGAGGCTGGGTCCCATCAACTCGGGATTTCGGGGATTGATTATAATGCTCATTGCTCACTTCGTATTTTCGCCTTTTTTTATTTTTTTTATTTTTTTTATTTTTTTTATTTTTTTTATTTTTTATTTTTTTTTTGCATGTTCCTTTCTGTCGCCATATTTCCATTTCAAGGCATCATCCAGATGATCCGTCTGGAGTAACCCCCCCACCAGGATTTTCCCTCAGTTGCGCCCAATCATTCACTGCTGCTTTAATTATTCCAACTGATCAGCGTTTGTCATGATTGCTTGGCGCCCATATCATTTCCATTTGATCTGCCAGCCCCGCACGTTGTAAAAAAGGTCCTTCCCTCCCCTCACACTATTTTGTGAAGTTCACTGCCAGACTTGCAGAGATGTTGGATGGAATAACGCGATATGCTTAAAACGACACGGTGTTTCAGCAGCAGCAGCCACAGCGATTTCTGATGTCAAAATCTCCGACACCACCATTATTCGGCACCTAGCAAGATTTGTGTGAATGCGTTCGCCCTCTGCGGGAAATTCAACTCGGTCTTCGGAGTCTCTTCCCCGTCCCCCGCACCCTTCGATTTTCCCTGCTGCCGCACGCTGCTCAGAAAATGGGTTGGTTCCATTTCATTTATATTCACGTGATGAGCTGACGGATTGTGCCAAGCAGAGTATGGAGACAAATTGGAGACTTAAAAAAAAAAAAAAAAACTACGCAAACAAGTGTTAGCAGGCTGGGCTCTACGGGAGTGCACAACTGCAAATTTTGTTGATTGGCCCCATACTCCTCCATCCAGCGTCTCTTTTTCTCGGCTATGTGGATGCCGCCGCCTTGCGATAAAGGTGACAAGAGGTCAACAAAGGGGTCAACAACAGGTCAACTTTCAGGTTTTCCTGCTTGGCGTCCGTAGATGCTCAAGTATTATTGGCACACTCGTGCTAATCCACTTGAGCATACCTGCAGAGCCTGGTCTCCCCAAAAACATGCGTTAGTGCACATGCTATCATCTGATGGTTCATGGCGATAAGCCCGTCAATCTCTCCATCTTCTGGGTCCTTACCTGCATTGCTGTAGCCTGTGTCTGGGACAACGCCGGTTTGACGTTACCTCCTGCCAAGACACAACTTCCCATCCCCTGTACTTTGCATGGATGGCGTGTTCTTCATCCTCCTGTCAGCTAGCTTCATGCATGCATGTTAACATTTCTGGACCGCTGCACGAAGAGCGGAGAAGCACTCGTTTTGTTACGGTACCAATTGCCGTCCAGATTACACGTGCGGGACTCGGGATGTATTTATGGAACGTCTCTGCCTTATTCTTTCTCGCAAGCACCAAAGACGCGATATTTTTTTGACATGCTTCTTGACTTCACTTTGAAGTTTTGACTGACAATCCCCTATAATTTCTCTCCCCTGAAGCACTCCTTGCTTGCACTCCCTTGTATTCATGATTGTTGTTGACCGAAGCAGGAAAGAACAGAAAAAGAAATATGTGACTGATTTTCCAGTCAAACTTTCGAGCTCAGGGGGAAGATGCTGCTCGCATCTCACTCAATCGGTGCACTCGCTCCTTGAGGAAATCCCTTAAATTGCAATCAATACAGCCCAATGAAAACATACACATGCAATTGTCTGCTTCTTGCGGGGTGAGCCTTTTACTTGATCCATACGGGGGTATCCTGCCGTCCACCCTTGCACTCCCTGCTCTAGCAGGTTCATTTTTGCTGGTGGGACCGAGATATGTCGTTCTACATACTCCTTACTGTGCAATTGTGTGTATTATGGCAGGTCATTATTGGGATCTTCTCGTTGTGGATTTCGATTGAGAAGTCGCCGAACTTCCACAATGCAAGAAAACAATAAAAATGGAGTCGCAATTTCATTTCCTTGGAGATGCGCGATATCAACAAATAATTTTAAACATCTCGAAAATATTTTCGGATGATAGCTCATTTCACACAGCAGCCTTTTGCCCCGGGGGTTTCTCCTTGAAAAGGTTAAATTAAACTACAACTTGATTTAAGGACCCTTGATTTAATATTTTGTCCTCGATCCGCATGTGCAAGACATTGGGTCGCACGACTAATGGAAGAAACAATCAGCTAACTCGCGGGCACTATCTCTGGTCCCATTCCCCGTGCTGCCCCCAATGGTTTACCAAAACGCCTCTAACAGCATGACAGGCTAACAGCTGCGAGCTTGCCGCATCGCGGCTAAGCTTAAACTCGACAAGATGATTTCGGCTTGTTCCAAACACATGGATTGGTATAGTGCATGCAGTTGGCGCTTGGGTCAAGTTTAGCCTCCCTCCTAAGAATCTTCCTTTTTCTGGTGCCTCTTCCCTGCATGTCTGACATATTGGACTAGAGACTTTTCAAACACAACGGGTGATAACCAGAAAGTTTAGCGTATTTTCTTAGCTACAACAAGTAACTTGAGGATATGGCTATAAACAGGAATCCATTTTATAAAGCATTAAAAACTGGTAAAGAGCCAGTTACCCGTGACCATTCCAAGATGTTACCGGTAGCTTCAACATATGAAAAGAGCAATAGCTTCCCCAGGTCGTGTCTTCAAAAATCCCGTCTGCCATCTTCGGTTTCTGTTCAATTGGCTTCCTGGAAGTTGCATTCATTCGATAAAATGAACCTCAGAAGACCCCAAAGAATTATTGAGGCGCCGTTGACAGGTTTCACCATTCTAATGGACAACCTGCGCAGATGCTATTGCCTCTTCAACTTCCATTGATCACCCTGAACATCTCAATAGGAGATGTAGTGGATGATAAGCGCCTTTTTTTTTCATCATTTTTTTTATGAGGGTGAGGGATATGGAAACCATACCGTTGACACGGGTATTCAGCAACATATGAATGTAGATTCATAATCCTGGGCCACCAGAATTAAGGACCAATTGACTGTCTTGAGTCTTTAGCACGTCGCAAATCCATGTACATGTGTATGGACTCCATGGAGCCTTATGGCTTCCGTCGTGGCATTGCGACGGCTCTGAATATTTAAAATCCGCATAGATTACTCCTGGAGATAATCTGCATAACTTTCCACAGAAAATATTTCTCATGATGGGATGGCAATTTTGTTTGTTGATAATATCTTAAAGAGATTTTTTTTATTTTATTTTTTCTTTCGGAATTTATGAAAGCATTAAGAGGATTTCATCAGGAGATGAGAAATAGAACGTCGTTGAGCCCAGGTAATAATCCAACGCAAGCATTTTCATGGCGACGAGTGCAGCCCCGCGCCTCTCGCGGCACACGATGGTTAAATTGACAATAACGTAACCAGTCTCGAAAATTTCATGGATTTGGTGACCATTCAAAACCCGAAGATCTTGAATGTCGAGGTTGAACAATAGTCCATTGTAGACCCCTTGCCCATGCCCACAATGATAATCACTTGGTATGCGATACCTTGCATTCTTCTCCCCTTTCACTTTACATACAAGTCGAACGACCGACTACGAACAATCTCCTGTTTCCGATATGCACACGCGTTCACCCTAGCAGGCTGTGCATGATTAACAAAAATTGCATGCATCCTGAAAATGGCGTTTATTCGACAAGGAAAACAGAAACAAAAAAAAGAAAATATTGCAGAAAAGGATCCTTGAAATCCTGAAACTCAGCCGGTTGAGTTTTGAACAAAAGATGAAACTGGAAGCGGAGGGCGTTTCTCTTCGATAATTAAAATTATGATTGATTTAACACCCGGTCCTTTGGTAAGAGATTGCTTCGTCCCACCGGGCCGCTAAACCTCCCTGAAACTTTAGCAGCAAAATCGATCTGTTCTCCTGAAGTCCCACTGCTGGTGCTGGTGCTGGTGCTGGTGCTGCTGGTGCTGCTGGTGAGATCAAAGCTGGTGCACGAGCATGCGGGAAGAAAAGCGCGCTCTCGGCACAAATGGCACCAGGGAACGTTGATTATTTGTCCATTATTCCTCCGTACTCCGCACTTCGATTTCTTTCAAATTTGGGAACGCTAAAAGGTGGGATCTGTGCAGTAGCATCATTGCTGGCTGCCGGTACTGGGATACAACGCCTGATACCAAGATTACGAAACAACCTCGCTTGTTTTTTGCTAATTTGGTCCGCAGCGATGCGTTGGGACCGGCGCCGGAGTTAAAACGCACATCCTTCTGTGGCCCCTCTGTGCTTTGGCCCAAGGGGGGGAGAGGAGAGATTGTGTGCACAACAGACGTTCCTGAACCATAAAGTCTTTTTCTCCCGCGAGTCTATCCCGGACGGACTAGGCTGCCAACAAAGCTGGCGCTACCATGACAGCTATGTCGAGACCTACGGAACGATGCTCGAGGAGGAAGAGGATGACCAAGAAACTTGTTCGACACACATAATTAACCTGTTCGGAGATCGGTGTGCGGTACGTACGGAGACCTCCGCATGACGTTGGAACACGAGGTTTCTTTTCTGTCATTCAAGGTATCATGGGATGAGACCTGCAGAAACGCCAAAAGCCAAGGTTCACGAACACGATGTTCCTCGGGAACTCGTTGGATGCAATGATGTAATGAACAAGCATAACTAATTGGCTCCACTTCATATGATTATTTGCATATATTTTACAATCTTCTGAGGGACCGGGTGTCCCTCTTCTCACAAGCCAAAGTTCGCATGCATTTGCCTCTTTCGTTCTGGTGGAGACTTTGCAGTAAACAACAAGACAAGGATGTTGTACAAAATTGAGAGGCAAAAAGACAGGTCAGTCTGGCACCCTCATTTTTGACCCATGAGACAGCCAGGCTTATGGCGGGGACGGGAATAAATTCTTGAAAGTAACCGTAATATAATAAGAAGGGAAGTGGATGCGGACAGCAATTTGTGCCGAACAGCATGGGTTCCCACAAAATTATCTGTCCGAAAAAAAAAAGGTTTGGCATTCGAACCATGAATACGAATGATATCAGACAAGATTCCATATGCAAGTCTTGGACGAAATCGAGTTTTTTGAGGGTGGCAAAGCAGAAATTTTCGCATCCCCTGCGACCCAGCTGGAACAAGAGAGAATTCTTCGCCGCTGTGTGCCATTGTTTCGAGAACCATTGGGGACGGCGGGCAGCAACAGGATGGGGAATCATGATGGACCGATAGTTAACTCTTCTTCCACATCAAACAAAAAGGTCCCTGCTTTTTAAAACTGCTATTGTCATGCAAGCTTGACTAGTTTTCCCCAGATTCTGGGCGGTTGCTTTTTCCCAAAATTATAAAAAAGTTCGACGGACTCCGATGCAGGGCACAAAGATGCAGGGCACAAACGACCGGGCATCACTTTAGATATAGCCTCAGGCGACTTAACAATGGCTCTCATCAACAACATCGCAACTAGGCAGATGGTGTTTCCGACTTTGCCTGATTCACTGCAATGAAATAAAAGTGAGACGTGAACGTTGAATCCTTACCGAACGGATTGTTCGATAACATGTGGTATTTATATCTCAACGTATACCTATCTCATGCCAAAACATATGCCCTCCGCACGTTGTGGCCACAATGAGGGACCAATTGACATATTGTGGTTCTATTGAACTATGTGCAGAATAAATGTTAAGAATGGGGATCTGTTTTCGCCAGCAACACTCCTTTACGTCCCCAAGAGTATGTTTATGTGCACAAGGGGCCAATGCCTTCATGTTTCCCATCTCCCTTGGGCAAGTTGAAGGACAAGCAACGCAGCTCTGTGATTTCAGCGATGTATGTCGTCAACCCTACACATCGGTGTTCTGCGGCTAGTAACCCGCGAGAAAATATCAACTGATCCGACGAGTACAAGGGAAAGGGAACAACAACATGTTCTTCATCGCGCTATGCTACATATCCCATGCTTCTGTCCCAGTTCAGAAATGCGTGCGTGGTCGATGTTTTGCAGAAGAAACATGCTCGTCGTTTGCGGCCCTCAGAAGAACATATTCGGGGAGCTCAACTTCGGTGTGCCCCCACAGGACGATGTGACTCAGGGATATTCCACCGAGAGACTGAAGACTGAAATGCAGTTCCCCCATTGGGGTTCGGAAGGTTAGGCCCTGAAAGGCTGTATGTATGTACATACATTACTATACTTCACAATCATGCCAGGGCGATTTTCATCGTTTACCGATGCTCCTGTCGTTGCCCGAGTTTTCGGGGGTCTTTCACCATGTCAAGCGTCAATTGCCAGTTGGGATTTGCTATTTTATCAGTTCATCATGCAGAGATTCCATACGCTCTGTGGAACTTTGGATGCACGCCGTGGTTGACCACCCTTGGGAAACCCGTTTCAGGATTACAGGTTGAAAAGTGTGTATATAGATGGAGAAGTGTATGTATAGATGGGCTTCCACTTGATGTTTGGTTACACGGATATTTATTTGGTTCATACAAAAAGCAAATTTATAACTTGATAATGTTGCACCTATTGCACCCGCCAAAAACAAGTATGAAGCACTTGAAACGGTTGAGCCTATCATAATATAAAAGTTTTTCAATTGTATTGGAAATAATTAACAAGGATAACATAAATACTAAATGTATCCCGCGATTCTGCGAATTTTTGTTAAAACTGTTACTTCCTTTCATCAAAATGAGAAAGGACGTGGGTAGAAAACAATAACATACTATGGTAATCAAAGAAACAAGGAAATAGAAAACGCAAGGGAAATCTAAGATCATTTTACCTGGGTTGCGACGCACAGAAGCTCCGTGGCCCTTTCGTTCTCTAGGTTGAACGCACAAAGATATCAAAACCGGTAAATCTTGCTGGGTAACAAATTAAAAGAAGGGAAAGAAAAAAGAAACGAAAACAGAGCGTTGTTGATGGCTGTAAACCATTCAACGCAGAGTCTATATCCATTTGCATAGAAAAACGCCGTCCATGTCAAACTCAAGAATTTTAGAACATAAATGAACAGTATCGATATCGGGTAAAGGGTCCCGGTCTCGAGAATGGGAAGAATGGGGCGGGATCTACGAAGATTGACGTGCGCTGCATTAGGAGCGAGATACATGCTCTTTCTACCAGCGACGATTGTTGCCCAGGGGTGCAGCATTGGAAGCGGTGAAGCCTCCGCCGCGACCGCGACCACGGCCACCCCATCGGTTACCACCGCCTCCGCCACCGCCGTAGCGGACCATTTCGGCAAGGCGAGGATCAATCTGTTGCTTTGACTCATTGAGAATAGCAACCAGATCACGAGCCTGCTTAGCATCTATTATGAATAGTTAGCATATAGATGTTAACATTGTGCAGTCGGTAAGGGTTTAACATACTGTCAGTGGTGAACAAGGTAATGGCAGTTCCCTTGGCACCGGCACGGCCTGTCCGGGCCAATTCTGTGAACATAATCTTCCGAATTGTTCGGATAATCATAGTTCAGCACATGAGTAATATCGCGAACATCTTCAGACACACAATTGATGTTAGCAAAGACAGAGCACAATTGAGAAAGCAAATGGCCTGGGCCACCCTTTTCTCAGTCGTGTGAGACTTGGATGCATCACTCTCTTCGATCAATGCCGAAGATTCGTATTTCAAGTGTCCATGGGCTGGAAATGAATCGTGGTCCTGAAACAACCTTGGAAATGCAGCTTGAATAAGTTCAAAAAGAGAAGAACTCTGCCTCTCTACTTGAATGAGCTACAGAGTAGAGAGACATAATCAGAAGCAACGACATGCTATACTGCAAGTAAGTCCAAGGTTCCCTATAAAGGAGAACCAACGATAGAGCCGGAAAGCCGGGACGAACCATGTTTACCAACATGTTTTAAGAGAGCAGAAGCATTGGGTCATGGTCACACGACATCAATACGGGTGAAGGATCAATAACAGTGTACTGGGGAGGGGGAGGGGGAGGGGAAGCAAGGTCGCAGATTCATCATACCAATACCACGGGAAGCTACATCGGTGGCAACCATGATGGGGCTTTTTCCAGTCTTGAACTCGTTCAAGACCCAATCACGTTCATTTTGTTGTTTGTCGCCATGGATCGCTATGGAGATTGTTAGCATAATCACATAAAAAGGGGACGGACACCAGTAAAAACCTAAAACTTACACAGAGCTGGCCATCCATCCTGTCGCAGGAATCGAGTGATATCATCTGCAACACGTTTTGTTCCAGTGAAAATGAGAATTTTGGCATTCTTGTCATCCATAATGCGCTCTAAATGTTTGGCCATACGTTCACGTTTCTCGAACTCGGAGACAATTTCGACGATTTGGGTAATTCTGTGGTTAGCAGACAAATCCATAGAGCCAATATTGACCTGAATATAGTCGTGAAGGAAATCTTGGGCAAGTTGTCGGACGTCTTTGGGCCATGTAGCGGACCACATGCAAGTCTGTCGGTCAGGGCGAATTTGTGAAACGATCTTGCGGATCTGAGGTTCGAAACCCATGTCAAGCATGCGATCTGCTTCATCAAGGACGAGGTAAGTAACACGTCGCAGGTTAGTCCTTCCGGCCTCCAACATGTCGATCAAGCGGCCAGGGGTCGCGATACAAACTTCGACACCACGCGTCAGGTCTCGAATTTGAGGTCCCTTGGGGACACCACCGTATACGCAGGTGTTGCGAATACGAGAAGATTTCCCAAACTTAGTAATTTCAGTTTGGATCTGAACTGCCAACTCACGAGTAGGGGCGAGAACAAGGACGATTGGACCGTCTCCCGGAGCAAGAAGAGGCTGAGCGTTAATATGAACGATAGCAGGCAAACAGTATGTCAGAGTCTTTCCAGATCCGGTTTCTGCAATACCCACAACATCACGACCAGAGAGGGCCATGGGCCAACCTTGAGACTGAATGGCCGTGGGCCTTGAAAATCCTTGAGCTTTGACCTCCGTCATGACATATTGTGGGAAGCCGGCTTCATCGAAGGTTTCAACGGGGCGAGGAACGTTTTTGCCTTGTACAGTTATTTCATGCTGTCTGCGGAACGAGTCAACCTCTTGGCTTGATCGCGCAGCGACATCAGGATGTTCCTTGTAGAACGACTTTTCGAATTTAGGCAAAGATGACAGGTCTGAGATACCTTCACGTTAGCATCCACTGACAAAATGGATAGATAATAACATTGTCAAGACTGTTGAGAACATACCCCAATTTTGCGTTTTCAAGCCAGCACCAAGATTGGACATTCTGTCACCACCGCTGGCACCACCGCTATAGCCGCCGCTGTAGCCACCACTGTAACCACCGCCACCTCCTGAATATGAGCCATAACCGCCGCTGGAGTGGCCTTGGGAGTAGGCGTTGCTGCCTCCGTAGCCGCCGCCCCTGTAGCTTCATTTCGAGTCAGTTGCTGCTATGTTTGCTGGAAGATAAATAGCACCAAAATGACGATTCGCATTCAGCGGCAAGGCTTCGCGAATAACAAGCCCGTATCGATCCGAATCCGAGCAAGGGATTCCAAAACTTGCAAGAGAACAAGAATACTGGATGTGCTTACCTAGAATGACCGCTACCACCACCATAGTGGTCTCGCGAAGAACCGTGACCTCCACCGTAAGACATGATGATGATTATATATCAAAAAAACGTTACTTAACAACTCGTTGATGGACAGACAGGTGTGATGTGGGTGTGAAAGAGAGCGCAAAAGCAGGTAATTGTGGTTTGTTGTTTTATTTTAATTTTTTTTTTATCTCGTTCAAATACGTAAAGAGCTTATTTGCAAGATTTGCAAGAGACGGCTAGTGGATAACGCCACAAGAGAAATCAGTGATGGGAGGGTAAAAGAGAGAATATATGGAGGATGGGAGAAGAGATGAAAGAAGACGGAGGTTGAAGTCGTTCGAGAAGAAAATCGACGCAAAAAAAAAGTCGGCGGCAGAAAAAACCAAATCAGGAAGCGAGTGGCGCATAGTCTAAAAGAGGTTTAGCGCCGAGGTACCAAAGGGCCAAGGCTGTCTTTGGCACGGCTAGTCCTAGTTGGGAAAGACGTGGTTTGGCAGAACTGCGAAGTTGCCGAGGTTAACGTCACCGGATGGTTTGAATGAAAAGGAAACCGGGAGAGATTAACAAGAGCAAAAGTTGCACCCAGGGGAATTAAGAGATATCGATTCGCAAAAGGACCGGAATGTCTACATAGAGTTTAGTTGTCGCTGGCCTCCCCACTTTACGTATCATTTTCCTATTGTTCACTTGCCACCAGGACTACTCCCCTTTCAACCCCATGTCCCAGAAGGATATCTCCAGCTCCGTAATCCGAATGAATATCTTGATTAATTCCTCCACCCGGCTAGGAGACACGTCTCTCATCCGCTTCTCCAGAAGTGCTGTTTGGCAGTTAGTGACTTGAGTCAGCTAGAACTAAACTTTGGGAAACAAAATGGGCTAGCGAGAAGAACGACAGGAACTAAGAAAGGACATGAAAGAAATTGATGCCCTACCGGACCCCGTCTCTACAGCCTTCGTATAATCGTCCGCAACGTAGTTTTCTATCCACTTCCAATATTTGTTCCCCGTGCGGACGCTGGACTCATCACAATGTAGCCGTTTGGCAATGGCTCTGTACCCGATCAGGCAGGGCAGAAAAGCAACTTGCAAGGCAAGCCAGTCCTCCGATTGGCCCACATCGAGAATGTATCTACTGTAGGCAACGCAGGCTGCTCACATATTTTTTATTTAGTAACAAGAGTCAGAACATATATCAAAGGGTATGTTAGTAGTTAGTTACCTTGGCTTTCTTTGCAGTTTTCGATATCTTCCTTTGATAGTCCAAAGGATTTGCAATAATCTAGGTGCAGGTTCATTTCATGCTGAATATGAAGCACAATTTGCGCAGACTGGTTCATAATCATGACGTTTCTCAGCAGGGGGGGGGGATGTTCAAAATTATATGAGCTTGGTGGGCATGTTTGGGATAAGGAATGGTCTATCTCTCACCATAGATATCCCCTCCATATCATAATGTTTCGATGCTGCAAGCGCATTGCTCCGCGCGAAATGAACCTTGGGAACGAAACCGTCAGAAACCACAGCAAACGGCATTGTTATAAAAGAATGACACATACCAAATAATGATAATCCTGGATCAAGTATCCCTTGAACTTGTCAACCGGTAGTGTTCCATTCCCAAGACCAGCTACAAACTCGTGTTCCGTAAAGGCTTTCCAAACACGTTGAACATCAGGACGATCCAGCACATATTCTAGACATCGACCGCTGTATCAGACATAATAAGGTTAGTTTCAGAGGTTTTAAACTCCAAGCCCCAGTCTAAAATACTAAGGAACGAGAGAGAGAGGAGGGGGGATATTTATTGGATGTAACTGGACATACGGCGCAAAGGGTAGCGAATACACGGAATGGAAGTGATTGATCGGCCCACTCCCCTTACCCATATCCACGCTCGTCTTGATGCCCGCCTCAACAAACCTGCACGCCGCACGAACAGCACGCACCACATCCAAACCTTTGGCTAAATTCGCTGCAATCGCAGAAGCAAGCGAGCAGCCAGTCCCATGGGTGTTCTTAGTCTTTAGAAAATCATTCTCAAACAACGTTACCTCTTCACCATCATACAAAATATCGACCACCTTTGACGATTGTTGGTCCGATACGGCCTTCTGGGAATTGGAAGTTAATGGCAGATGACCACCTTTTAGTAAAACATACTTGGGCCCCAGGGTATGGAGCTGTTTTGTCAGTCCAATGGCGTCCTCGAGATTCTCTGGATTCTTGACCTCCTCCCTTGAACTCTGGAGCAGGAAAACGGCCTCGGGAATGTTCGGGGTCAAGATGGTTGTCAGTGGTAGAAGTTTTGTCCGAACAATATTTGTGGCTTCAGTGGGAAGTAGCTTTGAGCCACTGGTAGAGACCATAACCTTCAGATGAACATGTAAGAAAATCAATCATGTCCAGAGTCCGGAAAGGGTGTCGGGGTCAGGTATTACTGGATCAAGGACGACTGCTGGGACCTTATGATGCAGCAGAATTTCAGACACCATCTCAGCCGTTTCCGCAGATGCCAACATGCCTTGAGTAGAAAACTTATTAAAAAATGTCAAAATGTAAAAGGATGTAGCCGAGAAAGCGCCATATGAAGAAATGGGAAAATTGCAAGGCCAAATAATATCAATCTCCAGAATTGGAGATCAATGAGGAAGATATTTCAAGAAGCCCACTTCCTGGTCATAAAATAGAGAAGAATAGAGCAATCGCAAACAAATGCCTATGTTAGATAGGGAGCGTATCGTGAAAAACTTACCCAACTTCACTACGTCCGCCCCAACATCCTCTAATCCTGCATTGATTTGTTTCCTCACGAAGTCCACAGGGACAATGTGGATATCTTGGACACCCAGTGTGTTCTGCGCCGTTAACGCCGTTGTAGCTGTGAGAGCATAGCAGCCATGAACAGCAAGTGTTCGCTGATCAGCCTCAAGGCCTCTATATATTTATATGCCGAGTCAGTCATTTTCGCACATCTAGTTATGCGCAGAGTGTGCTATCTACTCTGGAACGCGGGTATACGAATGCAAGGAAAAACGGACGTCCAAGTGACAAAAGGGGAAATGAAGGTTTGGTTTAACATACGCTCCACCAGAACTGTCTGAACCAGCAATTAAAAGTACACGTTTTGGCGCCATATTGCCTATTGAGATGGGATATGTCTTGCGTCCCCATATCATTGAGATCAGCGGGGTGAAGATTAGTGTAGTTAAAAGGTAGTTAACTAGTTAATATTCGAACTTTATTACAGGGGTTCCGAGGTCAAGTATATTACCTATAATAGTTCGATCTGAACTCGTTTAGTATCAATTATTTCTTGAATAGGTAGCATTTTCACCAGTTTAATAGCAGAGCGAATTATAAACGAACCAATTTCTTATTCCGCAAGAGCCCATCCAATCATTATAAAAGAGGGGAAACTATCTGGAATCGATCGCATGAGTAGGTATACAAATACCGACATATCTAACTGACAATTGAAAAGGAGAAAAACAAGGAAACTGCAGGAAAAAGAGGATAGTCCAAAGAAAAATAATACATGGAAACACAGCAAGTCATCCCCCCAATGCAAACCCAAAAAGAACCCCCATATCGACCCATTGCCGCCCACACTTCTTCAAATACGCATCTACTACTCCCTTAACTGTTCCAAACCGCGCCCGATTCCACTCAACCATGACCATGATCTTCTCCCGTTTTTCAGGATCAGGTTCCTTGTCAGCTGCAACTTTTGCCTTGTCTACATCCCACAGACGAGCATAATACAGCAGTTGGTTATACAATTGCTTCTCCGTATATTCAAATCCCATACGGCCAAGACAGCCCTCTGCGCGTCCACGAGGACCTAGACAGCGACGACCATACACGCTCATCTGGCGTGTTCGGTTTCCACACGAAGGATCATCACAAACTAGCCAGCCTTCATAGTACTTGGCGGTTTGAGCGCGTATCTGGCTCTCAAGTTGTGCCACTATGGATATAATGTTGAAGGGCTTTCCGCAGGCCGTATTGGGACACACAAGCCCGTTGGCAGTGCACATCTCTGCTGACGAGGAAAGACCCTCGAAGAATGTCCGTTCGTGACAGAATCGACAACGAAGTGTTAATCGTGAGGCATCCTTGAAGCGAATGGAATCTGGGATTTGTGATTCTAGAGGGAATATCTCCATGTTCTGTTGGTCTCGAGTGTTGGAGATGTTGATTTGGTATTTTCTAACATCCAAACCAAGACATTCAGCAAGGCGGACGGCATCTGTGCCGGGTATTGGGGCGCAAAGACGTTCAATTGGCGGGAAGATCTGTTTCAGGAGATAATATTCAACGTCGGGTTTGAGGCCAGAATCGGGCTTTATCACGTCTTGTAGTGTGTACGATCGTTTGGCAGGTGGTAGAGACGACGTGTTGGAATCTCCACTGGTTACAATGTAAGAAATAACATCGTTTGGACGAACGGTTTTCCCTCGAGCGAGTTCACGCAAAGCCACCTGCGCTGGGGGCATTGTCTCCTTGTTCGGGTACTCATCGGGACCTTTGGACAGTTTCTACATGATCGTGTTAGCTAGGACTCTAAGTTCCATGGAGAAGTTGGCAACATCATATACCGTGTAAATGACATATTTTTGAACAGGGATTGCGAACTCCTTCATCTTTTCTGTGAGCTCACGCAAGTAATCGTGAACCTTTGTAAGAACTACATCTGGATCATCACCAGACAAAATCTCATTCAAAAGTTTCGATGACACCTCTTTGGATAAGGCACAGTATTCTCGTCTCTTCATGTCCAAGCCTTTGACCTCGAGTTGATCGACATACTTTCCATCAACCTCAGTCATGTTAATAGCGGCATACTTCTTTTTTGCATGAAGTAGGAGACGGCGGAAGACATTGTCAATGTCGATCTCTAGCAATTTATACCGTTCGTTTACCAACCGCTTGAAGGTGTTTCCAACTTTCAAAGCCTCCTCAATATTATCGGCATTGGTGTTGATCATCACGGAGTCAGTGTCGCCGTAAATAACCTGCAGTTGATTACTTTCCGCAAGCTCCTTTGTGCTTCGAAGAATCTCGCGACCTTTGGAGGTCGTAAGCATGGCAAGCGATCGAGCATAGAATCGGGATTGTGTGTAACCTAGACACCCGTACATAGAGTTGGCTGTAAGTTTGAGGGCCATTTGCTTAGTATCCCAAAGAGCCAGATCCTCTGGAGATGCACGTTTATCTTTCATCAGCTTCTTAACTTCACGTCGACGGTTGACAAGAGTAGCAATAAGTCGTGGAAGAATTCCTGGAGCTTGTTCCGTAGGAACTTCAGGAACCTTTTCCTCGTTTTCATTTTCAGCCTAAAGTGCATTGTTAGCATCTGGATGCTGTTTAACATCGTGCTAAATACGTACCACCAGTGCACGGTCCACCGTTGTGAAGCAGATATTGAACTCTTGGATAATGCTGGGATACAAGCTGTTAAAGTCCATAACCAGGATATACTTGTCGTACAGTCCCCTCTCAGGTTCAAACACTAGACCACCCTTATATTTGTCCTTCTTTTTCTTGCCCGTTCCATCCTCGTCTTCTTCGTTGGCTTGCGACATTTGCTGATATTTGCCGGCATACTTGTCAGGGCAAATGTACTTGTTCCGATAGAATTCGTGCAGCAAAATATACTCGTTCCGTTCAGCTCTGGTACCGCTAAGAGTTCTGGCCCATGAGTTTCCGGCCAAATTGGTGAGCACTTTAGTTAAGGGTAGCATTTGGAGCTTCAGAACGAGTGCGGCGATAAAATAAGTATCAGCTTCACAGTGGCTGATGTAGTTCATAAGTCCTTCTTTTGATGTTGCCCAGGTTTTCAACGCCACTTCGTTGTCGATATCTCGACGGGTATTCCCGTCTCCCAGATATAATTGGCACATCTCCGTTAAACTCCAGGATTGACATTTTACCATCAAAGACTATTAGGACAGTCAGCAAAAAATGGTTGCTTAGAAGTAATGCAGACAGAATTACCTTTCCCATGTCATTGGCAATATCGCAAAGCAATCTGCCAGCTACAAGCTTTCTTTCCGCGAAGAAACTTGCACCTCGAGAGAGATTTTTCGGCCACTCACTCCTTTTCATTCTGCCAATGCGATGCCAACCAGGAGTCTTCTTTTCAGATAGTCTGTTAAGGAGAATGTTGAAATCGACTTCCTGGAGTTGGTGGCCCATGAGGACATCCGGATCCATCTTCTCAAACAGGGCCATAAACTTGCTTAGGAGAAATTGCTCGCTCTTCTCAAGCATAAACGTGCCACGGTGTTTGCGAGTTTCGGCTTCAAATCCAATGGGATATGCAGAACCAGAGGGCCTCATCACTGTAAATGTTTTGCAAGGCAGCTTTTCGGGAGGCGTTGTATCTGTAAGTGACACATTCTCATAAACACGTGCGCTTGCGACAACAATTTCCTGCTTATTATCCTTGACGTTTAATTGCGTTCGGAATGCCAAACTCATGAGAGTTAGCCGTGGGCTTTCCAAGCTATCTGAGTTAGGAACAACGGTAATAAGCTTAGGTTGCGAGACCTGGCATTCTAGTTTGCACCAGGATGCGCCATTGACTGCTGTAAAGTCCGCATTTCCGAGCTTTAGCCAACAAGGACCCATGATGTTTTTCCAAAGCACGAACTGCTCGAAGAGCGCAGTGTTGGTTCCAAAAACGTGAGAGAAGGTTTCCCCTTTAACATCGACGGGCAAAGGGGAGCTGTCGTAGGAATACATAAGCTTAAGATATGTCGCCTGTTTGGGAATATCCGGAAGTTCGAAGGCGTACTTTCGAACGGATTCCTTGATTTTGTGCTTGGTGACTTTTGCTGCTGACATCAGCTCAGCCACCTCTTTATAGACGTCTTCCATGTCAATTTCTTCCTCTGTCTCACAGCCATGACGTACCCGATACTGTCTAGGAAGAAAGTACAGCTTTCGCAATATATTGTCGACCTTAACGAAAGCGCTGACATAGCTCCCCGATTTTTTGTTCTTAACCTTCCCGAAAAGACATAGGTTGCCGTTGATTTCGACATAATCTAGCCAGAAGAACAGGAGACTTCCATCCTCTTCGACCGCATCCGGAGCCGCAAGTTTACCAAATGTCTTAAAGTCTGAAGCTGCGGGGCTGCTCAAAACGTTTAATTTGCTCGTGACATCGTTCCATGTCGAAGGGTCGATACCATCATCATTGGCTCTGGAAGGGGAGGAGCACGCAGGAGATGGATATGTCGGCTCCTTAATTTTTGGCGCTGGTCGTTTGCCTGTTATATTAACCCTTGCAGCATTCGCTTCATGATGGGCAGTTGTTTCTTCAACTATCATTAATTCTTCCTCTTCCTCCTCCTCCATCTTCACATCACTCGTGGTTTCCCGCTGGACAGCTTTTACGACTGGTGACGATAGTACTGTGTCACTCATGAGAATGTCGCCATCATCCTCAGCATCCAGCCATGCAGGATTATTCTCCAGATCCACTTCCGCCTTGGGAACAACGAGAGGACTAGATGGGTGTTCTTTTCTTCCCTTAGTCCTTTTGGAGGCCGTCTCCTGAGAAAGAGGTGGTGAGATGATGTGAACTTTTCGCCGTGTATCGGATTTCAAAGCCTTCTTTGGGAGAGCACGAGAAGGGAGAGGGTTCGCATCAACTTCACCTAGTAGATCCGCCATGAAGGCTTCATCTTCAGCCGAAGCAACAGGCTAAAATATTCAATTAGTCAGAGAAATGAACAACCTCAGTCTGTTAGTTAGCCATAGAGGAATCCCTTGACATACCTTTGGCTTTGAAGTAGCCTTGGCCGCTGGCCCTGTGTTAAAGTATTTACTAATACAGTTATTAATCTTCTCCTTCCTCTGATCATCTTCCTCTCGTTTCCTTTTGGCAGCCTTTCCCTTCAACGGCAGCTCGTCGCCGTCACTGTCGCTGTAGTAGCTTCTGGAGTCGTTCCACTCTTCTCGTCCATCATCAGCGTATCCCTCGCCAGTATCGTCAATAACGAAATCATCTTGATCCAGCCGTTTTCGCACAAGTTTCTTGTATCCTTCCTCATCAACTTCATCGTAAATGTCTCCCTCGTCTTCAATTTCGTATGTGGTAAGTCGTTTCTTTCCGGAGGCTCTCAGAGCGCGCAATTCCGCGAGCTTGGCGCGAGCTGCAGCCATTGGAAAATATATAGGACTGTAATGTTACGGGAAATGCTAAAACCAAGAAAGAAACAATGTATGACTATGCTGGTGGTATCATCTCAGCATATTGCTGTGGGAAAGTTGAAGTTGAAGCTGAAGTTTGACATTATGTGACACGCCTCGGTACGCGACTTTAACAACTACGACGCGGGCGGATTAACACGCTAGATTACTAATTGGTTTCGGAAGATATTGAAATGTTTTCATACAGCAAAAGATTTTCCTTCGTGTCAACCCACCATCAAAAACTACGACAGACGGCGACGAAAATTGGATATAAAAGCTACGCAATTTCTCTGAACGGAATATCGAACCGTACTAAATACTGCAACAATATGGAATCGGGTTGCTGAAATATTTGGATTTCTAATTGTTTTGTGTTTGAGAAAGAAAAAACACCGTTAGTTACAAATATCCCGTAGCCCGCTAATTGAAAAAGTAACCCCATTACAGACAAGAAACATTTTGTTCGTTATCAGAATAAAATTTTCATTTCTCTTTTTTAGTTCATTTGCTTGACAAGAGCATTGATGTTCTCCTCACGGTTACCAAGGTCACCACCCTCGACGAAGTGTTTGAACTTGCGGGTTCTGAAACCACCAGTGGGGTTGGAGAGCTTGAAGGGCCACAGGAAGTTCGAGGCCTGCTTGAAGTTGGGGCCAACGGTGTAGATCTCGTGGATCAGATCCTCCATACATACGATGCCGAACTTTCCGAGGTTCTCCTCGATGATCTGGTTGTCGCTGAGGGCAACACGCTGCTTGTTGACCTTACCATAACCGCGTTTGTAGATGAGTTCGCGGACGGTCTTCAGGTTGGGGTAACCATAGGTAATGTAGGGATTGACGATAGTAAGCATCTCCTGGGTGGCCTTGGTGAGACGGATGAAGACACCATTGTTGATCTGGAGGAGACGGAGAAGCTGCAGGATCTTGCGGGGCTTGGGAGCAATCTTGTTGATACTGTAGAGCATGTTAGATATTGGTTGATGGCAAATCATTGATAATGTGAATAAACCAACCCCTTGATACGGATAACGAAGACGAGCTTGGGCTCCGCTGGTACTTCGAAGTTGCCCTGCTGCTTGGCCAGACGGGCAAGGCGGATCTTCTCGCGCTCTGCATCACGATACTCCTTGACATAGGACTCTGCGCGCTTGAAGATGACGGCACGCTTCTCCTTGTTGGCCTATTACAGAAATCAATCAAAAGTTAGCAGGAGAAATTTGCATTCGTAACTTGATCAAAATTTTGACAACTGAAGAGACGGTTTCAGCCCCGAAAGATGGTTAACAAAGCGACAACATCGACCCGTAGGTCTAGCCGCGAAGTGTGGTATTATCATCACAATAGTCCTCTTTCCCTCCAACAAAAAAAAGACAGAAAGGAGTAATGATTTTATCTTAAAGAAAATATGGTTTCAACACACCTTCTTGCGCTTGAGGAGCTCAGCGTTTGCCGCGGCTCTGGCCTGCTCCTGGCTCTTACGCTTCTTCAGGAGTGTCTCAGGCACGAGGACCTGGTCCTGGGTTGGTACGGAGCTGCAGTTTCGAAAATGATAGTTCGAAGGTCAGTATAGTGTGTCCAACGACGAAAGTAAGTAAATGAACATCGTCGAGTGTAAGAACTGCAGCATATAGCGCCACATTCTCTGACTGAAGCGATTGATATGGTAGTGTAGAACTCGACGGAATGTATTTAATCGGTGAAGGAAGAGCTGCGGGTTTTATGTGCTATGTGACGCTAGTCATGCGATAACCCACATGTTTTAAGTGTGGAAATATTGCACTTTTGCAAATAGCCCCGAGTCTGATATCTCTCATCCGACAACACCCTAAGCCAATGGCTCAGGAACACAACGCTAGGCCAACTTTACCGCGAAACAGCCCATCCAACAAGATAGAGCTATTTCTCAGAGGTTCCAGCTAGCAATGGTTTTCAAGGAGAAGGCAGACCCTTCAACCTCAATACCCTAACACATTTCCTATTCTTATCTCTTGAATATTCCAGTATCACCCGGTCAATTAAATAAAAAAGGAAAAGCAGAGCGTCAGGATTGATCGACCTAGTGCTGAACAATCAAATGCCAGGCAAATTGAAGAAACAGCATCTACAGCGAGAAGGACGAACTATAACTGAGCCTGTACACAACACGTGAACATTAGCAGAAGGGAAATAAAAGGGGAAGCATACGTGGCCATATCGAAGGATGGACGTTTGTCGTCGGTTGTCGAATGTGATTGTCGTTCCGTTGATGTCTGTCGAAGTTCGAGAGGTTCAAGAACATGCAGTTGACGAGAAAAATGCAGTTCGTGTGGATGGAAAATCAGCGCTAGTCCATATTGGGTCAAGTTAGTTTCAAAGTCACGTTATCTTCGGATTGGGGAGATTAGGGCTATTATGTCATCCTCCAAATATGGTTAGTTAAATAACGATTCCCTTGTATGATGTTAGGGATCAGGTGACCCCTACGCAATTGGTAATGGTAGTTCCAGTATGAGGCAAAAGGCAGCTACGCCGAGCCGCTACAAAATCGTTATAAACTTCGTTAACTTATCACCGCGTTGACTCTCAACATCGTCAACTTTTGTCTTCTTTTCAACGCCAACTGCCTAGGTTGTTATATGGCAGAAGACTGCGACAATATGCTAAAATGTCTTCCCGTCGCGGTGTCGGCCTGGGAGCCTTTGTAAACCGCAACCAGTCGGCACAGTCATATGCTTCTCACGGTGCCAACCTCCGTACCACCCATCTTACCTCCTTACAAACCCAACTCTCCGTTTTTCAGTCCCTCCTCCATGCCTTCGCCCTCGAACATGCCTCGACAATTAAATCCAATCCAACGTTCCGTGCCGAGTTTGCACGCATGTGCCACGCCGTCGGGGTTGACCCGTTGGCTGCTGGCAATGTAAAGGGCAAAGGAAAGAAGGGTCTTAGTCTCTCTGCTTTAGGCGATGGGGGTAGTTTCTGGACCCAGATACTGGGAGGAGATGTGAATGATTTCTATTTTGAGGTTGCTGTGCGCGTTGTGGAACTTTGTCGGGAGACGAGGGGGGAGAATGGTGGCCTTATTGGAGTTGATGAATGCAGGGCTATAGTGGGGAAGGGTAAGGCGATTGGTGGGGGTCTAGAGGTTTCGGAGTAAGTTATTATCTTTTCCTCTTCGATGAACAGTACCCATTAGGGACAGGAGTATATATCTATTACCAAACAGAATATCCGTCATACTGACTCAAATGCAAAACTACACAGAGACGACATCCTCCGTGCAGTCAAGTCCCTCGAACCCCTCGGGTCCGGCTTCACAGTCATCAAAGTCGGCAGCAGACAGTTCATTCGCTCCATCCCAAAAGAACTCAACACAGACCAGGCCACTGTACTTGAAGTGATTCAAATCATGGGCTTTGTAACTCTTTCAATGTTGCAAGCTAATTTGAACTGGGAAAAGGCGAGAGCACAGACTGTCATCGATGACCTGCTGGCAGGTGGTTTGGTATGGGTTGACTCCCAGTGTGCAGAGACGGAATATTGGTCACCCCAGAACTTACTCAATGACGGTGGTTGAATTAAGCGGTATACATTATTGTCATCTTATAAAAACCAACCATTACAGGCAAATCATTTGGCTTTAGTTATTGAGCTCAAACGGACCTCAATATGGAATACTTACGGTGATTGACGAAGGATCACACCGGTTCAGGTCGGATAGGAAGTAGGAGTCAATTTGTTCGCAAACCTCTATACCTGCGAGAACTCCATTAACAGGGGAATAATTGATGCTTAAGGATGAAAGACTATGGAATACCTTGGGCGTGTCACATGTGAGGCATATTGGGAAGAATCCGCATCCCGCACAGCCACAGCACAGGGTGCTACCAGATGGGTGGGGATATTGAAGATTCCAGCAGGGTCCAATGAATGGCTGATCAGGTGTTTTAGGATGTTTAGAATACCTCATTATCTAAAGAAACAGTCGTATATTTTCCTTTGAATCCACCAAGTCCCTCCCAGTTGTGCAATCAAATATAAAAGGATAATAACTATAGACCCATTTGTCTATCATCAAGTGCGGCCGTAATGGGACTTTACAACCAAGTGAAGTATGGAGGTAGTAGGAGAGAATTCTCCAGTAAACAATTTGCGATAACACGCCTCGCCTAGCTAAATTGATCACAAAGTTCATTTCGAAAAACAAAGGCAATTGGGATGAGTCCAGCAGCAGGGAGGTTAAAAAAAGAAAAAATTAATGGAAATTTTCATATTTGTGTAACAGGAAGAAAGGAAGGAAAACCGTATCAAATGAAAAAAAAAAGAGAATAAAAAACCTTTATGCCTTGATCGCGCCTCCCAGTGCCCCACCGCCAAACTGTTGCCCACCAGGTCTCCGCGGCAATCCGCCTCCACCACCACCACGACCACCTCCTCTTCCGCCACGCCCACCACCTCGCCCACCACGACCACCATGGCCCGGATCACGCTGGAACGCATTGGCCATACCCTGCGTCCGCTGCTCGAGAGTCTTTTCGTTCGCTTCGAGAAGCGACATGGACTTGTCTGCCAGTGTGACGATCTGACTTTGTAGCCTGGAGAGCTCCACCCCCTTTCGGAAGCTGATAGCGTCGTTGACTTGGTCGAGGGCAGCAGCCAGCTCTTCGTGCGAGATCATGCGGCTAACGATAGCCGCGATTTTCTTGGAGGATAGCTCAAACATGTCGGAGAGAGTGGAGATGGAGAGGGTGTCGTAGAAGGGGGCGTAAGTAAAGAGATAGGTGCGCAGGCCCTCTTCTTGGATCTGCTCGCCGAGCATTGCCTTGATCTTGTCTGGTTGGGCCATCAGGTCCCAGATCTTGATGGAGTTAAGGGTTGTGGAGGCCTTTTTCCAATCACCTGCGGCCAGGGCTTTGGCACTCATGATGACGCCGTCGCGTGTGTTTTCCGGGGGCCCGTTGAAGACTTGGCGCTCGTTATAGTCGAGCATTCGTCGGAAGGTCTTGGAGATAATGCGTCGTTTCATCTCAGGGGAAGACGAGGTTTGCGCCATGAGGGGCACTTCGAGGAACATGCTTGAGGTGAGATAGATGCATTCTAGCAGTTCCAGGTTGATGTGCATGTGAAAGGGCAGCTGGCGTTGGCGTTCGAGTTTCTCTTGCTCTGGGGATACGGATGAGTAGCGTTGCATGATAATACCTTGGGCGAGTAGTTCCTTTTGTCTGCCGCTGCCACAAACTTCGCCAAGGGTGTTTTGAGCTTCGTAAACAAGACCTGCGCGGAATGCACAGAGGCCGATCTGCACAAGGGTTCGATTAAAGAGGATCTGGGTGCTGACGTCGAAGTTGGAAATGTTTTCCGTAAGATGAGACATCAGCATCAGGTCGCGGGCCCGGTGGTATTTATCATGGAGAGCAAGGAAGTAGATTTGGCACAACATGGCCCTGGCACGAATGATCCCGTCGCTAAGCTCGAAGAGGTAGTTGCAGAGAGTCTTAACAAGTGCGGGAATATCTGAGGTGCCGTTCTTGCGAGGCGTGATGCCAGAATCAAGCTTAGTTGGGATTGCCGCCCATGTGTTTTCTTCAAGGATCACGACGACTTGAGAAGGTTTGAAGTAAACATGTTCCAGGCGTCTCATCAACACTCTGTTCACACTGTCTTGGCGGGCTTCATTCTTCTCGACTTTATTGAGTTTCTCAACGTAGAGCAGTGACCGAACAATGCTTGTGTACAGCGATTGCTCATCGCTTAATCTCTCGATATACTCTGCGGTGTGAGGGTCAATATGTTGAAGAGATCGAGTCAGTTCATCATCCAGTCGCTCAACGAAAGACACAACACTGCCAGGGACTTTGAGGGTTTCGCCAGGCGCAAGTTGAGGCTGTTTCTCATCATCTTCCCATTCCTCTGCGCCTTCAGTCACAATGTATTCTGGGTGCTCTTCAAGGGTAGCAGTGAGAGTCCCGAGTTCCTGGATTGCGAGATTCCATTGCTCCGTGCTCATATAGTTCGCCGTCGAAGAGACCGTGAGATCGAATCGAGTGGAGATGAGAGTCAAGAGAACTCGAATGGTTTGATATGGAGTCGTGGCAACCTCCAGCAGCTTCTCCATAATCTTGATCTGCTCGAGGCGGTCGGTATTTTTCTTGCCTCTCGATTCGACGATAATACGCAAGTGCTTCAGAATGCTCTCAGGTGTATACTGTAGTGTCCTTCCACCACGACCAACAATAGCAAATCCTTCATCTTCATCGCCAAGTAGGTCTTCAGGCCGTATGGCGCGACTCTTATCTTTCTTCTTCTCAACTATCTCTTCCTCTTCCTCCTCAATCATGTAATCTTTCTTGTTTTCACGATATTTATCGATCTCCGTAACATACTCCTTGTTATTCTTCTTAATACGCTGTTTAACGGCGTTAAATCCTTTGGCATTGCTTGCGTTCATCTTCTTCGTCGATGACTTTTGCTCCGTGATGGTCTCATTCATGAAATCCTCAAGATCAGCAATGGCTTTGATGTAGATTTTGGGCGTGGAGCCCGATTGGGTAATCTTCACAATCTGTCGGTTAAGCTTATCGAACTCTGTAAAATAATACCCATCAAGTCAGTCATTTCGCCCCTCTGAATTATCAACCAACCTGAATCACTATCGTATTCACTTTCAAGAGGAACAAGGTGACATACCCGTCGAAATAACGGCCCAATCATTAATCTTCTCCGCATTCTCTATCAACCGCATAGTCTGCTCCAGCTCCTCTAGTCTCTTATCCTTCGCACTCTTTACAATCGTCACCCGGTCCTCATCCTCACTCTCATCACTTTCCGCAGCTGCATCAATATCATCTTTGAAGAACTTGTAGGCACCACCCTCTTCTTCATCGGAGCTGCTAGACTCCTCACCAGAGGAGCCTTCCTCGCTCGACGATTCTCCCTCATCAGAGACTTTATCTCTTTCCTCGCGACCGTTGTAGAGTTCCTCCTCGTCTGAGGAGCTGCTCTCGCTATCGCTTCCGCCGTGAAAAAACCGAGACATGCTGTGTTTAAGCCGAAGTTTTTTGAAGCGGTATTCTTCAATTCGATTTCCCGGTTTGATAGCAGTTGAGCACGAGGTGTATTGTATTCGTTAAAAGAACGTTGGTCGCGAATACGCAAGAGATTCCCAACGTTCCTTATGTCACTGGTTGGCTGGCCTGAAAGAAATTGCTGCTTTTTTGCTTTGGAGGCGAGAGACAAGCCCACGATAATGTTAAGCGAGATCAACTAAACCTTATTAGGAATAGCACCTTGCAGGAAAGAGCCTCAACTCACGAGCCAATCAGCTTCAACTTGAGATCACAGTTAATTTTGTTGAATGTTATTCGAATATATTGACATAAAATTATTCACAATCATTGAACACGTCAAATTCTGCTTCTAGAAAATAATCCCGACCAAAGGAATATGTAACGCTTTTCTACAGTTGGCTTTCTCCTAGGAAAGAGCTAAGAGAATTATATCTATAGCAAGTTAATTCCAAATGTTGACAGAACTTAAAACATGAGGAAGTAGGTAATATCCTCAGAGGTCACAAATTCTGAGATAAAATGCCGGATTAAAAATGGTATATAGATTTGATATAGGAAACAAAGAAGTAACCAGGAGCCAGAAAAGGAGAAAAGAAGTTACAAAGTCAAAGAGACGAAACGAGCCGAAGAAAATGCACATACATATATATATCCTTGAACAAGGGAAAAAATCCAACACGCCAACGCTATGCCTAAGGGAAACAAGGAAAAAGAAGAAAGTGAAAGGGAGCAAGGGAACAAGAAAGGCGAGGATAAAGTTCCATGTCACAACATAGCAACAAAAAAATGGAAAATGGAAGGTAGAACAAGACAAGTGAAAAGGGCGAGTGGAAATAAGCTCCCCAGAAATAGGGGAATGTTTGTCTGTCCAAAATATTCACAAATTCAGGGGAGGGAAAAATCGAGAGCTTTAAATCGTCCTGTCTCATCGACCACATATGGATGAAGATACGCGGCCCGCTTGAAGACTCCCCTAATAAAAAAAAAAGAAGAGAAAAGAAGAAGAAATGGAAGAGAAGGGAAAGAAAAAGAGAATATATAGAGAGCCATTTTGTTTTCGTTTTCAAAGAAAACCAAAGGCTTTTCTTCCCAGTCCTGCCATACAAGTTCCTATCCAACTTCTTCCCTGAACACGGGGAATCGTGTTCTTCCAAGAGAGACAAAGAGTGGTAAAGAAGGATTTCCAAGACGCCAAACCTCTTCAAACGGCGCGGGAATGAAGACGATAATAATGGCTCTCAAACCAGGAGCGATCGCCACTGTGAGATAAACTTACCCCTCTATCTGTTTGCATGGCCTTGTCTCGGGAAGCCAAGAAAGGGGAAAAGAAATGAATAAAAAGAAAAGAAAAATACAAAATCTCAGCCGACCATCGTAAAGCAACATAACATATCCTATTTATATATATAAGCATTTGTGCTCTCCAGCATCCAGCATCCGGCTCAATGCCACTGATTCTGCCCCATAAACCCATCCCCCATCGCCCCATCCTCAAGCGTCCGGATGAAAT